CTCTGGGTGTCCAGATCGACCCTAAACAAATATCCTGAACGCACAAGCGCTGAACTCAACAAAAAAGAAGCTCAGTTTACACAAGAAAGCATGCACATGCGTGAGTACGTCTAGGACCAAGAGTAGGCCCGTATCCCTTTTGTAGGCTTCAGATTCCCTTATAGGCTCCACTAATTAAACCAACAAGGGCACCCTTTTTGTTCCTAGGTTACTCTTGGGTCTAGACGTATTGATATCTGGACATCTAAATCCCCGTATAATTAGCCTGAGCTCAACCCCAAACCGGCCTAAACTCTCCCCAACCTCCTAAATTTTACAATATGGGTCAAACTTATGGTCCCTTTTCGGGTACCCTAGATATTAGGTGCCGTATCATGTTAAGGACCCAAAAAGGGACCCTAGTTTTGACAACTACCCAAATATCTTAACTAAGCCTGAAACACCACACCCCAAAACCCAAAGAACCCTGTTGTAGAGCGCCTACAGTATTATAGTAACTCTCATACCTACAGCGTAAGTCCCCTATGTAGAACCCCATAATTATCCTGAGAACCTTCATGAACTTGCGTGGCTTTTGAGGACGGCGGCCGAGGACGTATACGATTCGCGGGGCTGCTTGGATGGAAGTGATGCATGAGCTCTTCTCAGGAAATCCGGGGTTACTACAAGGATCTAGGGGCTTCGGGGTTTAAGGGTTGAGGTTTTCGGGATTTAGGGCTTCAGGGGTAGAGGCTTTTGCTTTGGGGTGGTGTTTGGGTGAGTATTTGCGGGCCACGGCCATGCCAACACCCATTAGCCATGGCTTTCTGCAGCGCTTGGCTTATATGGGGTTACTTACAGGATCATGTGGGCTCCCTTACAGGGTTTCTCTGACCGATCTGTATTGGTTCTATAACGGGGTTTGAGGGTATACTCAGAGGATCTTGGGACTCAGTAAGCAAGGTTATAAGGACCCTAACTGGGATGATAAAAAATAGTTTTAGCTATAGTTATCTTATACATAACCCTGGTTACTTAGTCCTCTGATCTTCTCAGTGATGAAATTAAGTGGCCTTGATCTTAGGATCCTTGTTTGGATGCTTTTGCGACAGGTGGGTTTACTAATCAGGGGGCAGGACTAGGGGACTAGGGTTCCGGGCTCAGAGGTCTTCATTTCCCAAGACAAGAGGCCACACTTTTCCCTTTATGTGGCTTCGTTCGCGTAACAGGCTAGCCGGCATAATGCGATGCCATCGAAATCACGTCGTAACAGGAAATCACAACGCAACATGGGGAACTAAAGTCCTAAAGCATACGCCCAAACTTAGGGGTCGTGGTTCAAGGTCTCGAGCCCCAAAGAAGTCCGTCTAGCACCCCTATTAATCATAGGAACCCTCATTAGGGCTTCAGGGTTTAGCGGCTTAGGGTTCCGGGCCTCCTCCAAACCCAAAAACCCTAAACCCCAAACCTCAAACCCCAAACCCCAAACCCCAGACCCTAAACCCTGCTATATTAGGGTCCCCGAGGCCCCAAAGCCGCCTCAGGTTATGCCGTTCGGAAGGACTGGGTGAATGGACCAAACAAGGTCTTTCGCTTTGTCCTCAGCTTCTCGGCCTGTTCAACCGAAGGTTCGGGCTTTTTACCTGGACCCTAGAAGGGAGTTTCCGAAAATGGGGGTACCGTATCTTGTGGTCCTTGTAAATAAGGATCCTACTATGTAGGGTACTCTTTAACGGTCCGCTGTTGATTTTCGGAAAGCATACTTCTATTTGGGTTCCTTATTGTGATTTCTTCATGTAAGGTTGCCGGTTAGGAGCCCAGACCATGAAGTTTATGTTTATGTTGAATACCAGGAATCCTGGTTTCCATAAGCTTGTTTTTATAAGTTCCACCATACGCTTGTATAACTTTCGTAGAGTCGTTTTTTCGTAGTACAGTTTAGGTGTGGTATACTGGTTACTGCGGTTCTATCAGGGTCGTCAGTAGGATTCTATGTGGCTCCACAAAGGTTTGAGGTTTGAGGGTCTACTGCGCTCACCTAAAACCCAAAGACTCTAACAGGAAAACAGACGTGCCACAGCCAAGGAAGTTTTTTCGATGGAGGCTACTCCTCCAACTATTCCTCTTTCTTCTTCATGGAGCCTTGGCATGTTTTGATTGTCGTAAAACCCTCAACCCGAAACCGCCCAAACCCTAAACTCTAAACCCTAGCATCGTAAACACGTACCTTTACCTACCAGAACCTACTTTTTCGTAGGGTCCCTATAAATCCCATATGAGGGTTTAAAACAAGAGCCTACCAAAAAGTACGGTTTAGGAGGTCTAGGTAGAGCAGTTGATGCTTATGGAGGCTGGGCATCTTCCTCCCACATTTTTACGGATTCGAGATCCGGGTTTCCTGGATCCAGAAGCCCTAGACTAAATTCCTGATTCCCTAAAGCCTAAAACGGTTCAGGGTTTAGGGTTTGGGGTTCAGGGTTAGGGTTTACGGTTGTTTGGGGCGAGACCCTAAACCCCAGAAGCCCAGACGGTCTTTTTGGAAGAGAAGCGTGCGAAGTGACACACGGGCCTCTGGCGACCTGCGCCGTTAACCCCAAGCTGCAGAACCATGAACTATAAATCAAAAACCTCGAACCGCAAAAACCAAAGTTCTTCACCCCCGAGTGCGGATATCGCATCTGAGGAGTTAGATGCCGTTCCTCTTCAACCGTTTTGGTTAGACCAGTTTGCCCGGGAAGCTCTTTGCTACCCTACTGCGGCGATCCGGGGCAGTCGTTACCTAGGCTGGGGGTGTAGGTCATTATAAGGTTTAGGATCAGGGTCGCTACAAGGCTATGCTGCAAGCAATACTACTACAAGTTATTTTAGGGGTTTAGCAGCTTAGCGTTTTTGGTCTTCGGGTTTTTGGCGTTAGCGCCTGAGGGTTGCTGGAGCAAGCATTGCAATGGTTTTCGAGTATACGTGACAGCGGCAAAAAGAGGATCGCAACAGGCGGAACAACGAATCTGGCTCTCCTCCTAACTTGCAGCAAGAGCAAGGTGCATTCGAGCCAGTGCTGTGGACACGGCATTCCCTGCGACTTTTGTGCTGCTTGTTCTAGAACACTGTGCAATGAGAGCACTTGGAACCTTAATGTCATGTGGGAGTTTCCCAATAGGGTTTCCTCATCTTGGAGGTCCTTACAATAGGGATCATACTGTTTAGGGTACCATATTAGGGTCGGGCCCCCAATTTTCGGAAACTCCCAGGTGTTTCGAGCAGCAGCACGGTGGTATGATCACGCACGCACAGATTCTATCAGCATAGCCAGGGAGCGAAGGTTGGGTCAGGGTACAAATCAGGCAAGGGGAGCTTCTTCTCCTGGCGCTCCTAGGAAATGTAGGAACCTGATTAAGAAACCTTGGGCCTTTATAGTGCTCCTTTTTCTGAATCATACTTTTTTGGGGTTATAGGCCCGGGGTTTCTTAATCAGGTTCCTACATTAGTGCTCTTAGGTAGTATGACGGCGACCCCTTAAAGGGGACCCTTCTTAACCCTGGTTAATGGTCCCTATTGGTAGGGTCTATATATCCCCAAGCGACCCCCTAATCCGAACTCCTGAGTGCGCATGTCCGTTGCAGGCGACAGCTGGGACATGTTTAGCCACCTCATGGCGGACGACTTACTTATGCACATCAACGGCAATGCCACCAGGATGCCCAGTAATACCCTTGTTCCCTTTTTGTAGTCCTAGGCTCCTTATACAGTTACCCAATACCAAAAAGGGAGCCCCTTCTTATTCCTAGGTTACTGGGCATCCTAAATAGGGGATTAAATAATTACTTATGCTATTTTGGGGGCTTCTTATTATAATTATGGTATAATGATGTCCCAAAGACGCTATTCTAATTATTAAGGCCCCTATAGAACCCATTTAGGGTTTAGGGCTTAGAAGTGTAGGATTAGTTATGCTTGAAGGGCTTACGGGGGCGCCTGAGGTGCTTCAGGCATTAGTAGCAGTTGCAGTGGTGGTACTAGTAATCAGTCACCCTAAGCCCATTTAGGGTTTAGGGCATCCTAGGCCATCTACTATACTAAATCCTTATACTGGCCCTTATAACTATAGTAGCCCTCATAAACCCCTTTAAAGGAACCCTAGTCTAATGATTAAGGCCCCTACTGGGCATCCTAGGCCATCTACTACGTCCACCATCCCTGGCTCAAATGGCTTAGTGATCGACTCGAAGCCGAAGCCGACACCGCAGCTACCGCCGCACTTAGGTCTTTTTTTTGGGGTGGGTCTCTCATTTTTGGGGTTTAGGGTTTTTAGGGTTTTTAGGGATTTTTAGGATTTAGGGTAACGATCGGGTCTCTCATTTTGCTGTTTGGTGTTTAGGGTTTTTAGGGATTTAGGGTAACGATCCGGTCTTGCAGGATAGAAAGGTGGATAGGTGGCGTGTTTACTTGGAAGTCGGTGGCCGCGCTCTCCAAACCTAAAGTCGAGATCTTAGATCTTAAACTCGAAACCTGAAGCCCTAAACCCCAATTCCTAAGCCTCAAAAATTTGATCCAGGTCACTCTAGATCCCCCCAAAACTCTAATCTAAGACCCTAAACCTCAAACTAACACCCTAAGCCCCTAGACCCTAACCCCTTAACGCTCTAATGAAACTCTACATCTCACTATCCCTCGCAGTCATCCCATGAAATTTCCAGCAGGAGCCCTTCAGTTAAAACCCCAGAGGTTCTTTAGGGTTCGGGGCTTGGGGTCTAGGGTTTTGGGTTTCTACTTGAGTTTAAGGTCTTCGGGTTTAGTCAGCGCTCTTCTTTAGAAGCTCTTTAGAAGGCAGGATCTTGAGAGATCTATGGGCATCATGTGGCCATGCGGGGTTTCTTAAGGTTCTGTAAAGGGAATTCGAGTTCTAAGGCACACCAAAAGACCTTCGTAAAGATCAGGGTATGTACTGTTCATGCACCCCTCAAGAGCGCCACACCAAGGAATTCAACCAGGTGGCCTTTGACGTCAGAATGGCCCGATTAACCATGGACGCTCGCACAGGCCGTGTTCCCAGCCAACACATTCACGTTCACGAACGGTTCAGATGTGAGGATATAGGGAAACTGAACATGCTAGGGCTGGGGCGTTTGCATGCCTGAGCCGACAAGTCGAAAGACCCATGATATGATACTTATCCTGTAATAAACCCGAAAACCCTGCTATAAGTATACTATAAAGAATCCCTAACTATGCCGAGGCCGTGTTAACGATTGCCGAGGATGCCCTGGCAACACCACGCTGCCAACCCCAGTCCTCGTACAGCCTTCCCCTGAACGCCCAGGCATAGTATAGGAGTTTGAATAATTAGAACAGGGTTTCCTGGGGGATACTCAAAAAATTAAAAACCTGGCGAGAACGAAAAATTAAAACGTAGATAACTATATATATAATATAATATATATATATATATACACATATATATGTATATATATATATATATATGTATATATATATATATACATATACACACACCACACACCAAGACCCTAGTCTAATCATGAATACAAGGCCCCTGTAAGCTCCTAACAATCTTCTCCCTTCTGCACCCGAGCGATCCAGGCACCCAGGTGGCATATAGCTACCTAGGGGCCCAGGTTTCAAAACGGGCTCCACGTTAAAGGCCAAAGTGTATACCATGTGGGTGCAGGGGCACTGACAGGCAGACTTGTACAGGGTCACAGCACCTCATGAGTGCAACTTTTGCGGCACTACTGGGCAGGTGTCTTGACAGACGCGGCCAGCGCTTATCAGAGTCTGGTGCCTTCAGGTGAGGATCCATACAAGGCCTGGCGACGGTGTGTTGAGGTCACTTTTGGTTTCTGATTGTAGGGTTTAGGGTCTGCGATGTTTCAAATGTCCTCGACAGCCGTGAGTACAAGTCAGCATCACGACCGCGAGTTCGGGTGAACACATCACGCAATGCTCATAGGCTCCGCATTGCCCCCTGTAAACCCTAGCAATCTCTATGGAAGCCCTGCAATAGCCCTTTGAATGCTCAGCTGAGAACCCTAGAAACCCATATTAGAAGTTTCTAGCCTAGCAAGTCTCTAAAAAGTGGTCTTCAGGGCGCAAAGTCTACTCTCTGAACCGTTGTGGCACCAAACCCGGACACCCTCAACCCTAGAACTTAAACCCTAAACTCTGCAACCGAAAACCTAACATCTAAACCCCAGCAGACCTGAAACCCTACTCCTTGAGCAAGGTTGAATCAATGGGTGTTTGGTCGAAGTGGGGTTCGTTAAGCAGGGTGTCATGAAGGCTCATGAGCAGAGTAGTTGTGTAAAGGGTTGACCGTTTTTGCATATACCAGCATCATAGGGGTTTATGCGTTTTTTGAGTGGTTGTGTAAGGGCTTGGGTCCTTTAGTATGATGCAAACCGATCAACACGGGTACGCTTGAGGTAAACAATGAGTCAGGAGTGCCAGCGTGTTCCATTCGTTTTCCCGCTCATTCTAGCATCATGCATCCAATTCTGACTCGTTCGACCCTGGTACGATCGGGGCCGTTGCTACCGCTGTTTTGGCCATTTTACCCAAAACCCTACATCTGTCTAGACGGGCCTCCTGATTTTTGCTGTTACCCTTCTCTCTCACAGCTTCAGGACGACTCAATCTTGGTGGGAGCCGTGCCTGCAGCTTATAGGATGGCCCATGAGATATCATACTGATCTCATGCTTCTACTCGTATAGAAGTCATCGTCATCGTCACTATCATTATCATCGTTACCTTCATCATCATCATCATCATCATCATCATCGTCATCATCATCATCGCTTTGACTCCGTTATTGAAATATCACATACTTAAGACAGCATGGTTCAGCACATTTCCGAAACTTCCGAATCAGGTTCCAAGTCTGCTAACTATGTTTTTTCTTCGTTGGATTTGGTTTGTTGAGGTCAACCCTGTCGGGGGTACCGCTGATAATCAATGGTGACCACAGAAATTGTGATATTGGTGACAGCGGGGACGGTGGTCGCGATGCCGACGGTGAGGGCGATGGCGGTGGCTCTGACGGTTTTGAGTATTTGCAATGTCCATAGTTGCAACCCACATGATAAACTCGTTGTCGGGATTGGCGAGGGTCACGATTCCACGAGTATCAGCGTTGCCCGAGACTAATACAAGGGCCCAAATAATTACCAACACTATTTGGGGGTTCCATATTCTAAATATAGTATAATGGGCCCCAAAACCCTATTCTAATTATTAAGGCCCCTAGACTAAACCCTCAAGTTTGCAGAAGAGTCTCTCCGTGTGGCGGCCGAAGCTGACACGAATTGCAAAGAGTGAATTTATTTCAGGACTATGACTGTCTGGTGCTTAGTATGGAATTGCGGAATGGATCCCTATAGTAGTCCCTATATAATCCCTCAACAATGGTCTCCATAACCCATTCCACCATTCCCTACTAAGCACCAGGGAGATGATAGCCGATCAGTTGAAAGCTCTCAAGCTCGAGCCCTGCAACCCCTCGTTTAGGGTTTAGGGTTTAGGACCCCTCCCCAATCCACAATCTCCGAATTCCAACCCCAAAATCCCTACAATCCCTAAACAAAGCCTTAAACTAAACCTTAACCCGACCCCATCAACCCCAGAGGCAGCCTCCAGATCAAAGCCCGAAGCCCAATCATTAGCGGTACCTAGAAATAGCTTTTAAATTTTGGTTATTCTAATCCCTAAGAAACAGCTAAATTTTTAATTTTTGCTAGGGTTCTAAGTTCAGCATAGAATCAGGAAACTTCGGGAATACCCTGATGAACTCCAGCCGCTTGGCTTCAAGCTGTCGAGGCGCTCTTGGAGGCTGCTTCCGGGAGTCTGCTACTGTGGGTTTTGGGTGTAGGATTTAGGGTCTAGGGTTTAGGGTGGTTTAGGGTTTAGGATTTAGGGTTATGACTATGATTATGACTATTACTCTTGCCATTACTATCACTAATGGCGCCACCCTAGATCGTAAGCGCTAAGCCCCCAGACAGGGGACTTGCTTCGGCGCCGTTTCTGAGCATTGGGGCAGAACGACGGGAATCAACGAGAGGAGGAGCCAATCACAACATCAACAACACGAGCACTCATGACTTAAGCCAGGGCAGCAACAAAGTTTGCAACCGCACGAACGTTGCTGATATTGAATATCAGCCATAGCACGCTTTCAAGTCAGTCTCCATCCCAGTAATCTCACTGGCTAGATAATATGGAGGAATCCCAAAGACAAACCACCAAAAACAGGGCTTTTCCCCCTACTGGGGGGAAATCGATGCCATCGGAGTTCCTGTCATAGTTTTGGTGTGGTTGCCCTGTCAATTCCAGCATGAAGCCACACGAGCGTGGGGTTGAGCGTTCAGCGCAGTCCCTAAACCCTAAGCCCTAAACCCTAATACCTGAACCCTAAACCCTACACCAAGCCTTAGGCGGAAAAAGGAGCTCAACAAAAAAAAAGAAGCCCTAAACCCTAAAACCTAAACCCTAAATCCCTTTCTGTTTCCCTGTCTCTTTCTCTCAATTCCTGGAACTCCAGACCTCGACACCGCGCAGACTCTGAGGTGTGTCCGCGGGTGTGTACATCAAGCATGGATCTCTGAGCAACATCTTCACAAACCTGGAGGACGAAACTCGCCCTGTCAATATAGGGGCCTTAATAATTACCTATACCATTTTGGGGGTTCCTTATTGTAATTGTAGTATAGTATAATGAGCCCTCAAAACCCTACCATTCAAAGTCTTAATTAAGGCCCCTACATCCCAAAATCCCTGAAAGTACCCTTGTAGATCCATTTCAAGGAACCCTTTCAAAGGGAACACCCTCGATTTATTAAGGCCCCTAGGTTAAGCCATGGGCGAAAGACAGGAGGTTCCAGGAAGTCGAAGTCCTTCGAAGTGCTCCCAGGTTTCAGGTTTAGGGTTCCTCTAAGGGTTCCTTTAGTGAAGGACTTCTATAAGGGTTCTATAAGGGTACTATAACGGGTGTAGGGGTTTAAGGTGTAGGGTTCGATAGGGTTTAGGGTTTAGGGTTTGGAAAGTTTTAGTCTAGTGCTGCCATTCCTCATGCCCTGTACGAGGTTACCCTGGCAGTGGCCACCTTGCACAGCAACACCAGCCTCCTGCATTCGACGCTGGATCTGTCGCATCCGTTTAGGCCGGTGTGCACCGAACAAATGCCTAGCACATCATCATCATACGTATGTATATGTATATGTATATGTATATGTATATGTATATGTATATGCATATGTATATGTATATGTATATGTATACTTTTAAATATATGTAAATAGTATTACACACATGTTTGCATACATATATATATATATGTATATTTATGTTTATGTCATCGTCACCATGATAACGACTGTACTCGACTAGACATGGTGATAGCAGTGGCATCAAGATTAGCAGTAGTGTGATCTGTACATGGCAATGGCACACGCATGATGTGATGCATATGATACAAGTAAGAATACCCACAATCGCAAGTAGATCCTAAACCCAAGAACCCAAAACATAATTCCCTAAGCCATAACCCAGAACGCCTAGAGACCCAAAGACCATGCAACCCTAAACTAAACCCCAAGCTCCCTAAACACTCGACAAAAAATTGCCTAAATCCCTAAACGATTAAATCGCTAAGCCGAAAGCCCCTAAAGCTCTACGCCCGAAAATGCTAAATCCTACTTCCCCTGTGAGGGAAGTGATCTACTTGCACTACAGATCTGTCGATGGAAGCACTTCCTTCGCGTCCCAAGTCAACGAGACAAAGAGCCTAAGTCGATATTGTGAGGGTTCCTTTGAGGGGCTCCTCGTCGTTTTTTTGTTTTAGGGTTTAGGGGTTTAGGGGTTTGGTGGTTTCGGGTTTCGGGTTTAGGGTTTAGGGGGATTGCTGTAAGGGTTACTATAAGGATTTAGGTGTTTGGGCTTTGGGCTTCAGGGTTGCCGGTGGCAATACGGGTGCCTTAGGGTGCTATGGCGTTTTTGGTGTTTGGGTTGGGGCTCATGCCGGCAAATATGGGCTCAATGGATAATAGACAAGGCTTTAAGGACTCACTATAGCAGTAGTTATTCTACATGGTCTACAAGGGAATGTCATAGGGCCCCTATAATAGGCACATAGGGCCTCACAAGCGTGTGTATCGGACATTGTCGGACTTTGCGCGTGCCATTTTTGTAGGACTGTTGCTGTTGCCGTTGTTGTGACGTTGTGAGCGGTCGTTGTGGTGGTTGTTGTCATTGCTATGATGTTTACGAGCATCGTTACTATTGCTGCTGGCCGATCTTCTGCAGCTAGAGTCGCTGACCACGCACTCGTGTGCCTTCACCGTCTCGGAAGCAGCATTATGCAAAGAAACCGCTGCAAGAAGCTCTCAGCATGGATGCAAGGAGGCTTGGAGTGTGGGACAACTCGCAACAGCCATGTGTGCAGCTTGGAAATGTTGCTATCGAATGCCTGCAACCTCGCGCAGGGTTGTCTGCGATGCACATGCTCTAGCAGGTACTCATCTGTGGTCGTAATGCCTGGTCGAGTTCTTTAGCTTTGTGCCTGCCCTTCTTGGGACCGTCAGGAGTGCTGTCCGTGGCGACATCGACGTGCTTCACTTTAAAGCTGCTTTCCTGCAGCCATCAGAGTTTACAGGGTTGAACATAGGCAGCTTTGCCTCTTTAGTGCTATAGTTATATACATGGACGGGGTTTATTTTGGCGAGCTTTAACATCAGACTTTGGGACTTTGGGGTAGCTGATGGTACACTTGTAACGCGGACTATGAGGGACGGTCCTTCTCATACAGCCCTTCAAGACTTTTGTTGAGTTCCCTATAATAATTAGCAGCGTCAGTTTGGGGGGTTCAGAGTTTACAGCTTGGTTGCAGAATCCAAACCCAGGCCAAATTCAACCCTAAACCTTATAAACCCTTATAGTAAGTTTGATCAGAATCCAAATCCAGGCCAAATTAAAGCCTAAACCTCATAAAACCCTTATAGTAAGTTTGCTCCGTTGCAGAATCCAAATCCAGGCCAAAGTCAACCCTAAACCCTATAAAACCCTTATAGTAAGTTTGATCGTAAATGCAGATATTTCAACACGCCCGTCTTTGTCTGGGGCCGAACGGGCCAGTCCGGGGAATTTCGGAGGACAAGAGGGAGTTGCAGGGCCGTAGGGTTTTGGAGGGGCTTCAGAGGGTTTTCCTATGGTGCTTCGTTTTTTTTTTTGCGGCTGAGTTGGATGGATTCTTGATAGGATTGCAGGATGCATGCACAAGGTTTAGTGTAAAGGTATGTGTGAGTTTTAACGGCTGCGGGGCATTCAAAGAGCGGCTATGCACAAGGGGGGGATCGAAAGGGGACATCATGTTTGAGAGTCAGGGGACTTTGGGAGTTTCCGAAAATTAAAGGTACCTTATTTGGGCGTCCCTATAGTACGGATCGTACTATATTAGGGTCCCCTATTTTCGGAAACTCCCATGTCGGATTTGGGTTTTTGGGGTTTGGGTTCGTATGGGATTCAGAGTTCCTGCGCAAGCCACGGACAGGGTACTAAACGGTTTAGGGTTTAGGGTTTAGGTAAAGGGGCCATAAAATCAGAACGGGGATTTTGGGCTAGAGTCTACTGCAAGTATAGGACCATTCCCACTAGTTATAATACTCCGACCCCCAAAACTACTACCGAGGCACAAACAGGGTGTAGTGGCCATTGACAGCAGGACGTGTTATAGAAGTAACTTGAAGAAAAGGGACAAGTAGTCCTCAAACTCCGGATTTATGTCCAGCGCAGTGGTTGTGGGTTCGGGGAACTTGTGTCTCGGGCCCGAAACCCCAAACCCTACGCCCTGGCCCCAAACCATAGGCCCGATGAGCCCTAAGCCCTCAACCTTAAAGATTAAGTGCCATATGCTCTAGCCCGAGCAGGGGGTTTCGCCTCCACCCCTTGCTCGGAAGCGCAGGTTCTAGTAGCTCTCTTTCGCTCTCGCTGCGAAAATGTTGTTGGAGACTGATGTTGTTTGTTTTGTGTGTGTTGAAGGGTGGGGGTAGGTTTTGGGAGTTGGAGGGTTTGTGCGTTCGGACTTGTTTAGGTTTTTAAGTCTGCGAGCCTGACGCCGGAACTGGAGATTCCACAATCGGTTGAGGACCTAGGTTTACGAGCTTGAATAGTTAGTAATACTTGCAAGCAAAAACAAAGACGAGTGATGCTTCGCTTCAGGCATGTTGGAGTCTTTGGGCATGAGGAATCCACCACATGCCTCATAGTGGCCCTTGTAGAACCCATATAAGAAGCCCTCTAGACCCCTCGGCCCTAAACCCTGACGCACTTGTGTTGCTTTACCCGTCTGGGCTTGCGGCGATTTTTGAGGCCAAGAAGCCGGAGTACTTGGCCACTTCCGCTGCAGAGCAGTGTTGCTTCAGGGAGAATGGATATATCAACTGTAACATATAGATATATAGACACAAAAGTTGCCGTTTGTTGATTATACTAAAGGCCTTGACAGGCTCTTGCCGAGTTTTATGGGGGTTGTGTTTATTGGGGGTTGTTTGAGGTGTTGATGAAGATCCTATACCTGAAGGACCGAATGACCCCTTAAAAGTAGGGGGCCCTATACCCATATACCATGAACCCCTATATGGTATATGAACCTTAAACCTTAGAAGCTGCCCCCCACCCGGAAATAGTGACTATAAGGATTATATTAGGGCCCTATTATATTCCTATTATACCACTATTACAGGGTGGGGGCAACCGCAAAATACGGTACCCCTAATTTTCGGAAACTCCCATATGGTATATGAACCTTAAACCCTAAACCCTAAGCCCCGTAAACCCCTCCAGGGTCCATTGCATCCTTAAGGTAAAGGGGCCAGGGGCATGAAATGGAGCATAGGAGGGCTTTTTGGTGTTTGCAGGAGCCCCCAGGTTCTGATTGAATAATACTATTAACTAACTATTAATCAGAGTCATAATAATAATAGTAATACTAATAATAATGGTAATAATAATAATTTTGGGTGTAGGGCTAGGGTTGAGGGTTTTGGGTTCGGGCTCAAAAACCGAATGTGGACACGTTTGTGTTTTGGGGTCGTGACTGTTGGTGTGGGGCCGGGGGGGGGGTTCTGGGTTTGTCTGTCTTGAAGGGGTTCGGGTTTTTATCATTTTTGGAACCGAAACTCTTGACCGCAGACGCTAAGCTTTGGTTTTGAGACTGACGGGTTTCGGTTCCGGCTTTGGCGATTCAGGAGAGAGGGTATCGGAACTAGTCATGTTGCGCAAGAGCCGCAAGGAGTACTACATGCATAAAGCTGGTTCAGGCCTATCTTCGTCCCTTCTCTCAGGCGCGGTTCGCCAAGGGCTAAGGGTTTAGGAGAGGGCTCTGAATTTTTAGCCCTCTTTGGGATGTCTGAAACATAGAGGTTCGTTGTCGGTGGGGGTTCTGGCTGTTTGGGTTTTTTCTGTTTTTGAGAGTTGTACTTAGTGTTTAGAGCTTATCACCTTTGCTTGCAAGGTGTGTAGGATGTTGTACAGTGCAAAGGGCTCACGGCTAGTGGAGTTAGGTCTCGGGGTGTTTACATGATGCGGCATTTACCTGTAACCCGAATGTCCAAGGCTCCTTGTTTGGAAACTCGTACGTTAAACGGGCAGGTCTTTTGAGCAAAACCCCTACGCTAAGCCCACAGGCCCAACTCTGTTGCCCAAGGCGCTCTGCGAGCTTGCTGAGCATGTGACGACAAGGTATTTTGTCTACACGGACTCACAGCAGCATTGGTCTTGCACCGCAGGTGTTCCGCAGCAGAAATAGGAGTACCTTACTTTGGGGCCCTTATAATAAGGATCCTACTATGTAGGGTACTATATTAGGGTCCCTTATTTTGGGAAACTCCCAGGTGACCAGGACTTCTCAGTACATTTGCAGCATTCCTTGTCCGAGGGACGGGTTGACCAGGAAGAGTGATGTAACCCCTTTGCATCGGAAGTTTGCAGTCACAAGCATTGTTCGATCGATGCTGCCTCCACCTGTGGGTGTATGTATGTCTGTATATATATATATATATGTATCATATATATATATATATATGTAAGTTTCTGCACTTGTGTGTATATCCACGCAAGTGTCTTCTGCCTGGTACCGGCTTGTTGGTCTGGCTGCTGTGCCTCCCGGTGCATCTTTGCTGCCCGTGCCTCTGTTTGTTCATGTGACTTTTCGGCTTATATATATATATGTATATATGTATATACATATGGCTATATATACATATATACATACCTTGTGCGCATATGTATGTGTGAACATGAACATACTGCACTGCACAGGCACCGCAGACGACAATCACGCACACACCCACCTGCGCAAATCCCTGTTTACAGGTCTGCGTCTGTCTCTTTCCCTCAACTCTCTCTCTCTCTCTCTCTCTGTCCGTATATCTCTCTCTCTCTCTCTCTCACTCTCTCTTTTTCTCTGACATCCCGTCTCCATCTTCCTTCCTCACACGTACAGACACACGAACGCACAAACTCTGTCTCTCTCTGCCTCCCTCCGTCCATGCCTCCGTTCAAGACGTGGCATGCACGTCATGCACGTCTTGCCACATCTGCACCAGTCTGCACCTATATGCATGCAGTGTATGTAAGTGAACAACGAATAAGTAAGTACATAGAAGTCGATAAGCAATAAACAAACCGATATATGTAGACACGTACACATGCATGCATACATACATAGATACATAGATACATAGATACATACATACATGCATCTACATACTTACATATACATACCTGCATCTACGAAATGTGCAAACCTATCTATATACATACATATACATGTATGTATAGCTTTTTTACACGTGCATACATTCTGTTTACTTATATACCTACACCAGCTCCATCAACGCGTAGATTCCTTTGTGTGTGTGTGTCACCAGCCCAGAATAAACATCAACAGGTGACCGACCCACAAATATGTAATTGAAATATTTGCTCAACTGCATAGAAAGACATGCCTGTGTCTGCGTACTGGTTTGTGCAAGTATGTGCCGAGGCACAGACTCACAGCGCTCAGGGTAGCATCCATCTACGCATCTAGGTCGTGTGTATGTGTCACTTGTCTACACACATAATTGGAGAGCCGAACTGTATTTTCATGTTTCTCTATGTGTACTGTATAAATCTAGTATGGCGTTCAATAGCGTTTATATACAAATGCTAGTGTGTGGATGCAGATAGGATCAGATAGGTATAAAGGCGCATATCTGTGCGGAAGACCAAGAAAAAAACGAGGTTAGATGCTTGTGATGCATGCAACGCACACCAAAGTACAGGCATGCATGTACACAAGTGTACATGTAGGCTCTCTAGACAAATACATGAAGGTACACTTACATACAGCAGCCCACAAGAACCTGAGCTCAAAGCAATATCAAAGTCTTCAACTTTGCCGCTGCTATTGCTGTTGCACATGATCGTGGAAGCAGTGGCCGCCATCTGTCGGCGTATTGTGCTAGCTGTAGGTTGTGGTTGTTGTCGTGGTTGTTGTGGTTGTGGTTGTTGTTGTTGTTGTTGTTGCTGCTGCTGCTGCTGGTGCTGATGTTGCTGTTGTTGTTGTTGTTGTTGTTGTTGTTGTTGTTGTTGTTGTTGTTGTTGTTGTTGTTTTTGGTGTTGGGTTTGGTGTTGGGTTTGGTGTTGGTGTTGATGTTGGTGTTGGTGTTGGTGTTAGTGTTGGTGGTGGTGTTGGTGTTGGTGTTGGTGTTGGTGTTGGTTGGTGTTTGCTGTTGTTGTTGCTGCTGCACTGCGGTCCCATGCTGAAGAAGCGTGTCTGAACTGTGGCATATGCTAAGCTGTACTAAGGACACCTACCACATCGTCGCATCTCCGGTGGACATCCTTGCCAACTTAGAAGGCCGCGTCAGGGCGAAAGAGACGCCATTCCTGCAAACCCTGGATAGATCCTAAGCCCAAACTGTGAGACACGATGAACTTTACGCCAAATGCCAAAACACCTACAGCCGAAACCCTGCAGCTTTAGAAAGCTCTCCATGACACCTCGATCAGCAAGCATTCGGCCTCTTCGCAGGTCAGCCGGTGCTTCCGTACATCAGCGCAACCTCCGCGCATTGCGCCAGCTCCTGGGCCCTAATTCTTGGGCCGCAAATACTAGATAGGGCTTTGGGCTATAGTATCAATTTCACCTCAGAGTGCCTGTGTAAGCTTGCTATACTATATCCGAACTTGTTTTCCAATCATTCGGCCCCCATTCCATCTCAGTTTCCCTTTCTACTGCGCTACTGTTGAGGAGCCAATGGCCTTTTCCTATCCTTACGGAGCCTTTCGCTTCTGACAAGATTCGGAAGGGGTGGGGTGCAGGTAGCCACGCATGTACAAACAGTGTACGCATGCCCAGGGCGACCATGGTGTTACCAGCCTGGGTGCTTTAAAGACCTGGGTGACTCTCGCTTTCGTGTTCTTAACTCAGCCATTGTTGACACTACTCTCTAGCAACCCAGTCGTTATTCAGCTAAGACTCAAATAGCCACTATGACGATGATGACCACGATAGTTGTTCTAGCTTCGGCATTATTCTCGCTGCAAGAGTAACGGGTCCGAGGGTAGAAGCTTTCAAAGAAAGCACGAACCCTAAATCCTATAGACATAAACCATGTAGAACCCTTTAAATGGCAGCCACTTAAAGCAACAAATCTAGAAACCGTTACAGCAACCCTTACAGAAGCCTTGAAAGGAGCGCATTTAGAAGTTCTTACAGTAACCCTTGTAGAAACCCTTCAGGGAACCCTTCCAGAAACCCGTAAAGGAACCATGGTGGAAGGGTTCGGGTATGGGTCGGGTTAAATTCGTGCCTAAAATGTGCATTCGAAGCCGGGTTGTCACGCGATTTCTGCAGAAAACAGGTTCGCAGCGCATCACGGAAGCCGTTGCAAAATACTATCATCATCATCATCATCATCATCAGTAGCATCAGTAGCATCATCACCGTCTTCATCATTATCATTACCTTCACCGTCATCGTCTAGGAAGGTTAAACTAGGGGCCTAAATAATTCCCAATACTATTCTGATGGTTCTTTATGTTAAGTATAGTAGAGTATGCCCCAAATCCTTGTTCGAAGTACTCAGGCCTATATATGAAGTGTTAAGACTTAAAACCTGAGAACCTACCCTAAACCCTAAACCCCAAACCCTAATCCCCACACCCTCAACCCTAAATCCTAACCCCTAAACTCGCCTAAACCCTAAACCCTAAGCCCTCCTTTGGGAACCCTTATGGATCCCTCTACTAAACCCGAACTTGGAGGTTCATGGGCAGTTATAAGTGGAGTTATAAGTCCCCTAATAGGGGTTATAAGTATATAGCTGCCCTACTTATAACCCCACTTGTAACTACCAATGAACCTCCAAATACGCCCTAAACCCTATACCCTCATAAAATCCCTAAGGAGCCCTTTAAAGGGACCCTTAATTGAACCCTTGAAGACTACCCATGAACCTCCAAGAAAGCCTCCCATTAAAGACTACTTATAATAGATCCCTAAGGAACCCCATTATAGAACCCCATAGTACCCTTTTAAAGGGAACCCTAAACCCTACTAAGTCCCATGATCCTCCCAAGTAGACCCTAAACCCTAAACCCCGTTATAGACCCCTTATAGATCCCTTTAAGGGAACCCTATTATAGAACCCTATAGTAGAACCCTATTATAGAACCCTATTATAGGTTCAGGGTTCCCTAGACCCGAAACCCTACTTACTCTACTAAACCCTCTATAGATTCCTTATAGATCCCTTTAAAGGAACCCTTATTATATCCCTGGCTACTTAGAAGCCTAAACCCGAAAGCCCATCCCTAAACCCTCTACTTACAAACCCCCCTAACCTTATAGACCCCATTAAAGGAACCCTAAACCCTACTTACTCTGCCTAAACCCGAAAGCTGCAGCTCAGGCGAGCCGGGCTGTAGCTCCTCCCTGGCTCAGGCCGAGCTGCTCTTCGGAGCCTCCTGGCTTCGTAGGATATGCTTTAAGGGCTCCTTTAAAGGGGTCTATAGGGATGTTTAGGGTTCCTTTAATGGGATCTGTATGGATTCTATAAGGGTATAGGGTTTAGGGTCTACTTGGATCTATAAGGTGCTTTTTGGAGCCTCCCGGCTTGAAAGCTTTTTTTTGCTCTGTTTTTGGGGGTGTCTAGGGATGTTTAGGGTTCCTTTAAGGGATCTATAAGGGGATCTATAAGGTGCTTTTCGGAGCCTCCCGGCTTGGGGGCTGTTTGGCTTTTGCCCTTTTTGGCTCTGTTTTTTGGGGGGTTTCGGGTTCCTTTACGGCATCTATAAGGGTTCTGTAAGGGGTTTAGGGTTAGGTTTGGAGCCTCCCGGCTTGGGCTTTTTTTGTTCTGCTCTGGGTTGTCCTTTGCGGTTTTCTATAATTTCCCTACTATTTTGTAGGGATTCATAATAGTAGATAATTTTCGAAGGCCTTAAAGGACAACTCAGTGCTCCTTTTTAGAAGTGTTTAGGGTTTAGGGTTCCTTTAAGGGATCTTTAAGGGTACTTATATAAGGGCACTAGAGGATTTAGGGTTCGTCTTCTGTTTTAGAAGTGTTTAGGGTTTAGGGCTCCTTTAAGGAATCTATAAGGGCTACTCCTATAAGGGTACTATAGGATTTAGGGTTCCTCGTCTTTTTAGAAGTGTTTAGGGTTTAGGGTTCCTTTAAGGGATCTATACGGGTACTACTATAAGGGTACTATAGGATTTAGGGTTCCTCTTCTTTTTGGAAGAGTTTAGGGTTTGGGGTTCCTTTAAGGGATCTATAACGGTACTTACAAGGGTATAAGGGTTCCGATAAGGGATCAGTAAGGGTTCTAGAGGGGGGTGGGTTAGGGCTTTATGTTTTTTTGTTTTAGGGTTTAGGGTTGTCGATATGCAGCTGAGAGGCTGATGTCGACACTGGTGGTCAAGATAAGACCAGAGGATCCCCAGTCGAAGCGAATAATGAGTGAAGCGATAAGCTGAATGGTATCCCGCTAATGGAAGAGCAGACACCGAAGGATCGCCCACTGATGTTTTCTATGGCACTGCAAAGTCTCACTAGGCTTGTGCCCAGTCCTGCCTGCGGATGCAAGCATGCACTGCCTGTTGCAAGCAGTCTCTCTCACAGGCTCCTGACACATCACACGCAGATGCTGATTTCAACATCGGTCGAAATTTTCTTTTGATGTGTCAGGCCTTCGACCCGGAGTCTTCAAGGAAATTGACATGGATCTTTTGTTTCCGCCACGCTCTCTTCTTTTTAGCTGACATGAACTTAGTGTCAAATTGAATACACACCTGCTTCCTTTGGAAAGACATGAGAAGTCCATTACAGGTAAACGGCTTCGAAAGTCCATCAGCTTGCTGTTGATCCGCATCAACCCATCTGAAATCGACCCCAATGGCCCTATCCCGCTCCCGAATTGACAACACCTCAAGTGCTAACCTTCTTTCTTCAAGTTGCAGACCACTAGTTTCCACGCGTACCACCGAGTCGTACAGGTTCTTGCTATCAGTCACCACAATCGACGTGATCTGCTTGAGGGCAGCATCCATTTGACTGACAGGAATAGGGGCTTCATTGTACCACTCCACTAGCAGCTGTTTCGTGAACTCGTGAGCATCTATCGCATGGCTACCGGTTTGGATTTCCGCAGCGGTGGAACTTCTACAGATTCTGGGGAGCTTCCTACTTTGCCAAGCTATGGGGGAAAAGGGCGTACCTCTACCTTCCAACACCTTCGCATCAACCAGAACCGTCAACAAACCTCCCTGCGACGAACCATCCCTCCTACACGCATATGAGGCATCATGGTACGTCAGGAGAACAGGCTTCTCGATCTTAGAACTGAAATGAACAACAGTCTGACTGTGAACTCTCTGAAGGCGAATGAGCTTATTCACTTGATTGACATCTTCAATCGTGGCTTCATTGAAACACCCCTGCAGATAAGAGACACTTGCGCAGAGCCAAGGTGCCGACTGAGTTGCTCTCCAAGAGAGCGCCCCTAAGGCGGCCCTAAGTTGTTTTCTTTCTTTCTCGTTAACTGGTTCCTGGCTCTGCTCTCGGCGCTCTCGGCTGAGAGGAATCTCCACTAGGCCTTCGGCATAGCGTTCCTGATTCAGGTCGATAGAGAAATCCCTATGTTGCTTGATTTCACATCCACAAAACATAGTGCTCTCCTGTTGAAGATCCTTCCATGACCCGAAAGGAAAACAAGCACGAAGCGCAGTGATGTGATCCTCAAAGTGTTGTCCTGCTCCACAGCACAACAGATCGTCCACGTGGACTCCGATGAGTCCTACCAGTTCTCCTTGATGGTACAGTCGCCATACACATGGTTCAAGTTTTGACTGGACCCAACCTTGTTTCGCTAATTCCTTGCCTAGCTTCTCAGCCCACGCACGGGGAGCATGCAAAAGACCATAGACAGCTTTCATGATCCTAAAGAGTTCGTGGGGTTTCAAGTTGAGCATTTTCCTAACTTCTTCAGGGGGTTCGGCAAAGATTTCGCGATCAAATTCGGTCGGGTCGCCATTCAAAAAGGCGGTTTTGATGTCGCCTACGTAACTACTCCATTTCTTGTTAGCGGCGAGGGCGAGAATCATGTTTCGATTTTGAGTTGACAGGGTAGGCGAGTCACGTTTCAAGCTAGTTAAATCCGGGTCTTGGTACCCCTTGATGATTAAACGAGCTTTCGGTTTCCTACCGGTCACGTTACCACCCTCATCACAGACCGACTTCCATGACAGGACCCATCGCATGCCTAATATTCTCTCGGGCGGCACGTTGTGTCGCCGGGCAATCTGCACCGCTTCATGTTGGAGATATGAACTGAGTTCACTCTGCATGGCCCTCATGAAGTCAAGTTTGTCCTCATCCGACAACGACCTAAACTGAACCTCAGCTCTCTTCTTAGGTTTCTCATTCAACACCCAGTGAATTTTGCCCTGCGCCTGCACCTTGTGCACATCCCGAGGTTGCACATCCAGAGCAATCTCAAAAACCTGAGCCTGAGAATCAAGAGCACTACTGAAGTAGGACTGAAGGTTACGCTCGGACTTGGGCTCCAGTTTCTCCCTGACTTCAGGTATTGGCTCCCACCGTTCCTCCTGCTGCCAGCTGAAACATCCAACCTTGATGCTACGAGGATTGTACTCAGTACTTTTCTGTGGTCCTAAATCGCCCTGCTTGAGATCCAAAGCGTTTCCAACATCTTCTTCAGGTAAACAAGGCAACATCTCTTCAACAGTGAAAACCCCTAGTTCCTCTTCAGCTCGCTGCCTCGCAGGGGTACGGCTCCTAGATCGGCTCAGCTGAGCGTTGGAATCATAGCGGCCTCGATCTGCGCCAGTCGCACCCGGATGCGCTCCATCTCCTCCTGGAGCCCCATGCTGGCCGACATGGCCTGGTAGAGGGCTTGCTGCTGCTGAACGTTGGCCTGTTCCAGCTGTCCCACTTGAAGAGACAAGTCTCTCACGGTCTTCTGGAGAACTTCGACCATCTTCGTCACTGAGCCCGGTAGCTCTTTGTCCGGCTCCTGCTCCCACAGCTGGAACCACTCGTCCTCGTTCTCGATGTGCCTCGGCATGTCGTTGGAATTCTCGGCGGTCGACTTCGGATACGGCTTGGCGGTCGGCTTCTTGCATGGGTCGGAGTTCGCCCGGACGATGTAGGTCAGGAGATTCGTGAACTTCACGTTCTTTTCGTGATGCTCCATCAACCAGATCACGTACTTGTTGTCCTCGGCGGCTTCCTTCACCCACTTGCCGGCGTGCTTCCCGTGCTTCACGGTCTCGTTCCCCAAAGCTTCCATGCTCATCTCCATGCACCGCTCTTTCTCCTGCTCGTAGAGGCTGAGGGCGCTGGTCTTCTGCTCCTGCGCCGCCTTGCCCTTGAGAGCACTGAGCACCTCCTGCTTCGACATCCTGCTGAGGCTGCTTTCCGAAAACACGTCTGGAGGGGACTGGGAACTCGTTCCTTGGGCCCGGCTCGTCATCGTGAATCTCGGAATCTTCGGGTTCCTGCGCGAGATCCTGTGAAATATCTCTGTAATTGGCTTTATTGCCTGCTCGACGAATCTCTTCTAAGGGACTCGTTCCATCGTGTAATGTATCATGTGTGTTACTAACATGTGAACTCACAGACCTCAGCTGTTCAGGCGCACATCGAAACAACACAGTTGCGTGCACAATCCACACAATGGACCCTGGTGTTTGATTTTGTTCTGTGTCTCCCTGCTTCTCCACAGCGACAACGCGGGCGGGGCCATGCCAGCCTGCTTCCATTCGACTAGTGTTGCGACCTTTTCGGTAGAAATAAACCAACTGACCTGGTTCGAAAACTTCGCTTTTACGGGCCTTCCCACGCGCAGCCCGCAACACCCGTCGTCTGCTGTCAGCTTTTAAAAAGGTTCGTCTCGCTGCCTCGGCACGTTGCAAGGCTTCCTCAAAGGTTTCTTGGGTTCTCAAGCTCTGCGTAGGGAGATGATTGCCATGCTGAAGGTATGATTGTATGCGATCTTTGCTCTGACCAAAACACCACTGATTAGGGGAATAACCTGACACTGAATGCATCTCGTTTTTGGCAGCTACGCTGAGAGCGAGAACCTCATGAGCAGGTACCTCGGGTCCTAGTTCCATGGCCAAAAGAGACATGTTCTCCTTCAGCACTTCCAGATGACGAGAGTGCTTACCAACCTGCCAAGCAGCTTCCCCGGCAATCACGCTGACCCGAATGGCCTGACCCTCAATCCACTCAATGGTCTGAGAATCCCGAAAGGCACCCTCATCATCAAACCTAAGCGCTTCTGGCTTTGGAAGGTTCCGAAGCCAGTCTTTGCAAAAGGTTTCCTTGAACTCGCTAGAGCTAATGACCTTCTGAGTGCGAATCCCTGTTCTCACAATAGACGCAACATGAAAGTCACTAGCCTCATCCATGAGCGAAATTCCTACAACATGTTCCAGGGGATTGCCTTTCTCATCTTTGTGAGGACTATGCCACCAAAACGTGTCAACACTCACTACTTCCCACTTGCGACTAGCATGCGGAATCTGTGACGTGCGGTGCGGTCGTGCATGGCCTCTGCGATTGCACTGTGGACACGAGTACTGCTGTGCTTTCTCAATGATTTCCTTAGACGCTCCGGCTTCTTTGAGCACCCGAACTAGCACCTGGTTTGAGGGATGTCCAAGGTTAGCGTGGATGGTTCGCAGTTTGGTTTCGAGGTTCGTTTTCCAAGTGTTAGCTTCGGTTTCCGCTTCGGGATCGTTGGGCTCACCTGGGACTTCTTCGGGGTCTTCCTGAGGACCTACCGGATCATGGTTCGTAGCAGTGTCCTTGTCGCTCGAACCTTCGTTCGAGGCCTGAGCTTCTCTTGCACTCTCCGCTGCGTACACATGCATCTGACGAAGAATCTCCCGATCTCGATTCCTCATCAGAGCCTTGGCAAAAGCTCTACAAAGCCTAGGAGGATACGTAGCAGATGCAGCAATTTCAGAACCAGTCATTACGGCATGATGCTGTTGTCCATGTTCACACTTCTTGTTGAGAGCCGATATAATATCATCAGAACTACTAAACCAACCCCAAGGTTTCTGAATCGGCACACCGTGCGAATGCATTCCAAACCGACACCCATCAACTCTAAATCGACCCTTTCCACACAACTGCACCATCTGCCGCATCGTGGGCTCCTTCCACGAAAAGGCGCGCAACGGCTGTTCGCCTCCGGCATGCGCCTGATGACCGTCAGCTCGGAAACCTGACTGGCCATTCAACTCCTGGCGTTGCACCTGAATTAACTTCAGGCAGTTCTTCAGAATCCGTCGTCCATGGGTCCGTTTGTTGAGGAGCTGGAGTCGTTGTTCGGGGGTTCGTTGTTGTGCATTTGTGAGCGTCGTCCACGGAAAACAAGGAGGAGACACATGCAGGTACCTAGGTCGTACTCTCCTCAGAGTGGCTAGCGCCTTTGCCAGCCCGGCCTTAGTAGCAAGGTCATAGCCATTATGCATCCCCATCCTATACACTTGACCTCCCGCCTCAACAACGGCAGCACTCAACGGCGAATCCCAGGGACAACAAACCTCAAGAAGATCAACCCTTTCACTAGTCAAATCCCGCATGGTACTGGCCACGTAGGTTTCGTACTCCTCCAGGGCTTGCTTGAAATAGGGCTTCTGACTACTCGAGATTTGGCAGAAAACTTCTTGATGCGTTTTAGACGACTCTGAAGACTCCGGCTGAAGGGGGTCACAAAATGTGACTTCATCACTCTCGCAGTGCTGAGCTGGACATTGGCCTGTCTCGACGGCCACAGGTCCACTCAGGCAGGCTTCCAGCTCACCTACCTGGTGGTGCTGTCCCTACTCGGAAGGTGAGACTTTGCAAGTGCCATGCTCACTCAGGATGTGGGCACAAGCCCGCATCAGCACACTCAAGCAACCGTCTTCTGGCACTCTAGTCTTAGCTTTCACAGCACTATTGCCTCCAAAAGCCGTAATAGGCAACAAAAGATGATAAGTAGGAGCACGCTCCAACTGGATCACCTCTGAGCTGATCTTGGGAAGAATTGCCTGGCCTCGTTTGAAGTCAATAATGGCTTCCTGATCATACAACCACTTGCTGGAAAGCAACATTGGGGTGCCGCCTTCCACAACGTGCATCTTGATCGCCCGCTCCTGACCGTGGATGCCCGCGGTCACCTTGGCAAGCCCCAGTGCGGTGCTGGTGGCGTTGTTGCCGAAGATGAAATTCTTGCGAATCTTCGAGTCGATCTGGATCTCAGCTTCGGTGTCGAAGCCGAGCCGCGCCAGCTCGTCCGAGAGATTCTGCAACGTCCAGGCACCCACAATGGACTCCGACGCTCCGCAGTCCATAATGGCCTTCATGGTCTCGGGCTCTTTCTGCACGAAGATGGCCTCCGGTGCTGTCTCAAGCTGCTTCTGGCTCGTCGCGGATGAATCCGTCCAGTTCGTGTACACGAACCCAACTCCGGCTCCCTTGCCGGAACCTCCGCCTTTGCCATCACCCGCCTGCGGACAGGCCTGCGCCTTATGGCCATACTTGCCACAGCGCATGCACCGACCAGGGAACTCACCAGTTCGACCACCCCCTTTGGCACGGTCCTTGCCCTTGCCTTTCCCTTTGGGGTAAAAGCCTCTGTTCACCCGGCTCTGATCAAGAGCTTTCCTGGCATCCTTGTAGAAGGTCCGCTTGGCCTCCTGGAAGTTCGCCAGTATCATCTCGTCCTCAGGGTTCTCGAGATGAGCCGCAAGAGTCTCCTCGAAGTAGACCTCGGCCTCGGATGGCTCCACCTCCGTGGTATCATCATCTTCACCTTCGTCGTTCCACCATACGCCGCCATCCTCATCGGCCTCGTCTTCATATTCTTGCAAGGCCAGATAGGCCTTGGCGACTCTTCGGCGCTCTTGATCCTTGAGACACAAGCTGTCTCCACCCCACATCTTGCGCAAAGCACTGAGCACATCGCTTAGCTTGTAGCTCGCCGTTTGCGACTTCAGCGTAGCGATGTCCGACGGCTCCAGGCGGATGTGCTTGTTAAGCAGAAACCACCCATAGATCTCGGTCGGCACCTTGACGTCGGTGCCTAACTCCTTCAGTGCTCTCTCGATGTCTCGGGTGAAATTCGTCAGGCGCTGCTCGTAGTCATTCAAGGTCTCCTTGTCACGACGCATGACTTCTCCCGACTGGAAGTACTTCTCGAAGGCCTCTCCCAGGATATCAACCTGCTGCTTGCCACGCTTCCCTTTCAGGTAGTCCAGCAGATATTGGAGCCCTCCTTCTTTCCTGAGCTTCTCCCGCTCTATCTCCAGGCAGGCCTCCCAGGCCTTCCCGGTAAGATTCCGAGCGAGTCTCGGCGCCAGCGTGACCTGCTCATCCTGCTTGAGGCCATCATGCTCAAGCCAGCAAGCCAACTTGTAATCGGCGAATGTCTTCCAGTCACCATCCCATGACGGGAGTTTAGGATTGATTCCGGTATCTCCCATGTTGCGCAGTCACTGAAAGTGGCGTATGCAGGCACCCAGAGGTCCAGGAACAACCCGCTCCGCTACCAGTGTCGATATGCAGCTGAGAGGCTGATGTCGACACTGGTGGTCAAGATAAGACCAGAGGATCCCCAGTCGAAGCGAATAATGAGTGAAGCGATAAGCTGAATGGTATCCCGCTAATGGAAGAGCAGACACCGAAGGATCGCCCACTGATGTTTTCTATGGCACTGCAAAGTCTCACTAGGCTTGTGCCCAGTCCTGCCTGCGGATGCAAGCATGCACTGCCTGTTGCAAGCAGTCTCTCTCACAGGCTCCTGACACATCACACGCAGATGCTGATTTCAACAAGGGTTCAGCCCCCGGAATACCCCTTGTAGTATTCAACTCTTGTATAAGTGCCTGCTGGCGTTGTTTTTTTGTGTTTTCTTTGTGGTTCCCAAAACGGCTAACTGTTTAGGATATATCTTCTCCTATAGTTAACATAAAGTGCCCCCCAGAATGGCATTGATAATTTGTGTTTTCTTGTGGGTTTAAGAAAATGTTTAGGGTTTAGGATTTAGGGCTCAGGATTTTGGGATCAGGGTTTTTGAGTGTTTAAAAGTAGGGTGTCCTTTCTTGGTTGGAGGCCCCCAATTGGGCCATTTTTTCAGAGCCCCCGCATGTAGTTTAAGGACAACAGAAGTCGAAGTAGGTGATAGCTACACCCTAAGCCCTAAATCCTCAAACCAGAGACCCTACACCCCCAAACCCCTACACCCGTAAAAACCTAAAGCCTACACCCCTAAACCCTAAACTCTTAATCGAACCCTAAACCCCTAAAGCCTAAAACCCTAAACCAATCGAACCCTGAACCCTACCTCTCTCCAAGCCCCAGAACGCAAGCAGCCGCAGGTACGGATTTGGTCGCTTTAGCACTGTTGGGTCTAGAGTTTAGGGATTTAGGGTTTAGGGTTTGTTGTTTTAGGGGTTTAGAGTTAGGGCGCTTTAGCATTCAACCTGTGGGCGTTTATACTTGAGTTAGAGTTCCATTGGGAGTTGGAATTTGTGTCCAGGCCTCACTGGTTAGAACAGGGTTGTGGGGTATATCATGATATAGAAAGAACCCCGAGGAAGAGTACCAGTAGTTATTCAGACCCAGACCCCTTTTGTATGACTTGTGGTTCAAGGTTTAGGGTTCAGGGATTAGGGTCATGTAGGGGTTCTAAGTGTTCAGGGTTTGGTGTTCAGGGATTGGGGTCCATTGATGGGGGCTCCCCCTTCAAGGGATGGGGCCGAAGGTGTGGGGTAAAATGAGGCGCCTATATTAAAGGGCGGGAGCTGTTCTTGCCTTTCCTTACAGCGCATGAGTTCCTTGCGGTGTCTTGGAGGCTGTGTGGGGGTTTTAAAGACGATACAAACGCTTGGTTTGTTCCAAGGTGGGCCTGAACTACCACCACGACACCTTTGAGACTGTTTTTGATACCAGCCTTGCGCAGAGCTTCTGCACCAGCTGGAAGAACCTTGTTTGAAGACAGTGGTTGCATCAGCCGTGGGACAAAGTGCAACTGTGCTGAGTCAAACATCCTGATAGTATCCTGATGATGATGAAAGTTGCGATGGTGCAGCTGCTACTCTTGCTTACTTACAACAAGTCTTACCATGCGGACTTCAACATGCTTGCTACATACTTTAGAACTTGCTTCCTTGCTCGAGTTGTTGCTTCCTTCCTTCCTCCCTTTCTGCAGCTGCGAAATCCTTTCCTGCTCTATATTCGCTGTCAGCTCCTTCCTCTACTGCTGTTTCCATGACTATGTCGTAGTAGAAGAAGCAGTCGTCGTCGTAGTAGTCGTAGTAGTAGCAGCAGCAGTGTCGTAACAGTCTACTACTACTACTACTACTACTACTACTACTACTACTACTACTACTACTACTACTACTACTTCTACTTCTACTTCTACTTCTACTTCCACTGCCACTGCCACTGCCACTGCTACGGCCGCTACTACTGCCACTCGGTCACGGCCACTGCCACTGCCACCGCCACTGCCACTGATACTGCTGCTCATGCTGATCCGGATTCTCGCATCCATACTATCACTCGTACTCATGCTGGTCCTAATGCTAGTGCTAGACTGGTATCAGTTATAATTCTCGCATTACCAATACCACTACTCTTGCTATGGAATCATACCGGTCCGTAACTAATACCAGCACTCGTACTCCGGCTTCGCATGCTGGAAATCGAAGTAAAGGCTTGGCATTGCCTATATTTTTGCCTACAGCAGCAGAAAAGCTTGGTAAAACAAGGCACAACTCTGCAATGATGGTGGTGCACAAGCGAAATCGTTGTGCGAGTAGCAGCGGCATTGAGCGATGAAGGTGATAATGGTGATGCTGGTGGGGTGACGATGATGCCTCGACACTGACGATGCTGATTGAACATGTTGTGCGGCTTGCGAAGATGGTGGTTTGTGAGGTGATATGGACGATGGTGACGATATTGTTGATGGTTCATGGTAATACCGACCATGACGGTTGTCATCATCTGCGACAGAACCATCATCATCATCATCGTCACTAGCATCATCACCCCCGGCCTCATGGCAATCATGAGCATCACGATCCTCAGGATACTGATCTTGTTAATCTTCGTCATCATCATCTTCTTCGCATCAACAGCAAGGCAACATCATCAGCACCATCGTCACCATCACCAGGTCCAGCATAGCTATCTCCACGTAACAGGTTTTCAAGCGCCGTTTCGACGAAGGACGGCTGCGAGACTCCAGGGGAAATACAGCACTTGTGGACTGGCGCACGGCCCCTCTGCCGACGACTACTTCGCCTGGCAGATCTCCCTGCACCTTGGCTTACCTTTCCTCAAAAAGGGGTCCTTCAAGGGACCTATAAGGGATCTATGGTAGGGTCACTATAAGGGAATATACCGGGGCTGGAGGGCTTACCTTTGGTTAGTAGGGAATGGAAGAATGGTAGTAATAGTAGTTATACTTGTACCCCATTCCTCCATTCCCTACTAACCCAAGGTAAGTTGGCTGCTTTGGAGGTCGCCGATCAGATCATGTTTGTTGTTTTCCAATATAAGGGGGCTCCTTTAAGAGTGGGTAAAGGCCCTGGAGGTTCTAAAGAGTTTACAGGGAACTCCAGAAAGTTGGAATATGGTTTCATGGTAGGATACCCTATAATTTACCATAGAAGGGTTAGGATAATCATATTCCAACTTTCTGGCTTTTACCTTAGGGGTTTAGGGTTTAGGACCAACAGTCGGAGAACCTCGTCTTTTCCCCTTTTGGAGAAGCTCTGCGCGCAAGGAACATGCCGCTGGACTACGTTCCTAAAGAGAAGGAGCGTGTAGGCGGGTCCCGCTGGTCCCTAAGCCCAAAGCCCCAGACCCTCAAGCCGAGCCGAACCCTACTTAAACGATCATGGGACTTAGTAAGTAGGTTATAATTGGGGTTATAAGTCCCCTAAGTGGGGTTACCATAATTATAACCTACTTATAACCTTACTTACTAAGTCCCATGAGCCTTCAAGTAAACCCTGTAGGTTGGCGCAGATGGATGCATGCGCATACTCCGCATCCACCAGATCCGAGACATTGTGCCGTTTATACTCAGACTGAGTGCCAGGGCACGCATTTAGGGGCTCATAGGATCTCAGCTACGGGGCTTATGGTATAGGTCAGGGGACGTTGGAAAGGTTTGCATAACAGTTTCACAAGGGCTTCTCAGTACCCATTTAGGCCCCATAGTAGTTCCTGTTTGGGGTTCATATAAGGTAATCCCAAAAAGGAACTATATACTGTGGGGCCTATGGGTAAGGGTGTTCGCAGCTGGGCAAACGGTAGAGTTTGACAGAAGGGTTTAGGGCTTAGGGTTTAGGGTTCAGGGTTTTAGGGGTCTAGGGTGTAGGGGTTTAGGGTTTAGGTTTCCTGCAAGAGTTCCTTCGCGATATTCCTCAATGAAAGGATGTTGGGCTCTCTGAGGCGTAAAAGCCGGTTTCAGGGCTTGTCTAATAATTAATTATTTTAACTAAATTTCTCAACTTTTGATTAAACGCCAATTCAAATTTCCAAAATACTTAAACTTATAACAACTATTTACAGAGCGGCTTAGGGCTTGGGGGGCCTGGGTTTATGTGGGTAGTTGTCAAAATTAAGGTCCCTTTTTGGGTGCCCTAAATATTAGGTGCCGTATTATAAAAAGGACTCAAAAAGGGAGCCGAATTTTGAGAACCACCCATGTAGAGGTTTGTTGTTTTGGCATTTTACGTTGCAGACCGTTCGCTTTACGGTTTGGTGTTCAGGATGTGCAAACTGTACCCTGACCCCAAGACCCCTAAACTGCTTCAGACCCTAACGCAAGAGCTCTGTTCTAGCTCATAAGGGCCCCACAATACCCCCCTTTAAAGGGTCCCTTAGCCTCTAGTTATGTAGGTCTTTCTTTTCAAGCCGGAGAGCCCGAAACCTTCCCTGTAAAAGCCTAAAGCTCCCTTAAGCTACCAAAACCTGCGTGTTTTTTGTACGGATCCGTGAATTAGACTTAGGTGAGGATGAACAATAAGAAGCTACAGCCAAGTAGGTTACGGTAGTGTACGTTAAACCCTAAACCCCCAAAGCCCTAAACCCCCAAAGCCCTAAGCCCGCAAAGCCCTAAACCCTCAAAGCCCTAAAAACCCCAAAGCCTGAACCCTCAAAGCCCTAAAAACCCCAAAGCCTGAACCCTCAAAGCCCTAAAAACCCCAAAGCCTGAACCTGTGGAGGTATGAAAAGCAGCTGGCGTCCATCTCCGCCTGCCACCTGGTGGTGGAAGACGCGGAGACCTGCCAGGCTTTCTGAGTACTATAGGGGCCTCAAAATAATTGCCTATACCATTTATTATTGGGGTTATCTTTTAAGGGTTCCTTTAAAGGGGTCTATAAGGGATCTATAGTCGGGTTCTATGGTATAGGCACCTGAAGAATTACCAACACTATGTTGTGGGTTCCTTAGGCCTTGTAGGGGTTTTCTAGGTCTTAGGAGACTTTTGCAGGGCTTTATAGGGTTTATTGGGGGGTTTAGGGAATGATGAAGGGCTTTATCAGCGTTTCACAGGTCCCCCATGAGGATGTTCGGGGCTTTGAGGCATTTCATGCTGGGTTTCAATGAGCAGAGGTCGTAGCTTTGGATAGCAACCGCTAAACTGGATATGGGTGGTTGGTTGTCAAAATTATGGTCCCTTTTTGTGGTACCCTAAATATTAGGTGCCCTATTATAATAGGGACCCCAAAAAATGGGACCCTAATTTTGACAACCACCCATATGCCGGCGGTAAGTTCTGTTCAACTAGCGAGGCCCTAAACTAAACACATGCTAAGCGCCATCACCGTCAAGCCCTCCATCTTGAACTCCAGACCAAACGACCTTAAAACCCCTGAAGCCCTTCAGCCCGTGCACCTAACCCTAAACCCTAAACCGTCTAGGCCCAGAGGCCATAACAATTAAACTTTCTAGGCACTTCGAAGAACAAACACCATTCAAGGCTAAGCCGCCACCCCCAACCTTTACAGCCTCAAAGCCCCAAAGGAGACCTTCAAGCCCCTAATGACAACTACACCCCTAAACCAGGAACCCCTTATTCCCGACTTCCTCGCCTCCTAAAACACCCCCACTTTCAAGAATCAAACACTGGCTAACCAACTTCATAGATTCCTAGCCCTAGCCATAAAGCCGATTCACCGAAGAAAGGAACGGCAATGGAGACTGCACGCACACACCCCAAACCAAAAAACAACGAAGGCTTGAACCGTAAACCCTACACCCCTAAACAACCCTTTAACCCAAGCCCTTCAACCCCAAGCCCCTAAACCTAGACCCTCAACTCCTTGTAGTACCCTTATATAGATCACTGATAATAGTCCTTGTAGGAACCTTATAGGAACCCTGTAAGGAAACCTAAGCCCCTAAACCTAGACCCCAAAGCCTAAACCCAAAGACTCCAAAACCAGGCCACCGCGGGTTGCAGCTGGAAACCGATCTTCCAGTCTGGGAAGCCCTTCGCACTCGTCTATTCAAGCAGTTTGGGATTTTGGGGTTTCGGGTTTAGAGTGTAGGGTTTAGGGGAAAGAAGCAACTGTGTGTATAGGTCTATCAGTTTGGCTATTATTTCGTTTAGGCTTTTGCGTTGTTCAGAGGGTTATACTGGTTGAGCCAAAGGTCTTGCTGTTTTTGCGGGTTGGTGCTTGCGGATGTTGGATGGTGGGTCTAGGGTTCTGAGTTCTACTTTCCAAGGGGTGTGATAGGTCTTTAGTCGGGCTGGTTTATAGTGTTGTGGTCTCTGCCTACCCAATCTCACCCTCAACGCTCTAGAATCCACATGAGATGCTCTCATAGTCCCTGTACAGCGATACCATGATAGACCCCCCTGGAACACCGTTCCACCGTGTTTCCGCCAACGCTCCAGGTGCATCGGGACTCCGAAAATCGCCTTCCCGTGGCAGCGTGGTGCCAGTGCCATAGTCGCGGATTGCGATCTGCTCCACCCAACAACGACCACCAGCACGGCGTCGGTCAGTACCATTACAGATACATTAACCCACACTACCACGGTCACTACCGGCACCCAGACCATCTCCACAACACGAAGCTCTGCGTTGTTGGAATTTTCTTTCTTGGTAGTAAATGTGCCTTGCAAACAGTCACAGGAATCGAATGGTGATGCGAGTGAGTCTTCTGAGCATTGTCTCTTGAATATTGTCTGTGCCAAACAAGGAAGCAGCACGATGTCATCTGCCACTACAACATCAACTGTCACCATGAGTGCCTGGGCTTCTCTTGGACCGGATCCTTGCTCTCGAGTGTTGCAGAATATGGGGGGTCGGAATCATGACAAATAGTAACCGCATATAGCTGCATATAGCTCCTAACATGGTATAGTATCACCAAAATCCCCCGTTCTAATTGTGAAATTATTGTGAAGTCGTTTCGCCGAGTGAATCGCCGGAAGCTCAACTCCTCATCAAACCATTCTCGGCGCCGCATGGAGTCTTTACCTAGAGTTTCAGATTCCTCCCAAGGGCCTAAACTTCGATTAAACTTTAAAGGCCTGAATCCGAAACTTCAAGTCATTCCTTAACTTCAAAACCTGAACTTCAACGACCAAAGCCCTCCCCAAACCCTAACCCTAAACCCTAAACCCTAAACCTAAAGATGGCCAAGGCATCACAACTTCGGCGACCAGCCAAACTGCCACGGTCACTTCCACGGCTGCTGGGGCAGCAGTTTAGGGCTTTATGGTTTAGGGTTTAGGGTTCAGGTGTTTAGGGTTTTAGGTTTTATGGGTTTAGGGTTTAGGATTTACGGGTTTAGGGGTTTAGGGTTTAGGGTGTGGGGTTTAGGGTTTCGGAATACTCTCTACTCCAGGCCTCCCGTGAGGATGGTGAACATCGGGGTCTGGAGAATTACCAAATCGTTCGGGGTTCCCAAATATATTATAGGGTTGATGATAGAAATCCTGCACTACCTTAAGGACCCGGAACTATGGGAATTATGGTATATTCCTTATTATGGGTAATGCAGGATTTATATCATCAGCCGTAGCACAAAGGACCCTGCAGACCGCCAATACATCTTTACTCACAAGGCTGGGTTAGTTGTCAAAATTATGGTCCCTTTTTTGGGTACCCTAAATATATGGTGCCGTATTGTAATAGGGACCCAAAAAGGGACCCTAATTTTGACAACCACCCACTTAATAGTGAACCAGTGCGGTTTCCGGGTCTAGAGTGAACCGGGGATTCAGGTAGTTTCTGGTCCCGAGCTTAGCATCCAGGCTTTCTTGGTTAAGCCTCGCAGTTGAGCGCATCGACTTGCGGATATCAGCTAATCAGACAAAGGAGCTCGTAAGAGCCTGCAGTAATAGAGTAGGATGTTGGGGTATACATGTGGGTGGTTGTCAAAATTGGGGTCCCTTTTTGGGTCCTTAATATAATACGGCGCCTAATATTTATGGTACCCAAAAAGGGCAACTACCCATGTGTAGTATAAATGTGAATGGACAGTCGGGGAAGTTGTTGCTATTTTCTCAGACCACTATTTCACCGCCCTAGGTAACCCAGAGACTCTTATCTAGCTCACCGGTCCGCTTCTGATGGGCACCTTAAAATCCAAGTAAGCGTTAGCCCGACAGCTCTCTGAAAGGTTTCTGACCTTCTTCTAGAAGCATCGGCTGAAGCACTTTGGGGCTGCAGGTTTTGCGAGTTGGGGTTTGGGGTTTCCGGTACTCCGGGAAAGGATTCAGAGCTTAGGTGACATCCACCACGCTGACGACCTCCACGATCACATCGACCTTGCTGCTCGGCCGAAAGAAGCCCAACAGCGTCAACCTTACGCCCTCCATAAGCTCGGAGCCGCAAAGCCTAAATCGCACACCGAAAACTTCGACACTCAATGTGTTTGGCTCGAAAGCTTTCAGCCAAAGCAAAGGAACAAGCGAATTTTTACAATTCCAAGCTGAGCCTTTGTGAGCCCGCAAATGATGCCCCCCCGCATGCCCTTCGACATAGCAACGGCCTACTGCAGGGGTCGCGATCCTTGTAAATAGAAGACTGAAAGAAGACTTACAGCACCCTGCTGGAACCGCCCGCGACCCTAAGCCCTAAACTTGCCCTTAACCCTCAACTCTAAGCCCTACATCCTAAACCTTCCCCCAAACCCGAAATCCCAACCCCTGGGCCCTAGACACTCCCTGGACCCGGAACCTCAAACTCAAAACCCCAAACCTTCAAAGCTCTGATTGAGAAAAACGCCAGTAAATCCTAAACCCCAAAATACACCGTAGAATAGCCCTTATCGAACCCTTGTAAGAAGCCGTCCTATCCTAATGGTTAAAGCCTATAGTAGAAGCCAGAAAGTTGGAACATCAGACTCCTCATGCCCTTAAGGTAAAGTATAAGGGATCGTATCACGAATCCTCCTAAAGCCATGTTCCAACTTTCTGGCTTCTACTGTAAATGATTACCAATACTCTTTTGGGGATTCCTGCTTATAGCTAAAGTAGAATGGGCCCCCAAACCCTATCATGATTATTAAGGCCCCTATATTATAGAACCCTACTATAGGTCCTTTATAGAACCTTCTAAAGAACCCTTTAAACGGTGGTAAGAAGCTGTCCTATCCCTTCTAGATCCTTAATAGTAGCCCCTATAGACCTATCCTAGTGATCTAGGGCCCTTAGATATCCCTAAAGCCTAAACATCCCTAAACCCTAAACCAAGGGCCCCTAGATATCACCCTCCTACCTTTGGTTAGTAGGGAATGGAGGAATGGGGTACAATTATAACCACTATTACTACCATTCTTCCACTCCCTACTAACCAAAGGTAAGCCCTTCTGGCCCCTGTATATTCCCTTATAGTGACCCTACTATAGATCCCTTATAGGTCCCTTGAAGGACCCCTTTTGGAGGGCCCCTTCTTGGAGGATCATGGGACTTAGTAAGTATGGTTATAAGTGCCTTAATTGTGGTTATGTGTCAGTAAAAGTATAGTTACCTTACTTATAACCCTAGTTACTAAGTCCCATGATCCTCTAAGTAGACCCTAAACCCTTATCAACGCCCCTATATTATAGAACTCTATTATAGATCCCTTATAGAACCCTTGAAAGGAAGCCTTTAAAGGAGCCCCTAGATATCACCCGTCTAGGCTCCCCGGAAGCTGCCCTGTGCCGAACCTGGGCGACAGCGTCGACGCCTCTGACGCCTGGGGGGCAAAAAGAGGGGCTCGGCGGGGGCTTCCTTTAAAGGGGTCCATAAGGGTTCCTAAAAGGACTACTATAAGGGATCCATAAGGGTTCCTAAAAGGGTTACTATATGGGATCTATAAGGGTTGTAGAAGGGGTTTCAGCGTTTAGGGCGTTGAGGGTTTAGGGTTCGAGGGTTTCTATGCAAGTTTTAGGAAGGATTCTGTAAGGGTTCCTTTAGGGTGGGAAGGTTTTTTGTTTTTGTTGATTCGAAGACATTGCGGCAAGTTTTGAGGACTTTTGAACGCTTGACAGCAACTGTTGTGTAGGTTGTTCTGGGATGTCCTATGATGGACTACAAGGTTTTACTTGGTCTGTGGGGCTGAGGTCATCTGGTGCTTTGACGTGAAGGATCTTGAGTCAGTTTTAGAGGTTGTGGAGCTTTGATTTTCTTGTGTGTGTGCGTGTTCGTTTCAAGCTTTTACAAGGTTACGGTGCTTCAAGACTGGGCTTAAGGCTAGCATGGAATATTCAGAGGCCTGTGATTCTGCGCAGGCAGGCAGTCACAACTAGTGGGCCTTATCGTGTGCGAAAGGGCGGTAGGGTTTCTTCATGGGTGTTCAGCTTGCTCTTCGCTGTTTCGTTGTTGTGATGGAAGAGTTGGGGGCCCCTAAATCCCAAATCGCTGCCACCGGGCTCCTCGGGATGCAACATTCGGCACCCTAAACTTTAAATGCTAAGTCCACACTCCCTAAACTTATAGAGCTTAAACCCAAAACTCTAAACTAAACCCACACCGTTTAAACCCTGAGCCATACAGTCTAAGCTCCTAAAACCTTGACCCGCAAGTTCATGGGTGGGGGTCCAGCAGGTTTACAGTCTGCCGGCACCGCCCCTGCAGAGCCTACGTGTCCATTATTATGGACTATAAGGCAGTTAAGGGGTATTTGGTAGGCTTTATAAAATGTAGCCCCTAGGGTTTAGGGTTGCTAAGAGTCCGTCAAAACGGCTTAAAGGATCGTGGGACTTAGTAACTAGGGTTATAAATAGTATAACTATACTTATAACTACTTATAACCCCAATTAAGGTACTTATAACCATACTTACTAAGTCCCATGAGCCTTCAAGTAAGCTAGGATGCCCAGTCGTACCCTTATTAGGGTACCTTTAAAGGGATCTATAAGGGTTCCTTGAAGGGATCTATAAGGGTTCTATAAAGGGCTTAGGGTTTGCGAAAATTAGGGGCTAGGATGCCCATCAGTACCCTTATTCCCGTTTTGCAGTCCTAGATTCCTTATGAAGGCCAGAAAGGGAGCCCTTTTTATTCCTAGGTTACTGGGCATCCTAGTAAACTCTAAGGCATCAACGATAAGACGAAGACTAGGCATAAGAGGATACTCACAATAAGTACTCCCAAGAGTCATATAACAAGAATCTGAGTGCCAAGAACAATATAGTAATAATAGCTAAACTAGGAAAATTAGTAAGTAATACGAACAGCGGACGACAGCCCAGGATTGCGTGGACAAGTTCCCGGGTGAGACATGCCAGGCGCAGATGACAGCGACGTTGGGTGGGAGTTGGCTAGATACTTAACAACCAGCATCTCTAGAAATGTACGTAGGCACTTCATGCTCCTTTTGCGAGTTCTTTTGCTTCTGAGGGCTCTACCGATAGGCACCATAGTAGTTCCTTTTTGGGATGACCTTATAGGTTTCTACATATGAACCCCAGAAAGGAACTACTGTGGGGCCTATGGGTACGGCCTTCTAGATTCCATGCGTTTGCAGGAATTCTAGAGCTTCACAGGGGCGTATTCCGAAGCTAGACGCTTAGGATTTTGGTTTCGGGGTTTCGGGGTTTTGGGGTTTAGGTATTCAGGGTTTCCTTTAAAGGGAATAGGGTATAGGGCTTAGGGTTTAGGTACTCGGCGGTCTCAGGAACTCAGGGATGCTCTCCAAGTAGTAGGAACCTTATCGACCCAGAGGCCTCTAGGCAAGGTGCCCCTCCTTGGAGGATCATGGGACTTAGTAAGTATGGTTATAAGTACCTTAATTGGGGTTATAAGTAGTTACAAGTATAGTTACCCTAATTATAACCCTAGTTACTAAGTCCCATGATCCTTTAAGTAACTCCAAGAAAAGCCCCCAGGTTGATAGGAACTTCGGCTTCTGTAGGATTGGACAATCAAAGGGTAAAAGGGGGGACCCCTAATAAGGACCCCTAGGTATATACCTATAATATAGCCGTTATATACCCATTATATAGCCCATTATAGGGTAGGGGTCCCCATTGAGGGTCCCTCCTGTTCCACTTTTGAGACAACATGAGTGGACAACATGAGGGAAATTGGCTTTCTGAACCCTTGAAACCCAAGCCGGGACTTCTGGGCCTCTGAGCCGTTGGGGGTGTTGCTCATTGATTTTCGGGCACACTTTGCAGGAAGCCATCCGAAATTTGAAGGCATAGTTTAGATTTGCATAGGTACTACAGATGTCTGTATAGCTTGTAAGATGTCCCTTGAGCGTCGTTCAAAACTATTCCACAGTACACCTCCACTACCCATAGGCCCCATAGTAGTTCCTTTTTGGGGATCATATGTAGAATCCTAGAAGGTAATCCCACAAAGGAACTACCCTGGGGCCTATGGGTAGAGCCATGACAAAATCCCGCCCTCAGCCGCGAAAAGCCCGCAAGCCCGAGTATTTTAGCTTCTCCTCGGGCTCCAGTGACCCAAGTCATGGGTTACTGGGATGCATGCTATATGGTTAGCACCCTGAATCCTCGCTAAAACCTAAAACCTAAACCCTAAGACCTTCTCTTTTGGGTGGGTGTCAAAATTGAGGTCCCTTTTTTGGTACCCTCAACAAAAAGCCGCGTATTAAAATCGATAAGTGCCGTATTAGAATATGGTGGCAGCCGCAAAGTTGGAAGATGCGCACCCAAAGTTCCAGCACCCCACAACTGGAATAAAACACATCTTCCAACCTTGGATTCTTCCAAGTTTGCAAACTTCCAACTTTCGATTACCGCACGAACCGCTCCAAATGCCGGGGACCTAAAGTTGGAAGATGGGACCAAGTCAGACCCAAAATTTAATTGCTGTTTCTCCGTCTCTCTCTGCAATACTGGAGTAATTGCAGTTTTTCTCCCTCTGCAATACTGGAGCGGCCATGGTAATTGCAGCTTCTCTCTTTCTGCAATACTGCAGCGGTCGTAGTAATTGCAATTTGTCTCTTTCTGCAACACTGGAGCGGTCCTAGTAATTGCAGTTTTTCTGTCTCTGCAATATTGGAGCGGTCGTAGTATTTGCAGTTTTTCTCCTTGTGCAATACTGGAGCGATCGTAGTATTTGCAGCTTTTCTCTTTCTGCAATACTGGAGTGGTCGTAATACTTGCAGCTTTTGTTTTCTCTCTTTCTCTGCAATACTGGAGTGGTTGTAGTAATTGCAGTTTCTCTCTTTCTACAACAGTGGCGCGATCCTAGTAATTGCAGTTTCTCTCTCTCTCTCTGCAATATTGGAGCGGTCGTAGTAATTGTCGTTTCCCTCTCTCAGCAATACTGGAGCGGTCGTAGTATTTGCAGATTTGCTATTTCTTCATTACTGGAGCTGCTTCCCCCAAACCGAAAGTTGGAAGATACCGTTACCGCATCAACCGGTCCAAACGCCGGGACCTAAAGTTGGAAGATGGGACCAAGTCAAACCTAAAGTTGGAAGATGCCGTTGCCGCATCAACCGTTCCAATTGCCGCCTTCCAACTTTCCGGCGGCTACTGTAGGGACCCAACGAGGGGACCAGAGTTTTGACAAGCACCCAACTTGGGCAACTGGAGCCCCTGGTTTTTTTGTTACGAGGAGCGCTACTTTTGAAGAACTCAGCACCAGTACCCCAAAATCAAGGAATATGGCTTAAATTATGTAGGGCTTCATATTATGATTGAAGAAATATTCCTTAATTAAGGGGTATTGGGCTCTCTGGGAATTGTAAAGAACTCAGCACCGATACCTATAGGCCGCATTTCTACAGAAGAACCCCCCAAAAGGAACCAGTACGGTTGATGATATAAATCCTGCATTAACCATAATAAGGAATATACCATAATTCCCATGGTTTAGGGCCCTTAAGGTAATGCAGGATATATATCATCCACAGTATGAGAGCGACTTTCAGCAAGCACCGGGACCTTCCTCTACAGGTAGCTAGAAATAGGCTTTGGGGGAAATGTTTAATTTGGGGGAAATGTTTAATCATCGGTTTAGGGTTTAGGGTTCGCTAAACCCTAAACGTTATTGACCATATATTATGAATATGAAAGGGGCCTATGGATAGGAAGGCGTCGTTACTCAGGCTTCCATAGTAATTCAGTTCAGGGTCTGGGGAACCTAAACCCTGACGTAACCTACCAAAGCCCACTTGCTGCAGAAGCCCTACACTTTCCCCCAAGGGTCCAAGTACCTACTAATCATATACTCTCCGAAATCCTAACCTACGTAACTACAATCCTAAAACCGAGTACCTGATTATTGGGTTCTTCGGAATATTGGGGTTCCATAGTTGAAGGCCATCCCTGAACTCGAAGCCTTTGGGGAAGTGTTCAGGTGCTCTGTGCAACGGGAAACCTGGGTGATCCGAGCACCTTCTCCTGCAGCCAGCAGGCCTTCTGCCTGGAAATGGAGGGTTAAGTTTAGGGTTTAAGGGTTTAAGATGGTTTAGGGTTGAGACGCTTGAGGGGTTTCGGGCTTCGGGCTTCGGGCCTTGAGGAGCGCTGGTGTCGCGATTGTTCGTGCCATGGTTGGGAGTAGATGTGACCTTTTAGCTGCAGATCTTACTGAACAAACAGAAAATATCAAGTCTCAGTGGGCTTTTCGTCATGCGAAAGAGCTGCAAGGGCAACAGCCATTGTCATGATGCTGTACAAAACTAGCGATAGTCGACTGCTCTTGATCCTGCTCTTGCCCCTGCTCCTGCTGTTGCTTCTGCTTCTCCTGCTGCGGCTGCTGCTGCTCCTGCTGCCGCTGCTCCTTCTGCTGCTGCTGCTGCTGTTCCTGCTCCTGCTACTGCTGCTGCGGCTGCTGCTACTGCCACCGCTACCTACTAGAACGGCATTGGCAATGCCGTCACTGGTGGTGAGAGTGTTGCTTGACAGCCCCAGTCGTTGGCTGAAAAGCATAATAAGTCCTGGAAGCAAACAGTTCCTTCCCAAATCAAATCTTCACCCCTGCGTTACAGCCCAAGTCCTGACCCGGCTCGGTGCTCCTCAACGTATGGATTCTCAGAATATTCTCTTCCTGCAAAAGCCCGAAATAGTCGCATCCTGCTTGGACCGCTAAGAGTGGTGACCCTCCCCCCACTGTTGAAAAAAACGATGTAGCCCTGCAGGAGATTTTCACCGGCGAAGCGCCGACGTGTACGCCGACCACGACGTGGACAACGGTTCTTTCAGCTGCATTGGAACATCGGAGGGGTGCCTCCTTATGGGCTCGGGGTTCAATTCAAGCAAATCCTAAACGTTCAAGCCTAAATCGTGTATTGTTCAAGGCTGTGAGGGGCCCAGCATGTTGTGCAGAGGTAGAGTCCTCATTATGAAGGCGATGATGAAGAGGATCATGTAGACGAATGATGGTGATTAAGCTTCTGATAGTCGCCTCTTTGGCCGTAGCCTCTGCTATCTTCACCTTCACCCTCAGCTTCATCTCGACCCTCATCTTCATGTTCATCTTCAGCCGAGGCCACCACTACGCAGACACAGCTCGTCTTCTGCTCCGGCGGTTTGCCAACCGGTCCAGGGGTGGATGCCGCTCGGCTTGGCTGGTGAAGGCTCAGTGCAGCACTGAGGACCCGAAGAGGATTTAACTGCAACCCCTGAGCCCTAGATCCTGCACCCTTCTTTCAGCCCCTTCGCAATTTTATCACATTGGTGGCTGGCTGAAGCGGAGCAGCTAACGCACTAATCCAAGAGTCGCCAGGTGCAGCATGCAGTACTCACACCGAGGATTTCTCGGCTTCCTAAACTCGGGTGTCCCTCATTCTGAGTAGTTGCCGCTCTAAAGCACTCTGGATAGAAGTCCTGTTCTGCATGCTAGTGTCATTGCCAGCGACGGCTTCATGGTCGCATTCGGAAGGGCATAGACCATGTGCCTTTGGCTGGGAAAGTGTTGCCTTTTCCCTTGTTGAGGTTTCGGATTTCGAATCCCGGATTGCTCAGGGCTTACAGGGAACTCCAGAAAGTTGGAATATGGTTTCATGGTAGGATTCCCTATAATTTTCCATAGAAGGGTTAGGATAATCATATTCCAACTTTCTGGCTTCTACCTCATAGGATTCTAAATATGAACCCCAAAAAGGAACTACTATGGAGCCTATAGGATTCTTTCAGAGGCTTGCAAGGGCCAGCCGAGCTGGTAAAGAAACACTTTGAGCGCCTCGAACTCGTCTCAATCGGGGCCCTCAAAAAGGGGGTCCTTCAAGGGACCTATAAGGGATCTCTAGTAGGGTCACTATAAGGGAACATACAGGGGCCAGGAGGGCTTACCTTTGGTTAGCAGGGAATGGAAGAATGGTGGTAATATGTAGCTATAATTGTACCCCACTCCTCCATTCCCTACTAACCAAAGGTAAGTTGAGAAACAGCAAGTAATTGCAAATCGCAAGAGTCATTATCACCTACTTGAGAGCCAGTGGCCGAGTCTCCCAGAGCCCTGGGAGGATCTCCAGAAAGTAAATGCTCTAATTTGGGACGGTATACTTCAAAAGAGTACTTGAATGGACCCCCCTTGATTAAGGGATCCACTTCTTGTGGATCTTCAGACAACAACTTAGGCGAGTTGGTTGTCCGTGTTTTAAGGCTCTGGGGTTAGGGCAGCCCTGAATCCTAAGCCGAAGCAGCCGTGCCAGCAAACGGAGAAGAGCTACTTACCAAAAGTCCAGCCCTACTTCCTCAACCGCAAACTCTGAGCCCTACACGTTAAAATGCTAAAGCGTAAGCCCTCACCTCTCAAGAAGCAACGTTTGAGTGATCAGGTGAGCGACTGCCTGGGCAAAGTGAATGGCCAAACCTGTGCTTGGGCTCCACTGTCCGTACCCTTTTTTGTTTTTTCATTTTTTCAGCTTTGGGCTTTTTCCTTTTTTCCTTCTTGCGGCTTGGGACTAGGAGACGAGGGTTTCGTGGGACATCTTTCCCTTGTTTGCTTCGGAATCGGAGTTGCCTGTTGAAACTGAAGCAGATAAAAGAACATCCGAAAAACTGGATGCCCGGGCGCCGGTTTTCGTTTGAGGTTCTGGGAATAGGGCTTACATAAGCCAGGGTAATTGGTGATAGAGTGGCACTGTAGCACGCGTTTAAGCGTGCCTTACCTCAGCACGACTGATCCCTCCAAGCCCCATACCTCAGGGTTTTGGGTAAGCTTTAAGCCTTCAGCCATCAACTCTTAACCGCCTTTGACCCTTAAATGAACCCTAAACCCTGAACCGCTGGAGGCTTCAAGGTTAGTAACCACACACATATATATATATATATATATATTATAGTAAGCCTTTATTTACGTAAGTGGAGCCCGAAGGTTTAGGCTTTTTTCCGGCTTCCAGTCAGTCGAGGCACCGTTTCCTGCGTGGCGACTTACCAGGGAGAGGATGCCGAGTATGTCTGCAACCCCACTGAGGCCCAACGGGGGTTTAGGGTTTAGGGTTCCTTTAGGGTTTAGGGTTTAGGGTTCCTTTAGGGTTTAGGTTTAGAGTTTAGGGGTTCAGAGTTTAGGGTTTAGCCTTGTAGGTGCAGAGTTCTAGTGGCGGTGGTAGCTCCTATCACAACAGCACTCCTGCTATCCCCAGCTCAACTTGGATAATTTTGTAGGTTCAAGATCGATGGCCTAAGAGCTAGATTCTAGGATCTAGGACTCCGACAGGCTTTAGGTTCAGAGTTAATGTAATGACTGGTGATTAGAGGGTTGGCTTTTTAATCAGGGGTGTGACTTGTGTTTCAGGTTCCTCAGTAATTATCGATCATAGTGTTACCTGTTAATTTCGGGCGCTTGAACATTAGTTTGCTTTTGTTTTGTGATGTGGCAAGTGTTAAGTCTTTGTGATCGATTATGAACTTTGATGCGGCCAGCCGAAGCTATTGAAGGGGTTTTACTTGTGTTGGTGCTTTCTTCCGGGTTCTAGGGTTTAAGATTTTAGGCCTCCCAGTCGGCCCTTTATCACTTTTTTTTAATCGTCCTAGGTTCCTTATAAAGCTACCCAAGACCAAAAAGAGAGCCCTTTTTATTCCTAGGACTTGGCCGGCTGTTTTGCCCTTCTTCAGGAGTTGCCTCTGTGGACTTCCATTCCTCCTTCGGCTTCGGTGGAGTGACATCGTGTCGTGTTATATATATATATATATATATTATTATTTTTATGTCATAGACTGTATTATATTATATTATATTATATGATATTATATTATATTATATTATATGATATTATATGATATTATATGATAATATAGTTTAAAATCTCTTGCCATATACTGTATCATATACATATTATCAGGGTCCTACTATGCAGCACTCCTCCGGGAAACGCACAGGACGCTGTTGTGGTCCCCTTTTCTGGACCCTTTCAGAAGCCTTGAAGGAATCCATGAATCAAAGGAACCCTTACAGTAAGCGCCTATTCTTCCAAGAAAGGTATGCAAGGCGACCAAGGACAGAGTTCCCTCTATCCATCCATCCATCCATCCATCCATCCATCCATCCACCCATCTGTCCATCCATCTGTAATGCGAGAGGCGCGCTTCGCGGGCCCGGAAGTGTCCCGGCGAATTGGAGTTCTGGGTTTCGGATTCCGTGCTGCTCAGCATTTTGGGTTGAGGAGTCGTCGATTCGTCGGGGAGGGTTTAGGGCTTAAGGTTTACTAGACGCCCAGTGGTACCCTATTCCCTTTTTGTAGTCCTAGATTCCTTATAAAGTTACCCAATACCAAAAAGGGAACCCTTTTTATTCCTAGGTTACTGGGCATCCTAGTTTAGGATCTGGCTTTAAAGCCCATCATTCGCTGTACCCTCCTGCGTCTTTGGGAGACTCCGAGCACAGGGTTCATAGGGAGCCCAATACCCTCATGAACCACGAAATCATAACATTAAGCTCTCTCGAGTTGTTCTTACAATCTCTGAGTTTAGGGTTTAGGGTTTAGGGTTTAGAGTTGGGGGTTGAGGGGTAAAGCTCTGGTCCGAGAGAGTGCGCGCATCTGGATCTCGGCACGCAAGAAGTTGCTGACTATTCCTTGTCCGTAAACTTTGCTTCACCTTTTTCAACCATTCAATACGCTGTTGGAAGCCGGTCAACAACAACATGTACTTTATTGCAGGGCTTCTTGGCCTTGCCTCTACTTAGTAGGGTGAGGGTTGAGCTTACCACAAGTATTAGGCTTTTTCGGGGTGTTTTTTGTGTTTTTGGGGTTGTGGGGTGTAGGACTCCGGCACCTGGCTCTGAGGTTACATGCAGCAAGATCACCTGCTCCGCTGACCAGCTACCAGCTACCGGGCTGGCATTCAGCGACGGATCTTGTTGAGCTGCGAATTTTCGGGATTAGGGTTAAGAGGGTTTGGGTTTAGAGTTTAAATTTGGCGCCGTGAGACCCTGAACCCTCGAAGCCAATCCTGCACTGTTTCTCGTGCTCCTTCAACTGGGCCCTCGAGTGCTTCGAGGCATCGGGCATGACCGGAGTCTTTTATTATCTTCACAGAGAACAGAGCCGGTTTGTTCTTCTCAACACGACCCAGATCCTGCACTGGGTAATATGGTGGTCAGAATATGTCGAATAGATTTAGGGTCTAGTCCCCGCCTTTGTCTCTGTATTACCCCGGAACAGAACCCGACACCCTAAATGCTAAAGCCGGTGTATGAATGCGGGATTTCGTGTGACTTCCGAAGCTTTCCTGAGGCTGGCTACGACACTTCTGCGTGTGCAGAGACTGCTGCCGGAGACGCCTGTGCTGCAGATGGCCCCCAAAACCCCCCACTACCCCAAAATTACTGACTCCTTAGGGGTACTTAGAAATAATTTTTAATTTTTGGTTATTATAATCCCTAAGAAACTGACTGGATTTGGGGTATAGTTTGGGTATGGGTCTCATGTACAGTCGTTTCACACTGACGTTACCTTTTGGCTCAAGTGCGCGGTTGCTAAAATAGCGTTTCATGGTAGCGGAGCACCTGGTTGATGGTGCTTACACTTCTCTTGCGTGCCGCTTGTGGTAGAAGGGCACGACCTCGTGAGGGGAGAAGGTGGATACACGATCCAGAGCGCGCACAGAGGAACTGGGTTCGGCTGCTAGCCAAGTTTCGGAAGGTACGAAAGTACCAGAGGTTGTTCCACAATCTGGGGCTTAGGCTTCAGGACTTCCCGCGGGGATTGCTGGATAGGATCTCGAGAATCCTGGGCGGCGTCGTACGGCGACGCACGCGGCTCTTTGGAAGGTAAGGCCCGGTTCGGGACTTGCCTAGGAAAGAGAGGCAATGGCGGGAGAAGGGCAAACAGGAGAGCAGCTCCTGATGAGGCTGCTGCAGACGCAGCAGGAGCAGATGGGACAACTCCAGAGACTGCTAGAGCAGAACCAGAGGCCACGCGGAACCGTGGTGGATACAAAGGCTATTGGCCGACCTGAGAAATTGGGAGGAACACTGGAGGAAGCCTCGCGTGCATGGCGCCAGTGGAACTACCGGCTGGAGCTTTGGCTCACGAGCCAGTTTCCAGAAACCCGGGCAATCCTGACTTGGGCTCGGACCCAAGATGATGAAATCGCCGTTACCAGGCTGAGAGAACAGCTGGTGGATGGAGTGACTCCGGAAAAGGTCCAGGAGTTCAATCGACAACTGGAGGTAGTCCTGGGTACTTTGACTATGGACACCCCAGGGGATATCACAATGAACTCGAGCGCAGGATCCGGACTGGACATGTACCGGCGGCTCCATGGGAGATTGGATCCGACCGACATGGTCACGAGCTTTAGGTGGTTGCGGCAGCTCATGTCGACGAAGCCAGTTGCAGAAGTGAGCGACTTGATCGCTGCAGTGGAGAGATGGGAGGACCAGCATCGGAGGTATGCTGCCCGTCGGGACTGCACGGCGCTGACCGAGCGCCAGAAGATGGTTTCGTTGTTGGGAATGGTTCCCGCGGAGTTACAGTCACACTTGGAGCTCAACCTTCCACGGCTCAACACGTACGACCTTTTACGGAGGGAAATCGTGACTTTCGCCGAGAACCGCCGGGCATTCACTGTGGATGACTCCGGCGCAATGCCTATGGATATCGACTACGCCAAGGGGAAGGGGAAAGGAAAAGGAAAGGACAAGGAGACCCGTAAGTGCCACAAGTGTGGCAAAGTGGGCCATCTCGTAAAGGACTGCAGGAGCCCAATCGACATAAGGAAGAACAAGGATGCAGGAGGTGGTTCTAGTGGTTACCCCAAAGACCCCACCCCAGGAGGTAGAGGTAGTGCAGGGAAACCGCCGAAGGGTAAGGCTCAAGGTAGGGGCCGCGGCGGGAAAGGCAAGGGCGGACACGCCCGCGAGCTAGACGGCGAAGAAGAAGAGCCAGACGGCGAGGAGCCTGAGCAGGAGGAGGACTACGAAGCCGAGGTGGGCTTCATAGGAATGCTCGAAGGCGAAGGAGAGGACCCGGGAAGGGGAGACGAGACGCCAAAGAAGCCGGAAAGAAAGGAAAAGAAAGAAAAGAAGAAGGAAAAAGAGGAAAAGAAAAGGAAGAGCCCAGAGGGCGACGACGAGGACTGGGGAACCTGGCGTTCTGACCCCAGTGCTTCTGGCGCGGGATCGTCTCGAGACCCGCCAGAAGGGGGCAGGGCACGAGCAAGTGCCAAAGCCAAGGCAGCTGGCGGCACTTCCTCCATGACGGGGGTTGGGCTGCGACTCCTCGAGGGCAACCTGGTGTCCGAGCTGCAGGCTCGCCAGGCCGAGCTCAACAGGGCCCTGGCTAGTGCCGAAGGTGACGAGGAAAGGGCCAACCTAGAAGCCCAGCTCGAGGAAGTCACCCGGCAGCTGAAGGAGCTTGTGGCTAAGAGGAGGGCTGCCAGGACGGCTACCGCTGGGAGTTGGAAGTCGTCGGCACGCTTCTTGGCTGACGTCCGCTCGGGACGCAAGGCCAAGCTGGCCAAGAGGAAGGAGCTTAGCCGCCAGCGAGCGGCGAAGCACAGGCAAGCCTCCCGCGAAGGGAGGGCTCGCGAAAGGGTTGCGCTGGACGAGGAGTGGCAGAAGAGGTACAACAAGCCGCTTAAGAAAGACGACGGCAAGAAGGCATCCTACCCGCTGATGCCGGAGAACACCGATCGAGAGGCAAGACCCTTGAGCAAGCGAGCTAGGGAAAACCTTCGCCAAGAAGGTGCTGGGGACGACGTCCCGGAGGAGCACGTTAGGGCTTGGCGAGAAAAGCCTAAGACTCCTGGGGAACGTGCTGGCAAGCGCCGCAGGGAAGCGGCCAGGAAGAAAAGAAAGGAGGAAGCTGCGAGCGGCAGTGCGGGACCCGTTTCGGGAACCGCAAAGGCCAAGGCCGCAGCCAAGCCAGAGGCTAAGCCCAAGGCAAAGCCTGCCACCTGCAAAGGGCAAGAAGGAAGTGAAGGGCACCGACCGGCCTGCTGAGCCGGCGGGGGAGCCTCCGCGGAGGCGAGCCAGGCCCAAGCACTCTGCAAGGGTAGCCGAGGCTATCCGGACGGCGCCGTGGCGTAACGACGGCAAGTTGCCCGGGGAGCAGGGGAAGAAGGGTGGAAAAGAGAGCGGCAATAAGGGCAGTGGTGGGACCCCGTCTCGGGACCCACCAAGGAGCCCAGAAGGAGGAAGAAGTGGAGGTCGAGGTGGAAGAGGAAGACCCCGACGCAGACCATGTGCCACTGGGGGGAAGAGGTCCCGAGGACCCACCCGACGGAGAAGGCGGCCTGGAGGGCCGGGTTGGAACCGTGTTTTCCTTATCTGGGAATGGGGCCGCTTCGGCACCTTCCCGGAACCAGAAGCATCCCTCAATGGAGGTGATCCTGGACAGCGGTGCAAGCCACAACGTGCTGCCAGACAAGGTGTACCAGAAGCTCTTCGAGGAAGGGAGGGCCACAGCCTTGAAGGAGGTGAGTTCGCCACTTAAGTTTTCCACGGCGAGCGGGGAGAGTCTGCCCAACCTGGGCACAACGGAGTTGCTTCTGAGTGGCCCGTCTTCGGATGGGAAGGCCACCAGGTGCAGATGCATCTTCAACGTGGCAGCTGTGCAACGCTGCCTCCTTTCCACCGGTCGTGCGATGGACCGTGGCAACGCCTTGGTCTTTGCAGGTAAGGAGGCCACGCTGTACCTCCCGAATGGGAGTTCTTTGGTCTTCCCGGTGCGCGGGAGCCCTCGCGCGTCGTTCCGTGTGCTTCCGGTGCACTCGCACCCTCCACGGCTGCTGCCTACAGCGTAAGCCCGGCTACCAAAGGCTTCAAGCCAACAAAGAGCTTTTTAAGGGCCCTGGAAGGGCTAAGCATCCCTGAGGGATGCGCTTCGCTGCAAAACTTGTTGGGAAAGGACCTTGAAGGTAGGAGCCGTAGCTGTAGAGCCGTTTCGTTTCACCCAGAACAGAGCCATTTTGGCGCGGTAGGAAGGAAAAAGGCCGAAAGTGCCTGTAGGGTAGGAGTGTCTGAGACCCTAACCCCGGTTGGTTTAGGTGGTTTGGTTAAAGGAAAGGAGAGGAAGGAAAAGAAGGAAGGAGGAGAAGAAAGAAGGGCGGCAGGCGCCGCAGCTGAGTACTACAACCTCTTTCCGGAGCCGGAGGTGTTCCCGATCCACTCTGACGGTGAAGAGGACGAGGCCCGACCGTTTGGGGATGGTGAGCCACGCCAGGCGGAGCCCGCTTCGGGATCCGCCCAGCCAGGAGGCGAAGAAGCACAGCGTGCGAAGCCACTTCGAGCACCGCCTGTGCCCACGCCTCAAATGGTTGCTGAGCACGAGGTGACACATATCCCTTACCGATCGTGGTGCCCAGCATGTGTAGCTGGACGGGGGCGAGCCTACTCGCACCACCACGAGGGCCGAGACTCCACAGTGCCTGTGGTATCAGCTGACTACCTGTACTTCTCTGAGAAGGGAGTACCGGGAAAAAGCCTGCCAACAGTTGTCTTGAGGGACCGTGCCTCAAAGGCCATCTTCTCGCATCTGCTGCCAACTAAAGGGACGGTGGGTTCGACCTATCCTGAAAAGGCGGTGCTTCGAGATTTGAACTGGCTGGGGTACAAGCGCTTGGTTCTTAAGACAGACCAAGAGAACGCGATCAAGGCATTGGGGGCAGCTGTGAAAGCTGGTTTTCCAGAGGACTTGACTCTGGAAGAGTCGCCCAAGGGAGACTCTCACGGGCAAAGCAACGGCACAGCTGAGAATGCAGTGCAACGTGTGCAGGGACAAGTGCGCACGATGAAGTATGCCCTGGAGCAAAATGCTGGAGGAGAACTACCTAAGGACTCGGTTATCTTCCCTTGGATGATCGAGTACGCAGGGGTGCTCCACACCTTGTTCTCTCAAGAGGACAGCGAGGGCATGACTCCGTTTCAGAAGCTGAAGGGCCGAACCTGGCAAGTAGCTCTTCCAAGCTTTGGAGAAATCGTGGACTATCGCCGAAGGGCGAAAAGCAAGCTTGATGCCAGATGGCAAGAAGGAGTCTACCTAGGACTGCGGCTTACGAGTTCGGAGAAGATTATCGGGACGCCCTCGGGTATCCTGGTGGTGCAGTCTATCCGAAGGAAGCCTGCAGACAAGCAGTTCAATCTCGAGATGCTGAAGGCTGTGAAAGGAACTCCCTGGCAGCCTAATCCCGAGAAGAGCACGAACGCCGATGCAGACAGACTCCCGGAGCCTATCGTGATAGAACCTGTGGTCGAGCAAGCAGAGCTTCCACCGAAACCTGGAGAAGCCGAACGGTTGCCTACGTATCGGAGAATGTACATCCGACAAAGCGACCTGGAGCAGTTTGGCTATACTGGGGGTTGTGAAGCCTGTGCCGCCATTCGCGAAGGCAGAGAACGCCAAGGTATCAACCACAACGAGACGTGTAGGAAGCGGATCCAAGAGGCGCTGAAGGACACCTCTCGGGGCCAAGCCCGCCTAGAGCGAGAAACTCAGCGCGAGACCGAGTACTTCACGAAAGTCCACGAGGCAGAAGAAAAGAAGAGAAAGGCTGCAACAGAGAAGGAGAAAAGGCCTGAGGCAGGAAGTGCAGAGGCGAGCGAGCCCAGCCAACCTAGCAGGCCACCAGAGCAAGCAGCAAAGAAAGTGGAGAAAAGGAAACCCTCTAAAGCAGAGCCTGTCTCCGTTTCGCGAGAGAGTAAGAAGCCAGCAGTTACCGCTTCGGAAGCTGCTTCGGCGAGCAAACGGAAGAGCGAGGACCCTGGAGACCAAGAGAGGTCCGAGCTGAGGCCTGCAGAGGACCGAGCAGAAGGCTCTAAGCGCAAGGCTGAAAACGTCGAGGGAATGATTGAGACGCTTATTGCTGGAGAGCGAAAGGCGTGGATTGAATCCCTGGAAGGAGTCGAACAGCCTACCTGCGACCTGGTTGATGGTTTAGTGGAAGAGGTTCTTGCGGAGACCTTCTACGACGACCTCACCGGGAAAGAGCTTCCAGCTGAAGGTGTTAAAGCAGCCCGGGCAGAGGAAGTGAGCGTCATCAGGCAGATGGGAGTGTGGGAAGTCATACCCCGTCCTGCAAACGAGAAGGTGATCGGTACGCGATGGGTGGACATCAACAAGGGGGATGGTGCCCGTCACAAACTGAGATCCAGGCTTGTCGCTCAGGAACTCAAAAGAGCCCGCGGACCGCAACAACCAGAGGACCAGTCCACTTGGAGCGATTTCTTCGCTGCAATGCCGCCGCTCAGTTCTCTTCGGGCGCTATTCTCTTTAGCGACTACACAGCGTGTACCCAACACTCGGGGAAAGCTGTCACCCGTTGGGTCTGGAGGCGAAGTCTGCCTCATGTTTCTGGATGTGAAGAAAGCTCACTTTTGGAGCCCTGTGCGTCGGAGACTCCTTGTGGAGCTTCCACCAGAAGCTGGAGAGGGACGAGACAAGGTTGGACTTCTGAAGCGTTCCTTGTATGGGACCAGGGATGCACCTTCCAATTGGGAGAAAGCCATCAAGGATGCTCTGGAGGGCTTGGGCTTCAAGCAAGGAAGAAGCAACCCATGCCTGTACTTCCACGAGGAGAAATCTTTGCGACTCAACGTCCATGGAGATGACTTCACAGTGGTTGGAAGTTACAAAGAGCTCAAGTGGCTAGAGGCTGAACTGGGCAAGGTTTGGACAGTAGAGACAAGAGGCATCCTGGCTAGACCCGGTTCGGAGCTGCCAGGCGTGATTCATCAGATCTCTGTCTTGAATCGCCTAGTAACGTGGACCCAAGAAGGCATCGAGATGGAAGCCGACCCAAGACATGTGGACTTAGTTCTGGAACAGCTGGGTCTGGAAAAGGGAGTTTCTGTGACCACTCCACTGGTCAAGGTGAAAGAAGAGGACATGGACAAGACTCCACTTGGTACTGCTGAAGCAGCTCTGTACCGTTCTATCGCTATGCGGATAGGTTATCTGTCTATGGACAGGCCGGACTTGCTTAGGACCGTCCGCGAGTTGGCGAAAGGGCTGAAAGAACCTCAACAACACCATTGGGGTCTCTTGAAGAGAGCTGCAAGATATCTCCGAGGATCTCCTAGGCTGGTGCAATTGATCCCGTATCAAGAGCATTTCACAAGCATCAATGCTTGGTCCGACAGTGACCACGCTGGGTGTATCAAGACTAGGAAAAGCACGACTGGAACCGTGATCCAGCTCGGAGAAGCAACGGTGAAGACGGCAGCCAAGGGGCAAGCTGTGATTGCCCTGTCCACTGGAGAAGCAGAATACTATGGCTTGATATCAACAGCCTCAACCGCTTTGGGCGAGCAAGCAATGATGGCGGACTGGGGTGTAAAGCTGTCTGTCAACATAGCTATGGATGCCAGCGCGGGCATATCCATCGGCTCGCGACGAGGGCTGGGTAAGGTCAAGCACATTGACACCTGCTATCTGTGGGTGCAAGAAATAGTGGATCAAGGAAGAATACGCCTGAAGAAGGTCAACACGCAAGACATGCTGGCAGACCTCATGACGAAGCCTTTGGACGGCCAAACTGCTACGAAGCTATTGAGTCGAATGGGCTACACCGTCAGGTCTGGAAAGCATGAGCTGGCCTTAGGAAAGGCGTGAAGGAATACCCCAAAGAACTCGCAGGGAAAGCAAAGCGTGATCCCTACTCGGGAGGCGTGACTGGATTTGGGGTATAGTTTGGGTATGGGTCTCATGTACAGTCGTTTCACACTGACGTTACCTTTTGGCTCAAGTGCGCGGTTGCTAAAATAGCGTTTCAGAAACAGCTAAAATTACAATTTTTGCTAGGGTTCTAAGTTCAGCATAGAGCGATTAGGGGCTCATCAGGGTTTAGGCTTAAGGGTTTGGGGTTTATCAGAAGATCAAGCCTTTTTCAGAATTTTCAGCTGAACCCCTGCATCCGAAACCCCTGAACCCTAAACCCTAAATCCTGTATTCCTTGCTTGCAGGGTCTTGTGGGCTCTCCGAGTCTCCGGTCGCTGTCCTTTCGTGTTCGATTAGACCTACGAGCAGGGCCCAGGGTTACCCTGAAACCGGGGGTTTTAGTCAACAAGGACAGGGGTTCAGGGTTTAGGGCGCGCTTCTCAAGGATGATGCGGGGTTGAATAGCCAGTACTTGTTACCATTCGTATTCTTCTTAGTATTATGCGTCTTGCTACTGCTATTATCATTATTGGTATGAACTAACAGTAACTAACACTAACTGGGAATCCCCATCGCTTCGGAAGCTGTCGGCGACATGAGAAGACGAGCGATGCTTGCAAGACCACACCTTGCACTGGCAGCCATGAGCGCGAACAAGTTCGCTAAACCCAAACAGCTAAACCCTAAACGCCTAATCCCTAAACCCCGAAACCTCTAAACCCTCAAACCACCCAACCCTAAACCCTAAACCCCTAAACCCCCTAAACCACCAAAACCCCCCAAACCCTAAACCAAACCCTAAACCCTCAAAGGTTCCTAGGAACCCCCCCCCACCCCCCGCCGGGCCTCAGGAGACCCCAATATCCCTTAATTAAGGAATATACCGTAAATTCTAGTAGGATGCCTAGTATGATTTCAGGTATATTCCTTAATTAAGGAATATACCGTAGGTTATAGTAGGATCCCTAGTATGATTTAAGGTATATTCTTTAACTAAGTGATATTGGAGTCTCTGGGGCTGAGGAAATCTGCATCGTCTCCTGTCTGCCCGGCTTTGCGCCGGCCTCCGCGGCCTTCCTCTGTGGGTCGGACGGTCCCATGGCCTTCAAGATCGGGTGTAATGGTATATTCTAACTATAGTCTCCTTCGGAATTACTTTTGTGTTCATATAAAACCCAAGAGAATATTAAGAATATCATGTTAGTTATATTTCTAAGGGGGTGCAGTTTAAGGGCTTAGGGGTTTAAGGGCTTAGGGGTTTAAGGGTTTACGGGTTTACGGGTTTAGGGGTTTAAGGGTTTGGGGGTATGAGGGTTGGGGGTTTCAAGATCGTGTGTGGAGGGGTTTGGGGGCCTTAGTAATTAGAATGGGGTTCCTTCAAAGGGATCTTTAAGGGCTGTTAGAAGGATTTAATGCAAGATCGGATGTCATGGTACAGTTTAAGGGCTTGCGGGTTTAACGGCTTAGGGGTTTGGGGGGTGAGGGTTTCGAGATCGGATGGGAGGGTATTGGTGTTTAGGGTTGGGGGGCCTGAATGGTTCCTTTGAAGGGGTCTGCAAGGGCTGTTATTAGGATTTAATGTAGGGGCCTGAAGCATTACCTTAAGTATTCTTGGGGTTCCCTATTACGGCTATAGTATAGTATAGCGCAAAACCGGATAGTGGGGTTAGGGCTTATAGAGTGTAGGGGTGTAAGGGTTGAGGGTTTAGTGTTCTTTCAGATGGGATGTACCGGTATAGCTTCAGGGTTTAGGGTTAAGGGTAAGGGCTTTGGGGTTTAGGGGTTCAAGGTTTGGGGTTTAGGGTTCTATAAGATCGGATGGAAGGGTATAGCTAGGGTTTAGGATGGGGGTTTCGGGTTTAGGGTTTTATAATGGCATTAGAGGGTCTATATCCGCGGATGTAGTCGTATAGTGGGTTCTTTACTATAAGTTCCTTTCAACATACCACCAAACAACCAATCGAATTACAAGGCCGACTTTCTCGAGGCCACAGGCTTCTCGAGGCTGAGTAGGCAGAAGGCCAGCCATACACTCCTGAGTTCAGGAATGTATCGTAACTCATAGTAACATGATTCAGCTCCTTATGATTTGAGTCAAGAGCTCTACCTTAGATCTATGTTCGCTAATTCCCGGGTAACGTGGTAATGTGCTCTTTTCGCAGGGGGTTTGTCTGCCCCCCGACCCCAAACCTCAGGATTCTGTGTTAAGGGTTCCGGGCTTGTGTAGACCCTCGACCCCACACCCCAAACGGCCCGTGAAGCGAAGGCCTGGCAGGTTCAGCGCATGGCCGAGTACGTGGAGGGGCTACTACAACAATCCATCCACTTCATGACACACACACACACGCACATCAGCAAAGGCTCCAGCTGCTGAGTGATCTGCCGACGACGTCCACGCACTGCCCAAGCACTCAGAAGCCGGCAGAGACGGCACTCTCCCGATCTCGCCGGAACACCATGCACAGGGCGATGGAGCTGATCATTCTTGGCTGCCTTTTAGGCGCCTGCCTTATCGGGATCACTGCAACACCGCCTTTGACCCCGGTCAGACGTGTCGGAGGCCGATGAAGCAGAGCTGAGGCATGAAACACTACGGTCAGGTGATGCTTCAGGCGTACCTTATTGGGGGGTCCTTAAAATAAGGATCCTACGTACTATGTAGGGTACTGTATTAGTTAGGGTTTAATCTTTAGGATTTAGGGTTTAGGGTACTGTATTCGGGCTAGGGTTTAGGGTTCAGGGTCCCCGCATAGTTATAAGGGTCAGCAAGATACAGGGAGACTGTCGAAGACTACGGTGGCTGCTTGCTGAAGGGTTCCCAGCCTTCCGCTACATGTGGGTGGTTGTCAAAATTAAGATCCCTTTTTTGGGTACCCTGAATAATAGGTGCCGTATTATAATAGGGACCCCAAAAGGGACCATGATTCTGACAACTACCCACACGTGGTTTCCAATCAACGGAACAGGCGACAGGAGAATCAGAAGGGCGTTAACAAAAAAGGTCACCTCAAACAGTCACCATAAAACACAAAATCCTGAACCCCCAACCCTCTTAAACCCTAAACTCCAAACCTCCAACCCCTTATAGAACCCTAAGCCCTATAAACCCTAAGGCAACTAAACCACCAGCCCATACAGAACCTCAAAGCCCTATAAACCCCAAGCCCGAAACCCTAAACCCCTAAACCCCGAAACCCCTAAACCCCTGAACCCCTGAACCCCTAAGCCCCCCTGCAACCCCTAAAGCCCTAGACCCTAAGGCACCTTCTCCGGCACGGCGCCCACCTGCGTCGCCGTGAGCTGCCCCGCTGACGAACTTCCCGTAGCACCCGGCCTGGACACCGAGGCCTGGGGGGCAGTTTTGGAGGGGTTTAGGGGTTTAGGGGTTAGGGTGTTTAGGGGTTTTGGGTTTAAGGCTTAGGGTGTTTAGGGGTTTAGGGTGTTTAGGGGTTTTGGGTTTAAGGCTTAGGGTGTTTAGGGGTTAGGGTGTTTAGGGGTTTTGGGTTTAAGGCTTAGGGTGTTTAGGGGTTTAGGGTGTTTAGGGGTTTTGGGTTTAAGGCTTAGGGTGTTTAGGGGTTAGGGTGTTTAGGGGTTTTGGGTTTAAGGCTTAGGGTGTTTAGGGGTTTAGGGGTGTAAGGTTTTTAGGGGTTTCGTAGTTAGGATGTTCAGAAGTTTAGGGAGGTTTGGGGGTCAGGGGGTTTAGGGGTTTTGGGGTTTAGGGGTGTAGGGTGTTTAGGGGCTTTGGGTTTAAGGGTGTAGGGCTTCGAGGGGTTTAGGGTTTGGGTGTTGGGGGTGTAGGGTTTTTTGTGGTTTAGGGTCTAGGGTTTAGGGTCTGGTGTTTAGGGTCTAGGGTTTAGGGTTTAGGGACGTTTTCGGATTTTGTTCAGGGGTTAGGGCTTAGGGCTTATAGGGCTTTCCAGGGTTTTTTGTTAATAACCTTGGTTTATGTTGGTCTTATATGGTCGCTCAGCATATTGTGTAGGACTCTACATTGTCAGAACAAGTTTTCACTCGACGGTCTTATAATAAGGTTTTACAGGGTTTTATGTTTGTCCTGCATGGTTGTTCATCATATGGTGTATGACTCTGTCTGTTTGTTTGTGCAGAGTGGTTTAATGGTTGTGTAGGGTTTGATTGGGTTGCTAAGGAGCTTTTACGGACGTCGCAATAGGGTATATATACGGGTTTATGAAGGCACCTCAAGGTCCCACAGGCACCCTGAGCTGCAGAGGCCTGTGTTGGGGCATCGGCGGGCGACACCTGCCTGGTGAGTTGCTCCCTGGCTGTTCTGCTTTTTTGTGTCAGGGGAGTCAAGTATTTTCGTCCATAGTCAGCATTTTCGGGTTTTAGGGCTCCACCCTAAACCCTAAAACCCTGAACCCTGAACCCTAAACCTTAAACCCCATAAGCCCTAAGTCGTGTCCAGCTTTAGGGTTGAAGTTTTAGGATTATGTGTCTGCGCTCGACACTTTTTGCGGGGTCGGAGCCGACCGGACCTGAAATTTGCGTGTGTTCCCTTGCTGGAGTTTGATGATATTAAGCCCTCAACCCCAAACCCTAAACCCTGCAGCCCTGAAGCCTAAACGCTGGAACCCCAAACTCACCGGGGTTACTGCAAGGGTGTGTGAGTGTACCAAGCCCCTCGGGCTTACTAAGCTGTGAAGTTGTAGAGAGTGAGCTGTACCCTACACCTTAAACCCTAAATGGGGGCTGTTCTAAATTATGGTCCCTTTTTGGGTACCCTATATATTAAGGACTATACTACTATAGGGCCCAAAAAGGGACCATAATTTAGAACAACCCCCAAACCCTAAACCCCAACGCATCCGCTCAGGTGCTGTTGGCTACCGAGGCGTTGGCTCCACCTTTGAGTGCCTCAACGACGGCTCCTTCGCAGGCGTCACGCCGATGCTGGGCCGTTTTTGAGGGTGTTGAAGAAGGGCGGCTATAGGTGCTACTGAAGCGTTTTTTTCTGTAACTCAGGGTTCAGATTTTATGCTTTGAGGATTTCAGGGTTTTCAATCTCTCAGGGTTTAGGGTACTGGTGGGGGGCCTTCATAAATTAGAATAGGGTTTGGGGGTCTATTGTTACTCTGTAGTTATATTATAAGAATAAGCAACCCCCCAAAACCCTATTCTAATTACCAAGGCCCCTACACTAAATCCTTCGTTTCCCTTATAGTATCCCTGAAAGGAACTCTATAACTTACCTGTGGGTAGTAGGGAATGGAAGAATGGTAGTAATGGTAGTTGTAATTGTACCCCATTCCTCCATTCCCTACTAACCAAAGGTAAAGATCCCTTTAAAGGAACCTTAAACCCCTATAGATCCCTTTAAAGGAGCCCCATTCCCTACTAACCCAAGGTAAGTTATTAGGTAAAGGGAACCCTATGCTATGCTATCTATTAAGGACATACAATAACCTTTTGGTCAGGCTTCCGGGCTCCCGAGCTTCGAAGAACTTCCCAAAAAAAACAGACGAGGTAGTGCTAGAACTGTCACGACTTTCGGATTCAGTGGGGCTCAAGGGGTTTAGGGTTAGGGTTGAAAGGACTCATAGGGTTTATAGTGGGATTTTATGGTCTAGAGTGTGCTAGAAATGTCGTGGCTTTCGGATTTAGTAGGGTTTAGGGGTTTAGGGTTAGGGTTTAAAGGACTCATAGGGTTTACAGTGGAAATTAGCGGGATTTTAGGGTCTAGGGTTCGTAAACCTGCTTCTCCCTCCAACAACAACCCTTCATCTACAGAACCCGTGGTAGTAGCACCGGGATTCTCAGAAGCTTTATCGAACCTAGATACCCTATACCCTAAACCCCTAAACCTCTAAACCTGGATCGAAACACACCAGCTCAAAGCAACAGAAAAGATGCCTCAAGCTGAGCCTCCCCTGGAAAGCTGTCTCGCGAGAGGTCCCTGAATCCGAAACTCGTCTAACTACAACTACCCATGAACCTCCAAGTAGACCCTAAACCCTATACCCTTATAAGATCCCTAAGGATCCCTTTAAAGGGACCCTTAAAGGAACCCTTATCACTACCCATGAACCTCCAAGTAGGAGCCGCGATCCTAAGCCCTAAGCTCCAAAGGCCCCGAAGTCCTAGACCTAAACCCTAAAACCCCTACCTATAGTCTCCATTGTAGTTCCTTTTTTTGGTTTAGCCAATTTTATATTCAGGATCCGAAAAGGTAACCCCAAAAAGGAGCTACAATGGAGACTATAGGTAAACCCTAGACTTAGGGGTACTTAGAAATATTTTTTTATTTGGTTATTATAATCCCTAAGAAACAGCTAAAATTACAATTTTTGCTAGGGTTCTAAGTTCAGTATAGTAGACCCCTGAAGCCTAAACCCAGAAGCCGTAGACTCTGAAGCCTTCAACCCTGAACCCTAAATCCTGAAGGTTTGTTTCCTAAAAGTCCCGAAGTACACCAGCAGGGCCCAAAAGGTCAGTTTCGGGGGGGGCATGAGGGTGCCGATGCGGGGGATGTCAGAAAATCACACTTGCGAGATCTTGAGCCCTAAGCCCTAAGCCGTGCTTAGGCCCCAGGCACCCTCGGCGGCTAAAGCTTAAATCCTAAACCCGAATATAATGGGCCCAAATAATTACCTATGCATGTCGAAGGTGCTTTTTTATAACTATAGTATACTATACCCTCAAAGGCTTATTCTAGTTATCAAGGCCCCTACATACATTACTTGGAGGCTCATGGGTAGTTATAAGTAGGGTTATAAGTAGTTAACCATACTTGTATCCAATATTAGGGGACTTATAACCCCACTTATAACTACCCATGAACCTCCAAGTAGGCCGCTAAAGCTTAGGAACTGCGAGCGGCGAACCTGCGACCTTCCCTCGGAGTTTCAGACGGAGATGGTGAGCAGCACTTGCGGCTCGGTGTGGGGGATCTCTTAACGGTTCCTTTCGAAGGGCTCCTTTAAGGGATCCATGCTGCAAGTGGTTTAGGGTTTATAGGCTTGCTTTAATTTAAGGGTGTACTTTGTAGGATCTATTCGGGTTTATAGGGTTCCTAGGTTCCTTTGACGGTTCTATGAGGGGTCTATTAGGGTTTATAGGGTACTTTTGAGGGTTCTGTAAGGAATGTACGGAGCACTACAGGGGTTTAGGGTTGTGGGTTTGGGGCTTGAGGTTTTTAGGTAGGGTGAAGGCATTTTTCGTTAAGTGGTTCGGGTTTGATTTAGAGTTTAGGATTGTGGGGACGGAGGAACTTAAAACTTAACTGGTCACCCTTACAGCGCCTCTTTGTGCAACCCTCATAGTACCTTTAGAAGTACCTTTGGAGGAGCCCTTGAATATAGTAACCCTCATAGAAATGAATTCCTTCAGCATTCTACAAGGGTCTTAATTATTTTTCCCTTTCTTGCACCCGTATGAGACGCTCATAGACCTCTACTTTAGAGAACTACCCACATGGGCTCCGTTAAGGAATCTATAAGAATTACTAGGGCTCCTTTGGGTTCTATCATCGGGATTTGAATTCATGAGCTTTGCCTTACAACATGATAGAGTCCTCAAGCTTCAAGGTGCCGGGGCGATGCACAATGACCAGTGCGTGGCCATCTGCAACCAGGGCTATGAAGGCACTTCGCGGTTTCAGGGTTTAGGGTTTTTGGTGTTCAGGGTTTAGGGTTTCAGGGTTTAGGGTTTAGAGTTAGATCAGGGTTTAAGGTCCCGGTTAACGGCTGGGCTGCGCCGATGAAGAAGATGATGATGGTGATGATACAGACCCTCGCTCCCTGACTAGTATGCCACCCGTCCCTTCCTACTGGGGCCATAACATGGAGCCTCGTGCGAAGGCCTTCAAACATAGGGGGTGCTCAGTGGTTTACACTATTCGGGCTTAGGGGGGTTAAGGGCTGTGGGATGGCATTTCGGTTTTCGGATTGGACTTCGTACTCCTCTCTGTCGAGAAGCCGCTCACTATCATCACCAATATCATCATCGTCATCGTATCATCGTCATCATCATTATCATGGCCAGCATTGTATCATCATCTTCTTATTCGTCTATGTCGACTCTGGCCAGTTTCGCTGCTGTATCAACATCGTCCTTTTCTTCTCGCGATACTTATTTACAGAATTTATGGTGATGTTGATGAGCGTCAGCATATCGGTGCTTGCTCCTTCTGTCGTTGTATATGGCGAGTTGCAGAAAACTGCCAATCCCGATATCCACCCCGAACCGAAGGATCGCCTTGTCATAGGGTCGTGATGGTTCAGACCCTGGTTTGCTGGGGTTGTCACGCGGGCTCTTCTGACATGCGCATGTCTTTTAAATGGATTGCTCCAGATTCGGTTTCTTTTTAGGAGCTTTGCGTGCTTCAGTGCTAGAGGGCTCTTGATGCTGGAAGCTTTTGCACTACGCCAGCGGAAGGGATCGTAGTCTGTAGTAGAGTGTGGGACAGCTAAAAACATGATATAAGCTAAAAACATGATACAAGATTAAGAGGACAGCAAACAATTTTAATGCTGTGTGGGCTTTTCGGAACAAGGAGGGTGTTGCTGTCTTTACATACCCAGGCTCGTAGTGACAATCCCGCCCCCAATGACCCCCCACTTTCAGAGCCACAAGAACCCTGCAGTCCCCAAAGCCCTAAACCCTAAACCCTAGGCCCTTTGTAGTACCCTTATAGAAACATTGAAAGGATCCCTTGCAGTGCCCTTATAGAAACCCTTATAGAAATCCTGGAAGGAATGCTTCAGGCCCTTTATACTACCCTTATAGAAACCCTGAAAGGAAGAAGTTTCCTCCTCTTCGCTTTGATTTTCAACCCGCGCAGGCTTGCCGACGAAGCAGACTTGCTGGAACGGAAGCGCCGCCGCACTTCCTCGGGTTTAACATGGGGTTCTTACATCAGTTAAAGGGCTACCAGAAGGGACATTGTAAGGGTTTCTACAAGGGTTTAGTAACTTAGTATTGCGGCCATATGGGGACAATAGTTGTAGTGACGAACTCCCTGGACAATATTGGTAATGATTCAGGCCCCTGTATTAGGGTTTAGGGTTCCCTACGTCGGTTCCTTTTCTGGGTGGGTGTTCCCTCTTCTGTCACTTCGGGGAATCCGGAAACGAGTCCTTTCTCCGCGATGTGCTGCTGGCCATAATATGGTGATACTGCCAAAGGTTCGTGAGACACCCCAAACCCGGGCCACAAACCCCATACCCTAAAACATTCTCAGCCCCCATCGCTTGAACACTGAACCCCAACCCCTTCCGAGCCGATGTTGACATTCGGGGGGACATTGCCACATCCTGTCTGCAGTCGCCAGCATCGAGATCGAGTCGGATGGGCTGGTTGTTTTGTAGCCCTCAAACCCTCGACCCGAAACCCTGAGCTCTTAAACCCTAACTCCTAACGCCCTATTGAAACCCGAAACCCTAAAACCCTGAAGCCCTAATTCCTGAAAACTCCAAACCCTGAAACCCTAACCCCTAAAATACCTAAACCCTGAAACCCTAAACCCTAAAACCCCATACCATTAAAGACCCCAAACCCAGAGCCCTGCGGCAAGCTCCAAAGCGGTTCAAAGCAGCTTCCTCTAAACTCTGAGGAACCTTCTTGGGTGTCGTCCCGAGCTGCTTTCCACGGGCCCCTGCGCTGCAGTTTCCTTGAATTTTATCCGGGTTATGTATTGGCTTTCTGATGCCCTATGGAGTTTTTATGGGAAGTTTTTCTAGGATTGCAATCGGAACTTTTGACGAGTGTTTTGAAGGGCGGCAGAGGGTTTGATGGGCTTTGTTGATTTTTACGAGATTTTAGAAGGGGCTTGTAGTCTTGGATGGGGCTTTTGTGGGTTTCACAGGGCTTTATGCTTTCCTCCATGGCTTTCTCGAATTTGGGGGTGGTGGGTGGATTTGCAGATGGGGTTTTCCGGTGTCGTTGGATTTGATGTTGGCAGCTCTACTGATTATTTTGAGGATTTCAAAGTCTGGGGGGCAGTTTGAATCACATTGAAAGTGCACAGAAAAAACAAGGGAGAAGGTATTCTTGAAATTGAGGGGCCAGTGGAAGCAGATGTATGCTTAGGAGGGAGCGTTGCGAGCTCTGAAAAGGGACATGTCCTCCAATTCTGAGGAATTCAAGTTTGTGTTTGAGTGTTCGGGACTATCCAATATTTAAACTTCATGGTACGTGCATGTTTAAAAGGATCGGTGGAATTAATGTGGGCAACCAGAGATTAAAAAGGTATCCCCTGATGTTGCGCATGCCACGGCTTAAGGAATCTGGAGGATTTGGGAAGCCCTTGGGTCTGTTTGGGGTATCGCAAGTTAGTGAAACCTCTAAAGTGAAAGGATGCTTAGTGTAGTCATGTGTAGACTTGCGAAATCAATCAATAACATAAGGACCCTTAGGGGGTAGGGGGGATGGAGGTAGGGGGCCTTAATACCTATAATAAGGCCTAGTTTTAGGAGGTATTTTGATAGTTAAATCATACTTCGTGGCAAAGGTGTCATTTCCATACCAGGGCTTTGCAAGATTTCGCCGCAATTTTGCCAGATGCTTGTGACAACAGAAAGGTTTTACGTTTGTTTGTTGCTGGGTTTGGTTTGGAAGCTAGCACGATGAGGTGAATTTGAAGACCTTTGTAATTAACACTGGGCAAACATTCACAGAATGTAAGGTCCGGCAACTGGGTGTGGAACTGAGACAATACTGGAAATTCCTGACCGGACAAACAGACTTTGTTGATCAACCACAGACACCAAAAATAAAGTTCGCCAATCCTGGTTGCCCGGCTTTGAGTGCAAAGTTCTTGCGACTTGCGTTGGAAGGACGGTGCATCATCTTTCAGAGTAGCTTGAAAGTGTTTTTACGGCTTGTTATTACACTTTCCAAACACAAGTGTCGTTTTGACAGATGCGCACAATCGCCCAGTAAATGCAAGGTGCCCCAGGTGCACCAAAACTCACATTGACGTGTGCTTCGTCTGCATAAGACTTGTGCCTGACTTGTCGACTTGAAAGGGTAAGTGCCGCTTCTGAGAAAACTTTGATGACATGACAACCACGGTTGATGCGAGATCTTGCACCCACATGCATGACAAACACTGACGGCACACAGTCGCGGGAAGCTCCACGGCACATGTTCTTTTTATAGCTCTACAGTACACCTTGTATGTTCCCTTGTGAACTGAAAGCTTGCACCAAGTCAAAACCTACGACATGCTTGGAGTTATCAACATGGGAGCAAACATGGTCGGAAAGAGTGCCTCGTGCTTTGTGTTGAATTTATGTGGAGGGTGAAACATGTTCCTCGGGCCACGCCGTACCTCTCGACTTGGTGATCAAGTTTAGGACACCTGGAGACCATGCAGATTTCGTGCCGCCCTTGTTTAACCTTCCCACCGCAGCTCCCCAGGCAATCAGCAACATCAAATTTTGCTTTTGCAAGCTATGAGAGATGAACACCAGCCTAAATAGTGCGTGCAAAGCGCGATGGCCAAAATGCTGAGAAAGCGGCGAGGCTTTCACATCTGTCGGTTGAGTCTGCAGCAGCTGCGCGGATGGGTCTCCCTTGAGTTTCTTCGTTTCAGAGTCGCCGCGGAGGTAGCCAGGGGAGAACGCCAGACCAGAATGCCAGACCGCGAGAATGCCAGACGGCTCAAGAATGCCAGACGGTCTGGCGTTCTCGATTGGATTAGCTCTTCGAGAATGCCAGACGGTCTGGCATTCTTCCGTCTGGCATTCTGCTCCCGTCTGGCATTCTTCGCGAATCTGATGGCATTCTGGTCGGGCATTCTGGAAATTTGTCTGCTGTCATTCGGCTCTAGTTTTCTAGCCGAAACGTCGAAAATTAGGGTTTCCACAGCCGTCATTGGAGTCCTTCGCTCGCGAGTGTGGGCCGTTTCAATTCTTTGGCAATGCTGCGCTGGCAGACATATACACACGCAGAAAAATCCATACACATGTGTACGTATGTGTATATATATATATATAATTACCTAGGTATGTATACATACACATATGTGTACACAGGTATACATATTGCCATATACATTTAGGTACATGTGTTTACTTGTGTATTTGACTAAGGGTTCTTCCGGCGTTTTCATGTTCCTCTCTTGTTCCAAAGTTCGGTGCTTGGCTTCGGCTTGTTTTTCCGTTTGCAGTGAGGACGGAATTGGAATGAGAAACCCGAGCGAACTGCCAATATTGCATCAGACATGTGGGAGGCAGTCTGTTGACCGGCAGTGGGTCCTGAAACACCTTTGCGCGGATGCTTTGCTACGCTCTTTGCACAAAACTCCTCGTGGTGATGTTCTCATGAATTGACAGTGACCACGAATTCTAAGCAGGTTTCCGGGCAACCCAGTTGCTAGCTTTAAGTCGTCTGACCTCCCCCCAGCTGGGTCTGAGGCCAATTGCACAAGCATGCAAATTGGAACAACAATAGCCATTTATGCAACTTCAACCTGCGAGGTGCTCGTTCCGATGCATGTTCAGAACAATACTTGTTGACATGTCGGATTTTCTGTTCGCAACGTGCGCCCACAATCGACTGGGATTTGACCAAGTTGGAGGACACGTGGCAGCTCAAACACATGTGCACCCCCTATTGTGCAAAGTGCGGCGGAGGCGTGCTCAGCAAATTTTAACTTCTGCCCAAACGCACCTTCAACAGTCGCACAGAATGGAAACTGGCCATTGCCAACAGGATGTGGAGGCCCTCGCCCGAAATCCCAACACGCACGCGCACACACTCACGCACACAGACATACACACACACACACACAACACGTATCCACCAGCGATTTCCCAACATAGTTCTGGATTCGCCGTGAATCTGAGCAGTAACCCTATTGAACTTGTCGCTGCTTGACAGAACGCTGCAGGGTTGGCAGTCCCACTTCGCAGGCGTCCCCAACCCACTCTCACAGCCAACCAGGACCCTGAATCCCGGTACTTGAAAGGATTGAAGGGCAGTAGCCTGCTTGAAATATTCTGAAATTCAAAAAAACTCCCCAGGTGCAAACGCACAAAACACTGACGTGTAAGATATGTCCCCGCAAGAGCTGGCGACGACCCCACCCATGGCCTTTGGCTCGTGCCCTCAAGATCACACTCCTACTAACCGTATTGAAAGCATCGTACGTAGCTTAGACATAACAATCCGGGTGAAGTCACTGTGAACCTGTCCTTCAAGGTTGTTTTGGAGTTCACTGTGTTTCGTCATGTAGCTTTACAACTTATAGTGGATCTATTGCCTTCTGAGATCCCAACGCAAACCCCAAGTGGACCCCAAGGTCTTCCCAAATCTTGAAGATTCCTAAGTCTCGTCATATAGAGTTACATAGCATCGTGGCCGCAAGTTGCCCTCATTAATTGTACTGGAAAAATGTGAGATGCACTTAGTTTGAAATCGGACATATTCCCGAACTGGCAAACGCAAAATTGAAATGCTCAAAATAATTAGTAGGCAGCTCGGTGTTTCGGACTCGGACATGCTGGGGGCGGGGGTGTCCTAAACTACGGGGTTGCTCATGCAGGGTGTTGATAAGAAGGACTCTCTTATTCTGGGGTCTGTCAACGTCCCATAACGTCCCTTATCGGAATTCTCCCTGAATCCAGTCCCGAGCGCTCAGCACGATGCCCTGCACGCGAAAAGCCGTAACCTCTAAAACTCTACTCCCTTAAGGGTGGCAGCGATCTTATCGAGGAGAGGTTGTCTTATGAGGATCCCAATATATAGTGACCTGAACTAAACGACACAACTTCACAGAACTCTTACCCGTCGTAACAAATGTTCGAATGGTTAAGGCACCTATGTTCACAACAGGGCTCCCGACCCTCATCGCGGGGTCGTCATTCGGACTCCCGGCCCCCAGCCCTACAGGGTCGAACTTGGGGCTTGGATTTAGGGGGTTTGGGGGGTTTTGGGCTTAGGGCTTAGGTGTATTTAGGGGTTTAGGTGCTTAGAGTAAACCCTCAGAGTAAAAATATCTCAAGCCCGGAAAGAATCGCCCAGGAATGTTCCATCCAGGGAACACGTCTTGAAACTGGCCTGGATGCTACAGACTGCGTCTTGGCGTCCAGAGTCCTGCTGACTGAAATGAAGGTCAAGAGTTTCATGACCCTGCAACTACATTCGTCTACAAGCTTTCGGTTTCCGAGTTTAGTACGGTTTGCCTAAAGCACCAAAAAGTGTACCTTTTCAAGGGCCTATAGCAGTCTGCATGGGCTAGTTGTAGTTCGTTTTGGCCGACCAATATTATGGTTAGGATCCTATAATCTACAACTGGTCTACCAAACCAGAGAACTACAATGGACCATAGCTTGGCTGCTGCCCCCATTCTGTGACAGTTGGATAATAGTTATTAGATATAGCCCATAGTATGACCCCTGACCCCTAATGCGAACTGTCACAGGGTGGGGGCAGTAGGCACAAGGTAGGCGCTCGGGCACAGAAAACGCCGAATCTACGCTACAGAAGATCCCTCTGGCCAATAAACCTGCAATCCTAAGGTCATAGGGACCCTTAGGGGGGTAGGGGGAGGGGGGTAGGGGATTATAAATAGGCCCTTATTAGGTCCTTATTACGGGCATTAAGGCCCCCTACCCCCCCGTCCCCATACCCCTAAGGGTCCCTATGCTAGTGCCTTGAATAGTGTAGAAGCCTGCGGCTGAGTATTAAAAAATAGTACCCTTCTTCAGGGTTCCCTCTTATAGTTGTACCCTATCCTTAATTACGCCGGTAAGCACAACACCCATTTACAGTGGCTTAACGGGTTTATGTATATGGTTATAGGCCAGGATTCAGGGTCAAACCCGCCAAGCATACTTTAAGCCTACATCCCATGAATTTCGAAACATCCGAACTGAAGCTTAACCATTTGGAGTCTACTGGGGTTAGACACCAGGTATTACTACAGTACCTGAAAAGGTTAAAGGTTACCTACTCTACCACCAATTATTGCCGAGGCCTCGGAAAGAAAGTGGGAGATACCTGCCTCCTTCAGTGCTCCCCTGGCTACGACCTCGTTGGAAGTGGATCCTTGGCGCATGCAGGACTTACTTGGAGGATCATGGGACTAAGTAAGTAAGTATGGTTATAAGTTATAAGTACCTGGTGAGGGCTCATAAGTAATTATAACTACAGTTGCCTTAATTATAACCCTAGCTACTAAGTCCCATGATCCTCTAAGTAGGTCTTGGCTAGCTAAAACCCCGACCCCTGGAATCACAAACAAGCGCCCAATAGATATATACAGGGGCGCCCACAAGATACATCCAGGCTGTAATTTACACTAAGTTCAAAGCTGAAAAGGAAGGACCCTTAATGGGGACCCCTACCATATCATGGCTATATAATGGGCTATAATGATGGGTATATAATAGCTATATTAAGGGTATAGACCTATAGGGTCCTTCTAAAGGGTCCCTCCTTTTACCCTTGGAGAAGTGCCTGAGCTCCACACAAATTGCAGCAATGGGGAACACTTCTAGTATTGCAGGGCTTCACGAAGAATAAGTTATGAGAATGTCAGTTTTTAGCTTTCCTAGTGTAGTCTCAGCTGTAGTAGATTCTATCGTCGATGGCTTGTTTTCGAGAATCCCGTCGCGGGTTCACAGATTCCACAGCTCAGTCCTAGAATTAAAGTGGGCGCTCCTCTAATGTAAGAGCCGTGCCAATTTGTTCTGCCACCCTCTAGGCACTTCTATCATAGCCCAATCCCTAAACCCATTATACCATAACTCCTAAACTGGTTACAAGCTGGGTGTTTGCAGCTCCGTCTTGTCATTACTTCCAGATCTGCTTGTGCTCCTACTTTGACTTAGCTAGCCATGAGCTTTTGAGTAAACGCAAACCATAAGCACCCCAAAGCTGAAGATCCGTAAGCCCAGAAGAAACGTGATAAACCCATCCAGAGCCGCGAATAAATCCGAACGTCATAAAGAGGACTGTAAAAAAAGGGCTTAGGGCCCGTCTGAGAGACTGTATCTCACGCCCGAGGCTGTTTTAGCAGCTTTACATACCCGTAACCCTGGACTCTTTCCCTAGTCGGAGGCCTCAAAAGGTGGGATGAAGGTAGGTGGGATATTCCCAAATAAGAGTCCTTATATAAGGGATCCTTAGTCCTACCTACCTTCATCCCACCTTTTGAGGCCTCTGACCTAAGCCCTGCAAAAGCATCTCTGTAACTTTAGCTTCCAGGAGTACTCCCATAACACCAACGGCCGTACAACGGTCAATGGAAAGCATGGAACCCTCATAGCAAACCTTGTAGCAACACTACCACCATAAACCATAAACTTCCTCAAACCGATTTGAGGAGTGCTACAGTGCCTGAGCACGGGGCTTTTCAACGAGTCGCAGGCACCTGGGCACATGTGGGTGGTTGTGAATAGTAGGGTCCCTTTTTGGATCCCTAATATACGATGGCACCTAATATATAGGGTACCCAAAAAAGGGGCCCTAATTTTAGACAACCACCCATGTGGGCTTAGAACTTGAGGTTTAGGGGTTTAGGGTCTGGGGTTTAGGGCTACATTTGGGTTTCGCGCGTACAGGGTTTGGTGCCCCTTCTGATGTTTTTTTTACCTGTGGCCCGGGTGTTTAGGCTTCGAGCGTTTTGATGCTTCTACTGCACAAGCCGAGAGAATGGAAATGGGAAGTTGGGGTTCTACTAGAGTCTCCTTGGCAATTATTATTGATTTTTGTTCATATAAAACCTAAGAGAATATTAATCATAATATGTGTTTTATGGTTCTAAGGGGGGTATAGTCTATTGATGGGAAATTAACGTACATTAGGGAAACCTCAAGAAGCTACTGTACTCAGCATTCAAGCTCTGCTTAAAACTCAGGACCCCGATGCTTTCCACGCTCCCGTCTATTGGGGTCGGAAAATTCAGCACACCCTAAACCCCTAAATCCCTAAACCCCTGCACCTCTAAACCCTAAACCCCTGCACCCCTAAACCCTAAACCCCTGAACCTTAAAGCCTAATTATATTGAACGGGTATTTACACCGTAATGTCCCCACCTCATCTCTATTCCAGCCCCTAAGGCCCCCCCAAAGACCCCATAGAAGCCTTGAAGGCCCCGGAAAAGGAACCCTTTCAAAACTATGACAGCCCCCATGTTAAAACCCTAGACCCTAAAGCCCCAAACCCTAAACCAATAAAACCCTAAGCCCTTATTACAATATATCTAAGAGATATCTACATCATTACGTCAAGACCAAAGAAAAGGAACCCTTTCAACGTTATTGTGCCCCCCCCCCATATTAACACCCTAAACCCCTAAACCCCTAAAGCCCTAAACCCATAAAGCCCTAAACCCTAAACCCTATAAATCATACTCCAAGCGCCTTTGAGGCTACTTGCGTGCCCGGTACGTGCGGGACTCTCTCGGACGTGCCACCGTCTCCAAGTGGCACTAGGGTTTAGGGTTTAGGGTGGCAGGTTCTTGAGATGTGAGTGGTTGTCAAAATTAGGGTCCCTTTTTGGATCCCTATTATAATACGGCACCTATTATCTAGGGTACCCAAAAAGGGACCATTCATTTTGACAACTACCCATGTGGCATAGAATCACAAGTTTGGGAGTTTGGGGTGTGCAGAGTTACGGTTTACGATTCGGTTCTGGCGGCTAGGTATTTCTACTGTCTGCTGCTTCTCGCTTTGTTCTGAGTCCTAAGTTTTGCTGCGTTTTGGTGCGAGGGTTACTGTGACCACTTTCACGATTCCCCGTGGCAATGGCGACACGATATTTCTGTTGATCGTGATGTGAGGTTCGGTTGTGCTGATAAATTACTGCGATTTCACATTCGGATTGGGATGCCGACAGCAAATCAGTCTGATGCTTATGATGATGACGATTATGTTATATTCAGGATGGAGATGTGGATGATGATGACGATGATGATGATGATGAGGATGATTGCAGCTCGTTTTGCAAAGGCCCTCCACGGATGGGACCTCCGATAGTCCCGGCAGTGCTACGGCGGGAGGGGCTAACTTTTAGCAGAAGTGGAAGGGATGTGCAATCGCACAGCGTCCCCAGAAGGGTGCCGGACTCATAGTCTGTCCCACATGTGCCTCGCATGGCTTCGACCCGATGCCGCGAATGGAAAGAAAGGATGAGGATGATCATAGTGTGCATGGTGATGATGAAACTGATGGTGATGAACATGATGTAACGATGATGATGATGGTGATGATGGTGATGAAGAGGTTTTGCAACAGCATGGTGATTGCATTTCCGGTGATGGCCATGATGATGGCGATGCTGCCGAAGAAGATGATCAGCGATATGGTGGTATCCACGAGTCTTTGTCTGATTGAGTAGGGATAGGAGGATGTTCTTGGCCTTGGTTTTGGTGCGGATGACGAGCATGACATGAGGGTGGTGGTGATGATCAGGGTGCTGTGGGTTTTGGGGTTGGTTGTTCATGGGCCTAAAACGCCACGCGATAGCACGTGCAACTCAGGTTTGCGCCGCACTTCATCGGCGACTCGTGCTCAGTGATGAGGACGGGTCAGGTGCACTGGGTCCAGCATGTGGTGCCTTCCTTCTTTCTTTGGTCAAGTCTTTCGGTTTGGCGTTTTGGCATTTGGAGTCTAGCACTTTTGTTGTATCTTGGAAGTTAGAGTTTGCGACATGTCGTATCGAATTTGTTGGCTTGAAACCGGAAGCAACGCCACGGCTCCGATTGCCAATTTAAGATGCTCCATCGGGATCATTTGCAATGCAAGCTCTTGAACAACTGGGCACCCGAAAATCCTTCTTGAAACACTTACGCAACAAACCCTATCGCTGCATTTCTGTATATGAACCACAAGGTCCCTCTAGATCAAGAGGACCCGAAGTTGGGTAAGAAGGTGGATAGGTATTATACCAGCTAGGTCACGAGGATAATTGCTGTTGCCTTGTTTGGTTTGGAGAGGATCATTTTAAAAACACTGTGTGAGGATGTCTGGGCCAACCCAGCAAAGGGCTACTGAGTGCAAGAAGCCCAAAACCCCAAATTCTCAGCCCTGAGAATCTTGCAATCTCGGAGCACCTCGAAGCCAAGCTTGTGGGTGCCAGGTCTGTACGGCTTTCTGCGAGCCGGGCTATGCGGCCTGGCGAGAGCACTACTATAAGAGTCGGAACAGATAGTAACACTATTCCCTCACAGAGTGCAATCATAATATCACCCAAAACCTTGAATTGCAATCCCATCGACATTCCGCAAAACCCTGCGCTACAGCAACTTTTAAACAACCTTTTCAAGGAACCCAGTTCTGGGTGTTAGCAAAGCCATAAGCCCTAAACCCTAAACCCTAATAGGGTTTAGTGTACCCTAGACCCTAAACCCCTAAACCTGGGCTGTTTCGGGCCGTGGGATCCCGAGTCTTCAGAACAAGATCGGAAGTGATGGAGTCATGCAGGAGCCTGATGAAGAAGTCTTGGCTCTAGAACCGCTAATATAGTTTATAAAGACCCCTGATAAAGACTCAAGGTTTCTTAATCACTTTCCTGTCTTAGCCCTTTGGAGGCTGATTAAGAAACCTTGCGCCTTTATCAGGGTCCCTTATATGAATCCTACTATTTTGTAAGGCCAGGCTTTCTTAATCAGGTTCCTACATTAATGGCTCGTGCACCCCCTGGCCCTGCATGGCTGCGTTCAGGACATTGTGGGTAACGCCAGCGTGCTGCTGTGTCACTCGGAGAAAACTCAGCAGGCTACACCTAAACCCTAAACCCTAAGCCCCAAACCCTAAACCCTAAGCCCTAAGCCCTGAGCCTTAAACTCCCAGACGCCCAAACCCCTAAAGCCGCAACCACGAAAGCTCTCGAGCCCCAAGCCCTCAAACCCTAAGCACTAAACCCTAAAACCCGGATACTACCCTAACCCCTAAACCCCAAGCCCCTAAACCCAAAGCCCCTAAACCCGAAGCCCTCACCCCTAGCCGCCCTAGCCCGAACCCTCTTCCTGCTGGACTTGAGAAACCCCGAGTCGGCAAAGCCACCTGCTGGCACTTGCTGAGTTGGTTAATACTGTGTTCCTTAGGCTTCCTCATACAGTAGTTACACCAACATCTTAGTCCACGTTACCAACGCCTACATACTGAGACTGTTAGTTGTAATAAATCCTGAGTTTGGTGACGACAACCCAGGCGCTGCTTCTGACAGTGTCTATGCTTCCGGCCTTCAGTAGAACTTGGAAGAGAACGAGCCCCCCTATCGACAAGAGAACCCGAAACCTTGAACCCCATTGCACAATTCCACCCTAAACGCGGAACCCTAACCCATAAACCGTGTCGACGACTACGCTGGTGATAGCGTCAGCGAGGCCGTCGCCACTGAAACGTAAGGAAAACACCTCACGCAGAGTTTGTTCGTCGGCCTTTTCTGTCTCTGCCAAATTTGGCTTATCCACTGCACATTCACCCGCTGGTAAGAGGATCAACACAAGTGCTGGAGCCTACCTTTCTGCTCAGCAACAGCAGCCCCAGTGGCTACAGGGCGTGCAGATTTGAAACAATGGGTTGACTTCTCGGAGTTCATAAAGCTCACCAAGAACTGCACAAGTACGGCATGTGATGGCCCGAACAGCGTGCTCGTCCTCCCGCCTGATCGCCTTTTACCTACTGTAAAATTACTAAGGACACAACGAGGTTCTTATGAAAGAACCCTTGCAGAGCCCTTCAAAGATCCCTTGCAGGAGCCCTCTAACTACCTTCATGTAAACCTAGCCCGCAAGACAGGTGGTCTATGAATCAGCGGTCTACATTTTAGTGCTGCCCATTTTTTGGTTTTAGGAGAATCCCCAGGTGATGGCGCACCGGCCGACAGCGCTGGATTCACCGAAGTGGTTCCAGGCTGCGGCGGTTCAGGGCTGAAGGTTCGGTAACGGCCCAGGAATTGTTCTTAGGTTTCCTTGCGTTGTCCAAGACTCCAAGGGGTCCTGTTAAGGGTCCCACAGGGTGGCATTGGGGTTCGACAGGAATGAAGGGTTTGGGGTTGACATTTTAGGGTTGTAAGGTGTTGGGCTGAGGTGTTATAATTAGGGATTGAGGCCTCGGGTTTACGGTTTACGGGGTGGGTTCTTAGGGCTTTGCAAAAGTCTTACAGAACTTTTCACAAGGTTTGTAACGATTGAATGACAGCGTTAAGGTTTCGGGTGTAGGGTTGCAGGTTCATGTGCCACCATAACAGTCTCGGTAAGCCACTGGGAGATTGTGTGTTTACTTTGCGTGGTTGGGCTTATGCAGATCATTCTTTTGTACGAACATGTCTTTCGGCATTTGCGGTGCCCATGTAGCTCTAAGAGATGAGTGGGTACGGTTTTCAGGTTCGAGGGCAGTACAAGGTTCGGGGCGTATCACGATTGTGACTCGTGAGGATCATCGCTCTGGTAGTTTTCATGCTGGTACTTCAATCGGAAAATCTCCAGGTTCCTCCTTGAGCTGGCCTGCCGTTGAGTCACCGGGTCCGACTTGCATGATCAGGAGAGCGCTGCATACATAGAGGGTTGAGGGTGTAGGGTTTAGAAGTGTGTTACAGTGCCCTGTTCGGTTTCAGAGCATTTTCTTAGGATTCTCTCAGGGCTTCCCGGCGTTGATTTTGGATGGTGTTTATCAGGTTGTTCCACGTGTTTTTTTTTTCTGGGTTTCCCTTTGGGCCGGCTTTCGTGTACCTCGTGTTCTGGGATTTCCACTCGCACATTGTTCGCTTAGAAGCGGTTCTACAAGGGTGTCTACAAGTGGGTTTTAGGTAAGTGGTTTTGATCAGGGGTTACAAGTGGAGTCTTGGATTTAGTCAACGGTTTGGGGATGAGGGTATATGAGGGTTCGTCCTTCTTCACAGTGCACACTATGCAGCATATGGTTGGTTTGTCAGCCTTTGGGATTCGACGTCTACCGATTTTCTAGTGCTCCGGTTATCCTTAGCACTGTTTGTTGTACCCTCCAGAGCCCTGTTCGCGCGCAACATGCGACGGCCGGAGCACTTCGCAGACGTGACGCAGGACGCTGCCTGGCTCTTCGCCTGACGAGAAAAAATACAGCATTTTTTCGGACAGTCTTGCATGGGCCAACACCTCGAATTCATTGCCAGGGCCAACGAATTTGCAACATTCGCGCCATTGCGCGCGCGCGAACAAAGCACTGGCGCGTTGTTGTAGCAGCAGTAATTGTGATCATCGCCGTTCATGTTGGTGCGTGCCGCCAAGGTCAGTAGCACATGAGAGGTTCATAGTCATCAAGGTCAGTCTTGCCAGCAGAAAACCCTGCACCCTAGACCCTAAACCCCTAAACCTTAGGCCGCTTAGGCCCTAAAGCCCTTAAAGCCTCAAACCCAACCCCTAAACCCCGGAACCTCGTCGTGTTCCTTGTCGATTGAGGCCTTCGGGTTCAGGCCGGAGGGCCCAAGACCCTTGAGGATGTTGTTCCTTACATTGGGCTTTCCTCTCTTCATTGCAAGGAGATGCCTTCATTCAGGAGGGATTTCTGGCTCTCTGCAAAGTGGTATTCAAGAAACCAGGCCGGAACCCTAAACCCTAAACCGTGGTTCCTGCCGGGAGGACATGCACTGGGGCGCCGGACAGCCCACTGCTCACCCACAACTGTTCGGCAGCGAAGACAGGAGAGACCTGCATCGTGCAAGCTGCTTGGTACTACTAGTAACTGTTCCGACACCCTATAACTATAACCCTAAACCCTACAACCCTTCAGCCCTATAACCCTATAACCCTAAACCCTATAACCCTATAACCCTATAACCCCAAACCCTTCTATTTTCAAGGAATCCTCTAAGACTCTAACACCCTAAGCCCTAAATCCTCTGAGCCTGGAGTACCCTGTGCCCCTAGACCCATGAGCGCCTTCTCCAGCCCGTACATGTGCAAAGGAGGGACTCCCGAGGCTCGTCCTAGCCCTTAATGATAGTCGTTTCAATTTCATTTTGAAACGTATATAAACGTTATGACTACCATGGTAGTAAAAGGCAGAATACTACGTACTTAGCAGAATACTGAGAATAGTAGGTGTCGTCCTTATGGAGTTATGGTTGTTGGGCATCGCCAAGTCCCTAAGCTCATAGCTGTAAGGTAGGGTTTTGATGTCGCTGCAGTAGCTTTCAGTTTCATGTGGGTGGTTGTCAAGATGATGGTCCCTTTTGCGGGCCCTTAGTGTAACGCGGCACCTAACATTTAGAGTACCCAGAAAGGGACCATAATTTCGACAGCTACCCATGTGGGTCAACTACAGGCTCGGCAGCACCTCTGCTCGAGCTGCGCTAGTTAGAGCCGTAAGTTCAAATCACCCAACCCTAAACCCCAAACCCCTAAACCCCTAAACCCCTAAACCCCTAAACCCCTGAACCCCTGAACCCCTAAATCCTAAACCCATAAATCCTAAACCGTAAACCCCTAAACCCTAAACCCGGCCTAAACCCCTAAACCCTAAACCCATCAACCCTGAACTCTCCGACCCGGAAGCCTCGAGCTGAATCCCAGGCAGTGCTGCCCTACCAGCTGGAAGGAGCATCCTCCGTGGAGCTTGCAGCCTGTTTGCTAAGAGCAGTTTGGGTTGTGTTTGGGTTTTTAGGGGGTTTTCTGCGATGTGAGGACGTAGGGTTAGACACTCCTGCGGGCTCCGAGCCCTTAACCCTAAACCCCCAACCCTAATCCTAGACCCCCCAAGCCCTTCACGGCCTGGGGGTTCAGGGTTTCTTGAAGAGCGACCCTTGACCGGTGCATGGCAGCTTAGGTCTGCGAATCCAGCGGCAGCTTCGCATGCATTTGCAAGTGAGTTCCCTTTCTTTTCAGTTCCCGAGCCTACCCCAAGCCTTGAGCCTTCAGCCTTAAATCCCAGATCATGACATGAGAAGTATAGGACATGCAGAAAAGACGTCCGCGTCACGCCGCGGGCAGAGAGATCTTTAGCAAAGGCTGGTTACCGATTGAGGTCTTCGAAGCGCAATTGTGAGAGAGTCCTCTAAGGCTTGAAAATGATGGGCTTAGGGGTTAGGGTTCAGGGTTTAGTTGCTCCTAGGCTTTATTGTAAGGATTCTAAAGAGTGTCGGTGGTATGAGACTAGCCGACTAGCCAGTCGGTAATATCTGGCACAGCTATGTCTACCGCTTTCCATTCCGAGCGAGGACTTTACTTCTAAGAGGCGTGGAAAGTCCTCCTAGCCCGAAGTTGTTGGTTCCTGCAAAACGGCTTGCAACTCCATACCCCAAGGTCCGGCCTAAACCATAAACCCTACACCCTAAGCCCGAACCGCCAGACCAGAGCCCTAAACCCCAACTCGGCTCGAAACTCGAACTCGGCATCTACGGAATCAAGCTCTCGCAGTTCTATCCTGGGCCCGTAAACTCCCAGTAGCCGAGTATGTAACCTTTAGCCTTTTTGGGGTAGTATAGTCCCTATATAACCCCTGTATAACCAAAAAGGTTGACCTCTAGTTCCCCAGGATACTCGACAAGTAGGAACTAGACTACCGCGAAGCCGAGGCAAAGAATCCAGGTAGCGTTTCCATCCTCATCATGATCATCTGCACATTCTGCTGCCTTTGCTATTGCTACCACTGCTTTTACTACTCGACGACAACAACAACTACTACTACCACCACCACGACTACTACTACTACTACTACCACCACCACGACTACTACTACTACTACTACTACTACTACTACTACTACTACTACTACTACTACTACTACTGCTACTGCTACTGCTACTGCTACTGCTACTGCTACTGCTACTCCTGCTACTCCTGCTACTCCTGCTACTACTGCTACTGCTACTGCTACTGCTACTGCTCCTGCTCCTGCTCCTGCTCCTGCTCCTGCTCCTGCTCCTGCTGCTGCTGCTGCTGCTGCTGCTGCTACTGCTACTGCTACTGCTACCATAACTGCCGCTGCTGCTAGCACGACGACTGGCGCTGCCCCAGGTGTTTGATTGCTTCTCGGAATGCTTACGATCATGTTTCGTAGCATCAGAGCCATTGCTGAGGTTTCTTCTCCGGAACTTTACCGCCAGTCGTTCCAGCCGTGTGCCCCCAGCCGTCCTTCGCAAGCGGCATTGGCAGCACATGTGCGAACCGATCCGTGGGTGCGGATTGCTGGGCATACTGTCTGAAGGACTCTGCTGCTCGAAGGGTTTGGGGTTTAGAGCTTCCGGCCACCCGGATGCGAAGACCAGGGCTAGGTGGCTCCACCACGACTCAATCCCTCGCAAGGGCCATTTTCATTTTTGCCCAACTAATCCAGGTGTAGGTAGGTAGGTGTAGGTGTAGGTGTAGGTGTAGGTGTAGGTGTAGGTGTAGGTGTAGGTGTAGGTGTGTGTGTCCCTGAGGACTGGGTCGGCGCCGCACGGAGATATGAGTGCCAGTTTGATGCAGCCAGCAGCACCGTGGAAATCCAAGCGACCGGGGAGGCGATCGCATGCGAGCTGATGCTTGGCACATTGAATCACCCTGCCTTTCCCTTTTTGAACCCCTGCCGAGACTTGCAAAACATCCAGGGACACTCCGTGATGCCTCCCGAGACTTTCGGGGATTGGCTTAGAGGGCTTCTATCTGTGGCCACGAAACACCGTGCTCGCTACTCCTCCTCCTTGCACTACTCCTCGTTTTCCTAGCTGCGGTGATTGTTGGTGGTGGTGGCGGTGGAAGCAGGAAGTCGTCGTCGTAGCCGAAGTAGCTGTAGTAGTCGTCGGCGAGCAGTAGCGGCAGTAGCTATATCATCAGCCATGGTCGTGGTAGCGATACGAGTTACGAGTCGGAGTTGTCGTAGTCGTGAGGGTGAACAACATGCTCTTGATGACGCAGCGGACATGTGGCCTCTGACAATTGAATCCTCGTTCCCGGGGTCTGATCAGGGGCTTGTGCTTTGTCTTCTATTCTTGCTCATATTTTTGAGAGCCCTACACCCTCAACCCCTTAGCCCGTCTGGTAGGGTTCTTGAGGTTTGATCTTTCTGAGTTTGGGAGTTGGGGGCCCAGGGCTTACGGCTTTCCCCGGCTCCCGTATGAAAGGAACTCCAAACCCCCGAATCCTAAACCATAAAAGGGTTTAGGGTTGCGGGCAGAAGGAACAGCTCCGCCGCCCGACGACTCGCAGCAACGAACCCATGTTCCGCTGATTCGGCTCCCAGCCAGCGCTTTGAGGAGTCGGACTCGCATGGGGTTTGTGTTGCTGGCGGTTTGTCGGTGATTTGTTGTGCATGTCAAAGCTCAGCAATTACTTCGTCCAGAAGCAACAATTTGGCATGCGTTTGTGTCGTAATTATCGTTTGCTTTCTCGTGCTGATTGTGAGCAGGTTGACAATGGCCTTGTCGTTCTCGTTGTTGTACTTTGTCACACATACCATTAGAGTCGGGTTATGTGTGGTTTGTTGGTTGCCCCTATTATTGTTGGAAAGATCTGGGCGAGTCGGTTGCTTTCGGAAGTTGTGAGGTATAAAGACACTACCAGCTTCCTTTTCCCTCGCTATGACTCTACGTACTTGTAACCTACCGACTTTAGCTACTATTTGCTTAAGAACCCCCAAAAAATAAAAAAATATATTCCTTATGGGGGGTAATATAGGGATTGTTATTTTTATTTTTTGGGTGTTTCTTAAGCAAATAGTAGTTAGTCGAACTACAAACTGTAACAACAAGCAGCTGACACCTCGCCAGGCTTCCGCTGCTGGCTTGGCCGAGCTGCAGTATACGCACAGCTGTGGCTCGGCTTCCCTAGAGCCCAACTTTCTCTCTTTCTTTTGGGAGTTTGGAGTTCCTATAGGGGTCAGCGGTGGGAATCCTTGTTGTTTTGGGGCCTTAATAATTAGAACAGCATCCCTCAGGGCAATTTTGCTCCCCCCCCCCCCCCTCAAAAAAAATCCTTTTGTTGTCTTTGTCAGACCCTTGGATTCCTTGGGAACCCAGGTGGCGACCAGCAGCACGACGAAGTGTGCTTGGCACACTGCAGCATGGGCTTCACGATGACTGAGGACGTCCTCGGAATTGTTTGTTCAAACCCTTTGGTATCAGCTTGAGGGTGCGTGTGTTGACATAGCCTTGTAGCTGATATGGTGACCTTTGAGCTTCTTGGATAGATATGATATAATCCTACCATCTGGGCTGCGGTATTCAGGCGGCATCTATGTCCACATGTAGCTGGTTAAGGCCGGTCTTTACAGGTCTCGTGGTATACCGTCAGCCCGAAATTCTACTCCCCCAAAACCTAACTGCTAGACATGGTCTTCCATATTAGCAAAACCCCGAAGAAGTCAAGATTTTAAGAGAAGGAGAAGCGGTTGATGATATAAATCCTGCAGTACCTCAAGAGTTATGGTAATTTTGGTATCTTCCTTATTATGGGTAATGCAGCGGTTCCTGAAACCCTGTGGCGCTTGAAAAACCTTCAATCCTTGAAGCCTTTTCGGGACACATCTATGATACAGAATGCATCGTACATAATAATTACATAATACATAACTAGTACACACTTGGAGGGTCATGGGACTTAGTAAGTAAGCTTATAAATACCTTAGTTGGGGTTGTAGTATAGTTACCCTAAATATAAAACCCAGTTATTAAGTTCCATGATCCTTCAAGTAGTACACTATACAGGAGACCCCGGCAATCTTGGTTTGCGACAACGGCGCCTTCGTCGGAGCAGCGATGCCAACGCACCGTGGCCCAAATGGGACCCGAAGGGTTCACCATCTAAAAACCACCATCTAAAAACCCTAAACCCTAAACCCTAAACCCTAAACCCTAAAACCCTAAACCCTAAAAACCTAAACCCTAAAATCCTAAACCCTAAACCCCTAAACCATGAAAGGCATGGAAAATTGAAGCGAGCATTGAGGGGGTCTCTTTGGCCTCGTAATGAATCACCAAAGCTTGAAACTAATTCGGGAAAACAGGGTCTTCTTAGCGACCATACTGAGATCGTGAACAGGCGAAATCTAGGGAAGGATGATGCTGGAATTCCCTATATGGTTTCGGACAAAGGCTGGAAGGTTTCGTGCGCAGAGGTTCCAGGACCAGGATTCCCGCTGCGGAAAAATGAGGATTTAGGGGCTAGGAGTTTATGGTTTAGGAAACCATGTACCTCATCTGCGTTTCTATGTTATGCATGGATGTATGCGTGTATGCAAGTTTGCATGTAGGTAGGCTGTTAGGTGTCTATGTATGTGCGTCAGTAACATGCATGTATGTTTTCAGGCTTCCTGAGCGGTCGTCGCTGTCGCAGGCCCCAACGCGCGTTGGGGCTTGTGCCGGTTCAGAGTGTAGGGCCTATTTGGAAACAGAGGCTGAACTCCCCCCCCCTCCTTCTTTTGCATAGTTAAGCTTCAGGTGGAAAGAGTGATGTTTCAAAGGGGGAAAGGAGGGGCCCTTAATGGGGCCCCCTACCCTATAATGGGCTATATAATGGGCTATATAATGGCTATATTAAGGGTATATAATAGCTATATTAAGGGTCCCTAGTATAATACGGCACCTACTATATAATGGCTATATTAAGGGTGGTCCTTAGAGCAGGTTAAGCCTTGCTCCCAGCCCACACATGAAACAAACCCCTCTATGCCGCAGACCGGACCCAACGTTCGGGGTTTAGGGTTTAGGGTTCCTAAACCCTAAACCCTAAAATCCAAAACCCTAAACCCTAGGGTTCCTAAACCCTAAACCCTAAAATCCTAAACCCTAAACCCTAGGGTCCCTAAACCCTAAACCCTATGAGTTCAATGCAGTCCGGACCGTTCAGCCCTAAACTCCGAAGCCCCAGCTCCGAAGTCTGTGCCTTTTTGCAGCCTAGATCCTTGCATACCTTAAAGCCTCGAGCCATAAGTTTCGCCATGAAAGGTGCACTGGCCAGCCCTGCAACAACTCGCTGCCACAAGGTGCTGAATTTTACCTTGGGCTTTCAAAGCACACACTAGCGCAACTGCAACAATGACGACAACTGGAAGAGCTAGTGCTTGTTCTACTGCGACTGCTGCTGCCACTGCTTCCGCTACTGCTAGACTGTTGCTGCTGCTGTTGCTGCTGCTGCTGCTGGTGCTGCTGCTGCTGTTGCAGCCACTGCTACCGCTGCTCCTACTTTTATTCCTGCTGCTGCTGCTGCTACTACTACTACTACTACTACTGCTACTGCTACTGCTACTACTACTACTACTACTACTACTACTACCACCACTACAACAACTACTACTACTACTCCTCCTACTACTACTGCTCCTGCTCCTGCTGCTGCTGCTACGGCAGCTGCTGCTGCCGCTGCTGCTGCTGCTGCTACTACTACTACCACCACCACTCCTCCTGCTGCTGCTACTATTCGTCCTACTCCTGCTGCTGCTACTACGAGTACTTCAGAAGGTTGAATTAGTGTTAGTACTATTATCAGCCCTATTATGAGTACTACTACGAGTACTGCTACGACTGCGACTACGACGGCGGCGACGACGACTACTACTAAGACTAGCGGCGACGGTGGCGACAACGACTATTACGACAACTACCGCGGCCACCACGACGACGACTACCACCACCACCACCACCACCACGACCATAACGTCCACAGCCTCCACTAGCACCACTACCACGACTTGCGACCTGGACGAAAGTCGCCACTGCCACCGCCACCGCCATCACCACCACCAGCACCAGCCCCAAAAAGCAGGCTGATCAATGCTTTGCTGGTCGCCAAGACTAGCAGATTGAACACACACACACACACACACAGATACACGCGGAGAGCGAGGACGCAACTTCAGAGCACTGCAGTTGTGCAGAGAGTCCTGGGCTGAGTGGTTCTCACGATCATCAACTGTCGTTCTTGTTCTTATTCTCAATGCTGATCTGTTTTCAATCTAATGTTTACTGGTTTCCTCGGTTCGCATAGAGGTCGCAATAGTTGCTTGCAGCCCATACTACATTGACATAGTATATAATATAGGTAGATAGATAGATAGATAGATGCATATGTATATATAGATATGTAATGTGCGTGTGCATATATATATATATATATACACACACGCACATTACATATCTATATATATATATATATACCCCTAAGATACCCTTAAACCTAGTTTAATTATTACGGTCCGTAGAGCAACGCCCATAAACATAAGACCCATATGAAGCCCTGTTCTCACTACGAAGCCCTTAACCTAGCCTCTTATAAACCCTATTATAGTAACCATCGCTTTTCTGGCGTTGCATTGCTCAGCGGACCTCGATCCGGGTCGCACTACCGGTTAGAGTGTAATGGCGTGGGCATTAATTAGGGTTCAAGGTTCATCTCCTCCGGATTCGGGTTCAAGGTTCATCTTCTGAAACCTTCATGCTGTGTCATTATCTGTCCCTAAAACCTCAACACCCTAAACCCTGAACAGGTGCAGGTGTGAGTCATAACTGCGACGGGACGACGGCCTTTGGCACGTGCGACGCAACGTGTGGACAGGCCCCGTGGTCAAGAAGCAGGTGATAAACTGGCTCGGGGTTCAGAATTTCAGGCAATTTTAGGTTTTAGAGTTTCCTACTGTTAATCAAATGAATAAGCAGACCAATGAACAAATAAACATATATCATAAACAAAACTAATAGCTTCCAGGCCAGATCCCAATCCTGTGTCCTGGGGGGTTCGAAAATGAGAGGTTGCTTTCGTAGGGTTTCGGGTACAGGGTTCAGGGTACTACACTTGCTTCCTGAAGCTTCCACATAGTTGGTCCTCCTTGCCTTCACTCCTGCATTCCTGCTTCCATTGTCCCTTAATTGTTTAACTTGAGACATACTGAGAGCGTGAATTTCGGTTTAGAATCTAGCGCAATCAGTCGGTATCCAGGCATGTCGCGCCCAGATGAGATGACTGAGCACACCCTCACCACGCAAGACATTGATCACCATGTGCCATCGTGGCCAAGCAAGGCCGTCATCGGCATCAACGAGCCGAAGACACGGATTAGACAATCTCGAGCAAGCACGGATACACCAACTGTGACGACAGGCTTCTTCACAGCTGGTGCAGCGACAAGCTCTTCCCCGGCAGCTAGCACACCCGTCCACCTCAAGGCTTTTCCAGAGGACATCGAAGAACACCTACAATTCGACTTCGGTAGTCGAATCCCGATGTCAAGTATACCAACAGGCGCAGAGAGTTGCGCAGTCTGCCTGAGAAGCACATGGATGAGGTCGCATTGAAACGACGGACATGGACCTGGGCCTTTGACTAACCAAACTGCCCAGTACCAGACACAACCACGCGCTGTTTTAGTTCCATTTCAAGCGGTTCGGCGAAGCAGCACACACGCACAGACTTACAGCCCGAAACCTGTATACAATCCTCATAATCACCCACATAAAACCTTCATAGTAACCCTCACTAAGCCCTAAACCCCAAACCCTAAACCCCAAACCCTAAATCCTCAACCCCTAAACACTAAAACCCTAAACCCTACTAAGCCCTATAAGCCCTATAAACCCCATGCCGGCTACACCCCAAGCCCTACCCTAAACCCTTAGCCCTAAGCCCTATACACCCTAACTTCTAACCTAAACCCAAAAGCCCTAAACCCTATAAACCCCAATCTCTAAACCCTAAAGCCAAAAGCCCAATAAACCCCAGGCCGGCTACACCTACACCGCGGGCTCCCAGAAAGAGATCTTCACCTGTATGCCCTGGGGAAGCTTCCAAGGCCGGGCTTTTGGATCCTTTTTTGAGGGGTTTCAAGGGCTCCTTTAAGGGCGGGTTTAGGGTTTAGGGGTTCCTTTAAGGGTTTAAGGGCTCCTTTAACGGTAGTATAAGGAGGGTTTAAGGAGGGTTTAGGGTTTAAGGGTTTCCAAGGCTGGGCATTTGGATCCTTTTAAGGGTTTAACGGTTCCTTGAAGGGTAACATAAGGAGGGTTTTGGGTGTAAGGGTTCCTTTAAGGGTGGTATGAGGGCTGTAGGGTTTAGGTTTATTCAGGGTTTAAGGGTTCCTTTAAGGGCAGTATGAGGGCTCTAGGGTTTTATTTGGGGGTAAGGGTTCCTTGAAGGGTAGTAGAAGGATCCTCGGATTTCCTTTTTAGGGGTTTACAGTAGAAGCCCGAAGGTTGTACACGCAATTGCCTCTACCTGTAGCCGCAAAGACCCCTACCTTTTTAGGGTTCCTTATTATGGTTTCTATATATAGTTCCCTCAAACGGTAGGTCTTTTCGGCTACAGGTGTCCTCCAAGAGAGATGAATAGGGAATCCCGACACTAATTTGGACTGAGTCCAGATTACCAATTTTATGGGGGTTACTGTCAGGGTTCGTTTTAAGGGTAGAAATTACAAGAGCTCTGGGGTTTAGGGTGGGTTTGGAGGTTTTGGGTTAGGGTTTGAGGTTTACCTGCAGCCGAAAAGGCCTACCTTTTTAAGGAACTATATATAGAAACCATAATAAGGAACCCTAAAAGGGTAGGTCTTTCCGGCTACAAGTAGAGCTTAGGGTCTCTGGGGTTTGGGGTTTGGGGTTAAGGGTGCTTGTGGGATGCTGCAAGGGTTTTAGGAGTGTTCTTCGGGAAGTTGCAGCTTTTAAGGTCTTGGTAAGGGCTTTACAAGGATTCTACAAGGTTTTATGGCCCTAAACCCTCAACCCTAGCCGGTTCTAGTTCTGGAGGGATTCTATAAGGATTTTTATATATTGGCTCGACTTGGGCTCAAGTTTCCACGGCGAAGATTCAGGGTATCGAGGGGTTTGGAGGGCTTTCAGGGTGCTGTCGGGCGTACTCGTAAACATGTGTAGAGTGTATAGGGTTTCAGGGATTGAGGGTTTAGGGTTGAGGGTTTAGGATTGAGGCTTTAGGGGTGAGGTTTTAGGGTTTCAGGGTTTAGTAGTGTCTACTCTAGGAACCTGACTAAGAAACCCCCCGGCCCTATAACCCCCCCCCAAGTAGTAAGATGTATGTAAGGAACTTCAAAGGCCCAACAAGGTTTCTTAATCAGGTTCCTAGATTATTATGGTACCCTTATAGATCCCTAATGTAACCCTTATAGACCCCTCTAAAGGAACCCTAAAAAAAGGCCCAAGGTTCCTACATTACCAGGTCTACCCAGGGCTTACTGTGGTTTTATTCGTAGGCAGCTACCAATACAAACTGCCCCCAGCCCAAAGGGTTTGTGTGACTTTGTTGGTACTGGGTTTAGGGTTTAGGGTTTAGGGTTTTGGTGTAAGTTCGGTGGGTACAACGAGGCGTCTAAGCCTCTACAAGGGTTTCACACCAGCGGGCTGTAGGCGTTTACAAAGGGTTGGGGTCTACCAGGGTTTCAGTGTTAACGCCCTTGAAGTTTCGGATTTCAGTAGTTTTCAGGATTTCAAGGACGCTTAGGGCTCCGAGGGTTTCTGGTGTTTGTTTAAAGCTTGTGGGGTTTTGCGGCGGCAGCTACCGGAGATGAGGTGCTCATGCAGGGTTTTCGGTTTTTGGGGGTTCAAGGTCTTTGCCTCCATCGCACCGAACACTATGACATCCTAAGCGTCAGAACCGCGATCTTGAGCTAGTTCTCGAACAAGGAGTAGTTACCATATTGACAAGGGCTGCTCCGAAATCAACTACGGGCCAAACTGCTGCATGGCTGCTTGTGTGAGCACACACATGACTTAGATTTCGCTCCGGACTTGTGGAGTGCTGGTCGTGAAGTTTACCTCGTCCTTACAGGACCTTTGGAACCAAATCCAACCATGAATTCGCTGACCAATATAGGGGCCTAAATAATTACCTATACTGTTTTATGGGCTCCCGCATTACAAGAAGAGTAAAAAAAAAACCAAACCCTATTCTAAATATTACGGCCCTGACATTACCTTGACGAGATGATCCGTTTAGCCTTTGCCCAGTTTCGACAGTTGGCCCAGTCCTCCCGTTCCCTGGTGCCCTTGAGGGAAGTCTTACCGGGCCCCCCAGTAGTAGGGTTGTAACCACAGGCTCCAAGACCAAGTAATTCAGGAATCTTTTGAACATCAGAGAAGGGATCCCTTTATCGTGGAAAGTATGCGCGGCGTTACCCTGGGGACCTCTATAAGTAGTACCCTTACAAAGGCTTTACAGTGGGTACACGCACGAACGTTTTATGATTTTGGGAGTATTATGCCAACCAGCAAATGTAAACCGCTCATTAGGTCAACCAGCAGCATCCTGTCTCCCCTTTTTATAATGACTTCCTTGTTCAAGTTGAATATTAAGAAATCAGGGACACACCCCAAAAGCACAAGCCCTAACCCCTGAACCCTAGCCCATAAACCCCAAACCCTAAACCCTAAAACCTTTTTCTTGCGTTCCGAAGACGTGGCTCTATGGAATTCCACAGGCAATCAGCCATCGTGCGAGCCCATCTCGTGTCAGGACCGGTTAAGGGCTCAAGGGACTTAACGGTTGATGATCTAATTCCTTTCAGGGCTTTTAAAGGGAACTCCAGAAAGTTGGAATATGGATTCATGGTAGGATCCCCTATAATTTACCTTAAAGGGGTTATGATAATGATATTCCAACTTTCTGGCTTCTACTGTAAGGGATCTATAGGATTACCTTCAGGACGCTAGACTATGAGAATTATGGTATCTTCCTTGTTACGCGCATTGCAGGAGTTTATCATCAACCGTAGAAAGTAGGATCATAATTGGGGCTATAAGCGTCCAAAGTAGGGTTATCTTTTTTTGTAACCTTACTTCCTATATCCTATGAGCCTGTAAGTGGGTGTCGGTTGAAAGTTTAAAGATTCGTTCGAAACTACATGACCACGAACAATCTTCCTTAGAGTTTCCATCAGAAAGTCAAATCAAAATCCTAGTAAGAATTGTTCAGTTTTCTATAGTTGGAATTGAGGCGGTCGGCCGAGAGTTGAGGAGCTCAGATTTTTGGTCTGAATTTTCAGGGCTTCACAGTCTTTCGGAGGTTTTGCAGTTTTTGTTTAAGGTTTACGGCGGCGTAGGGCGTTCGCGGTTCCAGGTTGTTTTTTGGGTGATGTTCGGCTTTTTGATCTTTTGAAACTCACGTGGAGCTTTCGGTGCCCAAGGTCTTTTGAGGTTTAGGGTATTGTGGCTTAAGAGGTTCCGGGTTTTTGCGGTTTCAGGTCATCTGAGTGATAGGGGCTTTTCGGACTGGCTGCCTCGTTATGGGGGTCCAGTGCTGTTGCCTCTTGAATCCTCACTTTCCGCAAGCCCCAGAAATCCTAATCACCAAGCACTATAAGCTTAAGACCTAGACTTACTAAGCACTAAACGTTAAGCTCTAAGGCCTAACTTGTAGAAAACCCTTATTATAGTAACCCGTACAACCCCTTGGAACCAGAAACCCTAAACCGTGTACAGACGGCTTTCGGGGTCATATGTCCTTTGGAGTTACGGCTTTTGGATCCGCGCGTCACTTGAATAAGGTAATAGAGACCTGAATACGTGCAAAGAGTCCTAAGTACCGACATTGGAGAAGGCAGCATTCGTAGAGCAGGATCAGGCTTGGGCAAGTATCCCCCATACAGGTACTAAGGACCCTTTGGGATAAACCCTCAACCCGAAACCGAGCTCAGAAAGACCCATTCGGTTGGAGTTAGGGGGGTCACCCCTAAACCCTAAACCCCTAAACCCTTTTGGGGCAGCCCGAGGCAAGGGCGTCGGGAAACGGTATCGTTCCATGCTCGGGTTTTAGGGTTTGAGGCTTTTATAAACCCGAGCTTCGAAGCAGGAGATCCGGACTTGCGTCTACCTCATTAGGGTCCATGTGCCCAAATAGTATATACTTTGGGCCCAATGCACCTATATAGGGACTACATTAAGGCTTTCAGGGCCAAAGTCATACTAGTTGGGTACATGGAGCCTCAGGGTAAACATGCAGGATCACCAAAAAGCTGTCTACGCAAGGGCCGCGAAGTTCCTAGCCGTAAGACCTCATCTCCTGAACCCTGAAGCCCTGATCTCCTAAACCCTAAGACCCTACACCCTAAAGTAAAAGCCAGAAAGTTGGAATATGATTATCCTAAGCCCTTTAGGGTAAATTATAAGGTATCCTACCCTGAAACCATATTCCAACTTTCTGGAGTTCCCTTTAGGCCCTATAGTGCCCTTATACTCTGAAGGACTTGGTTCTTGACGGCATCTACTCCCACAACTGCAAGTCAAAACGCTTTGGGGACACCTGCGGCGTGAGCTGCGCCACTGGGTCTCCCGGCTGCCTCTTTTCGGCTAAGGGAGTAGGGTTCTATGAGGGTTCTTTAAGTGCTTCCAAAAGGATTCTTCCAGGGTCTTATGACTTTTTTAAGAGGCTTGCTCAAGAGTTTTTCATAAGGGTTCTTTAGGGGTTTGGGGGCGCAGGGTTCAGAGTCTGGGCTTTCTGGGTTTAGGGTTGACCCGTTTCTGGTTTTCGAGCAGGTCGAAGTTGTCAAGTCGTCCAGAGCAGTCTTTGAGCTTGTGGTAATAGAGGTGCCGTGAGTAATTCGCGAGCGAATTCCTTTTCTTAGGCTTCCCTATCACATGTCAAGCACAATCTATCCGCAAAACCAGGTTCAATTTTGTTCAGACCCCTTCTAGCATGCGCAAGAACGAGGCCGTCTTGCTTTCCTATCTGTCAAGACGCGCGACTGTGTCTTTTTGCATCAGAGCGAACCGCCCAATTACATCTCGTGCCTACGACGAGCCGAAACCTATGCTTAACCCGAAACCCTGGACACACTGAAACAGCATCACGCAGGTCATATAGGAGTCTGAATGATTTTGAACTTGGATCCCGTTACAGTCCTTTTATATACATACATATGTACAAGCTACATAGCCCCAAAATCCGGTACCGTGAATCCCGAGGTATCACCTCAGCGGATGGGGATCGCAGTACGTGTGCGGGGCAGATGGTACCTTTGAAGGGGCCCCATGGAGTGCACAGGGTGGAGGGTTTAGGGCCCGCGGGTTTCGTTTGGATGCTGCCCCCACTCTGTAACAGTTGGATAATGGTTAAATACACCCCGTAATATACCCTAAACCCTAAAGCCTCAACCCTAAACCCCGACTTTAAACCTCAAGCCCTATCTATCTATCTATCTATCTAACGATCTATCGTCTATCGGTCGATCGTCTATCGGTCGATCTATCTGTACACGTATATATATATATACACATACATGTTATATATATATATATAGAGAGAGAGAGAGAGGTCTTGAGATGACCCCTAGTATACACTGCTAGATGGTGGGGGCGCTGTACCGTAGGTTTCGTGTTTCGGGGCCAGGCTCGAAGCAGGGAGCTAGGCTGAGAATACCAAGAAGAATGACAAACAAACTAGCCGCAAAACATTACTAATTACTGCTACTACTACTCCGACGACGACTACTAATATTGGCAATGATAAGAAGCATAGTATTGACAACCGCAATAAGAACACTTGGTAATAATCGTGACAACAACAGGCGTAACGATTGTCATGATGATATTCAGAGTAATAACTATAATAGCAGTAGCCGGAAGACTTGTAGCAGCAGCCGAGCAACCAACCATCATTGTCCTCAGCATTTCAGTCAGTATACAGCATACAGTAGTCATCGCCACATCAATCATCTGAATCATCTCCATCGCCATCATAGTTCATCATCGTCATCATCACCGTCACAGTAAATCAAGAGGCGGTGGCGTCGCCATCTGCATCAACATCCGGACAACTGCCCGGCACGAGATACGTAAACAGCCCTAGTTACGTTATAACTGTCATCAACGAACCCCCAGCAGTTCCTACACACATACATACACATGCATACATACATACATACGTACTCACACACGTGCAAGCATGCATACATACACATATAGATATGTATACGTAAATGTGTATGTGCGTGTGTGTGTGTGTGTGCATAGCTCTAGGTACAATCATCCCCCTATAGCTCAATCTTGCTATGGCTTCTGCGGGTTTAAGTCGGGAATGGTGACAGGCAACACATGCATACTTGTCCCAGTTCTAGTACCTGCTGTACTAGGGACACCCAACCTTGACTGGCCACACTCATGCAGAAAGCTTTCAGGTGCTTCCACAATGCAACGGCAATCCGTGCCAAAACACGGTGGATGACCCTGCGCTGGATGCAAGTGCCTGCAATAGCCTCACCACCGGTGAGGACTGCAACGTCACCTGTCAAGCCGGCTACGGCTTCAACCAGACCACTGTAGTCTGTGGAGCATCCGGCTTCCTCTCTGGGATTCTTCCCATCTGCAGTCCCCTGCCATGCGTAGCAGACCCAGAGCTTCAGCACCCGACGCTCGCGCATTCTTGCAACTCCGTGCCCTTCGGCCAATCCTGTGTGGTCTTCTGTGCGAATCTCGGTGGCAATTTGGGATTATTGTTTCGTTTCTTTATGGCCTTGCAAACCCGCAGGGTTAACTGCCGAAGTCTATACTTGTTGGGCCCAAAATCTATCAAGCATCAGGATACTCAGACCCTTTGGGAGAGGGACTGCTGCGTTAACAGGGGCCATGAAACTGCAAAAGGAATTACAAGAGAATTTGTCCAAAGCCGTCTCCCATGCCGTAAACCCTACCTAAAGCCAATCGTAAACCCTAAACGCCCAAACCCCTTAACCCCTAAACCCTAAACCCGTAAACCCCTAAAGCCGTAAACCCCTAAACCCCTAAACCCCAAGGAATGGCTACGTCTTCAGCAATGGCAGCTCCGCCGAGACCTGGCAGTGCCGCCTCAACGCCACCTCCGGGGCGACGAGCCTGGAAGGCCGTCTGCCCAGCAAAAAACACCGGGAAATGAGACCAGGGTTTTATGTGTGTGTATATATATGTATGTATATATATATATATATATGTATATACATACATAGAGAGAGAGAGAGAGAGAGAGAGAGAGAGAGAGAGAGAGAGAGAGAGAGAGAGAGAGAGAGAGAGAGAGAGAGAGAGAGAGAGCGAGCGCGTTACATCAGGCCACCTTTGCCACAGCTGAGGCGAGATCTCGAAGAGTAGGCAGAATCGATCGATCAGGGCCCCAAAGCGTTGCTATGAAACCTAAAGTTCTTACTACACCGCAGCCCAAAACCCACTGACGGCCCTTTCTACCAGGATCGTTTTGCTACTTGATTGCTTTTGATGAACTGCTGATAGGGTTTCACTTTAAGGAGAACACACTACAAACATTTTTGTACTAGTCTCTGCACCAAAATAACATTTTCAGTAAAAACACACCAGGAAAAACAAGCTATTACAACATAGTATCGTTATTTAGCAAAGAGAAACACACTAAAACTCTTTTAGCTGCTGTGACAACTTTATCACTACCCAAACCCTAAACCCCCAAACCCCTACACCCTGAACCCCTAAACTCTAAGATTACCGGAACCCTCAAACCCTACGCGCTCTTCTCTGTTGCTATTCCGATATAGTATCCATTTTCAGCAAACAGCGCCAAAAACAAAACACATTTGTGTTTTCAATAATATCATGTCACTGTTAAGAAGAAGAACACATTCAAAGCCTTAAACCCCAAATCCCTAGGGGAACCCTTAAAGGAACCCCTAAAAGGAACCCCTTTGAAGGAACCCCAAGCTCTAAACCGTAAACCTTAAACCCCCTTATAGTACTCGTTTTAGGAACCCTTAACCCTTAAAGGAACCCTTGAAGGAACCCCTTCAAGAACCCTGAAAGGAACCCCTTAGAGGAACCCCCTAAAAGGAACCCTCAAACAGTACTTAGAGGATCATGAGACTTAGTAACTAGGGTTATTATGAAGGTACCTATACTTAAAATTACTTATAACCCCTGTTAAGGTACCTACAAACCATGCTTCCTAAGTGCCATGATCCTCCCATTACAGATCCCTTTAAGGAACCTTATTATAGAACCCTATAGTACCCTTTTAAAGGGAACCCTAAAACCTACTTACTACGTCCCATGATCCTCCCAAGTAGACCCTAAGCCCTAAACCCTATAGATCCCTTTAAGGAGCCCTGCAGATCCCTCTAAGGAACCTTACTAAGTCCCATGATCCTCCCAAGTAGACCCTAAACCCTAAACCCTATAGATCCCTTTAAACTATAGTACCCTTTAAACGTAAAGACCCCTTATGAACCCCATTATAGAACCCTATAGTACCCTTTACAAGACATGATCCTCCAAGTAGACCCTAAACCCTAAACCCTATAGATCCCTTTAAGGAGCCCTATAGATCCCTTTAAGGAGCCCTTTAAGGAGCCTTACTACGTCCCATGATCCTCCAAGTACACGGTCTCCAGGCCTGGTGCCCAGCTGCGAAGCCGAGCTTTGCAGCAGCGGCCTCCCGGCGAGCAGCCCGAGGGTCTCGGACAACTGCACGGGAATCCGAACAGGCGAAGGGGTAGGGGACTTAGGGGTTTAGGGAATTTAGGGTTTAGGGGATTGTTTAGGGATTTAGGGTTTAGGGATTGTTTCGGGTTTAGGGGATGGTTTTGGGACTTCAGCTTTGGAGTTTTAGAGTTTAGGGTTTAGGGGCACGGGAATCCGAACAGGCAAAGGGTGGGGGGGGGCCTAGGGTTGAGGGATTTAGGGTTCAGGGTTTGGGGATTTAGGGTTTAGGGTTGGGGGTGTAGAGCGTAGGGATTTGGGACTGCAGCTTTAAGGTTTAGGGGCCAGGGGTGGGGTGTATAGGGTTTTGGGACTTAGGGGGGTTTTGGCATTTAGGGTTTAGGGGTGCAGAGTTCAGGGTTTTGGGACTTGGTTTAGGGATCCAGGAGGATTTATAGGGTAGTGTTTGGGGGTTTTGAGGTTTTTGGATTCAGGGTTCAGGGGGGCTTAGAGTTCAGAGTTTGGGGTTGGGGTTTTGGGTTCATTAGGTTGCATTAAAGGTGTTCTTTAGGTTTGTTTTTTGCCTAGATCTTCTGCTGGTGTTGGTAAGGTAGCTTTGTCAGGGTTTCTACAGGATTCCATGGTGTCTCGGGATTTATAGGATTTAGGGTTTAGTTTTTGTTTTCGCAGAGGCTTGTAGAAGGGGCTGTAGACGGCTTTTGTGATATTGCTTAGAAGCTGCCCCCACCCTGTAATAGTGACTATAAGGATTATATTAGGGCCCTATTATATTCCTATTATACCACTATTACAGGGTGGGGGCCCCTTCTAAGATATTGCTTATGATTTACAGTTTGGGGTTTCTGTCTTCTGGGCTTTGCAGTATTGGGTTTCCTGGTTTAGGGAGCAGGGCTTTTGGAGCTCTGGGTGTTACGGCTTCAGGGGTTTAGGGCTTAGGGTATGTGGACAGGAGCTGGGTTTGTGCCTTTAACATTTGTTTTTGGTGTTTTCAGGTTGAGAGCGGTTGGTTTCATTTTTTTGGGCCGTTTTTGTCTTAAGGTATTCTGCGAAAGAGTTATCGGTTTGAAGGTCTTCTGGGGCTCCACTGTTGAACCTCTATGGGGTTGGCTTTCGGTGTGACTTGGTCCGAGTTTACAATATCGCGCAGGTGAAGCCTGCGAAAGGACCTGTGCGCACGGCTTCTCCGGCGAGGATGTGACTGGGTTCTTGTTAAGGAGTTACCCTAATAAGGAACCTTATCATTTACTATAGATCCCTACTATGGTAACTTAAATGAAATTACTTAACAGGAAACAAACCCTCATACCATCCTGATAGATCCTTTATAGCAGTCCTTAGAGGAACCCTTAAAGGAACCCTGAAAACCCTAAACTGCCTAAACCCTTAACTCTAAACCCTAAACCCTAAAAACCATTAACGGAACCCTCAAAACCCCTAAACCCTTAAACCCTAAACTCTAAAACCCTGAGAGGAACCCGAAGAACCCCTAAACCCGAAACCCTAAACCCCTTATAGTATTTCTATAGTAACCCTTATAGATCCCTTCAGGGAGCCCTAAAAACCTCAAAGAGCCCCAGGTGGTTTACGTCTGCACCAGCGATGGAGCGGCCACAAGCAACTCGAGCTCTGCCTGCAGCCCGCTCTCCTGCAACTTCTCCGCGGCTCCGGAGACGCTGGGCCTATCCCAGGGCCCCTAGGGTCCCTTTAAAGGGACCATAAGGGCTACTATAAGGGATCTAGGGTTCCTTTAAAGGGGACTATAAGGGCTACTATAAGGGATCTAGGGTTCCTTTAGAGGGGACTATAGGGGCTACTGTAAGGGATCTAGGGTTCCTTTAGAGGGGACTATAGGGGCTATTATAAAGTAGCGCTCCTTCAAAAGGGTCTATAAGGCTTAGTATAAGGGATCTATAAGGGTACCATAAGCGTTTAGGGTTCCCTAGAGCTCCTTTAAAGAAGGGATCCATAAGGGTACTATAACAAGGCCCCTCTACTATCCGTTCAGTGAAAGTGCCCCTAAACCCTAAGCCCTTAAGCCTGAAGCCCTAGCCCGAATCTTAAAGTTAAAAAAAACCTGGCTTTCAGAATCATAGTCATACGAGACCCGACAACTAATCCCGTCTACGACAGCATCTTTAAGGATATAAGCAAATCTTATCTACAAGGTCATTGGGCATAAGAACTTTGTTATATTCGGGGTTAGAGTGTGCTGGATCGGGTTACCTTCATTGTAGTTCTACTTACATCCTACATGCAAAGTCCTCTGGGCCTCCAAGTATAGTAAAGCTGAGGAATGTTATCCACACCTGCAGCGGCATTGTCTTCGGTGGCGGCTGTTCAGCCTTCTGTGCACCCGGCTATGGCGATGCCAATGGCAGCCTTAACTGCACTTACCCTGAACCCGAAACCCTTAAACCCTTAACCCTCAACCCTAAACCCCTAAACCCCTCAAACCACCCCCGAGGCACGCCTAGAGCTTACGGTAATCCAGAAAAGGTAGTAACATGAATTTAGACTGTTCGGTGCCGTGCACATTACGTCGGGGCATCAAGACGATGTTGTTCCATCCCTGTGCCTTTTACCCTCAACCCTAAACTTCTAGGAGCTCAAGGAGCCCCCATAACAGAGGGGCCTTAATAAATATTTGGTTCCTTAAAGGGGGCTATACGCGATCTGTGGTAGGCTTCAATGAGCTAGGGGCCTTAATAATTGCCTATACCATGATGGGGGTTCCTGACTATGTTTATACTAAAATGGGAACCCCAAAAGCTTATTCTAATTGTAAGGGCCCCCCCTTTCTTTTTATACCCGGAATAGACCCGGAAGCCCGCACCCTACCAGGCAGCAGCGTGCAAAGTTGGAGCTGTGAAGGAGCTGAGTCTGGGCTAGAGCTGATCCCCGGTCAGAGCACAAGCAGCTCGAACCGTTGGAGTTTTTTTTGTTTTTTTGTTCTTGAAGCCTTCCTCATCCCTTAGAGAAGTAGGTCTTATGGGTTACAGTAGGATGTAGGGTCTGTGGGATTGAGAGCCATAGTTATTGCTCGCGCTGTGTCAAAGATGTCTGTGCTTTTGGGAGCGCCTAAGGCTTGGGGTGTTCGGTCTTCACGCCTTTAACACAAGCTTCAGGTTACATGCAGAGTCATCACTAACATTCTCATGACAAACTAGGCGCATCATCAGCATCATCAGCAGCAACACCACCACCACCACCACCGGCACCACCACCACCACCACCACCACCGCCACCACCGCCGCCACCGCTGCCCTAGTCCTCGTCCCCATCGTGATCGCCGTCATCCCAGTCGTCCGCATCGTCCGTAATGACATTGAAGCTCTTGGTACTACTCACAAGATGATCATGAACCATGGTTGTCGGAAGTTGCAGCGCGGTAACCGCAGCAAAGGAAGTCTACTTCTTAAGCCATGCCAACCACCGTAATGTTCACAGGCTCACAATAACATGGTTTCGATACATGCAACGATGACTTTGTTAAAGCCCTGAACCCAAAATCCAAAGCGAGCAGACCCCCAAACTCCAAAATCCTGAAAAAAACGTGCAGTCATCGTAGTTGGTAAGGGCAAAGAATGCTAGCATCCCTTGATGTCGAGGGCTGAGCATGGTTTAGGGCTTTCCGCATGACCCAAAAAGTGTGGGGTCCGAAAGTAAGGGCACCTTACTTTGGGGCTTAAAGAAAATTTTGGATGGGGATACCAAGATTCCAAGACAGCGTGCCCTGTAGTATATCATAGGGACCCTGAGGCAGGGTAGGGGGTAGGGGACTATACTTCCTTAAATAGGAGTTATTCAGGCCTGATTATACGTATCAAGGCCCCCACCCCCCCTACAGATTATACAACCCTGGATCATCATGAATGCTCTTCCTTAGGTATCCTTACTACAACAACTGCAGAGAAACCCAGATCCCCGTTGTAAACATTAAATCCCCTACCTGTAGCCGAAAAGACCTACCTTTTAAGGAACTATATATAGAAACCATAATAAGGAACCCTAAAAAGGTAGGTCTTTCCGGCTACAGATATACGAAACCCTATAAAACCCTCCGTTTGTGAGGTGATGTCGGCTTGAGGGGCACGGTGCCTAGCTGTGTCCCCTTGGGATGTTTCTACAACTTTCCTTCCGGGGCCCAGTACCAGCACGACTGTGACGGCGTGGTGACCGGCGGCAGCTGCAACTGGGTTCTCGCTAAAGCACAGGATTATTAATTTCAGTTACCGCAATATCGAGAGCTACGGTAAACAGTAGGGTTGCCTTATTGTTATCACATATTATCATTATAATTACTGGTTATTATGATCATGACTTCTATGGCGACTTGAAAGTTGTTCCTGCACAAGAGCCCCAGGTAACGTCTCTTGCGCCGAAGGCTGGGAGGGTCCCAGCTCGGTGCTGCGTTGCTCCGCAGATGGCGGCCTGGTCGGCGCCTTCCCCGCGTGCTCCTTCCTTGTGGCTTAGGGGTACTTACACATACATATTTGTTTTTTAAAATTTTGGTACCTTCAATCCCTAAGAAACAGCTAGAATGAATGTTTTGCTTGGGGTCTAAGTTCAGTATAGGTGGTGACGGAGACTGTCACAAGCACAACTGTGTCCACCATGACCACGACCAACACTGATATACTGTTCGAGATTCGGGTGGCCGTTGCTGGGCGCTTCATCGTGGCTGCCACTTGCACAAACAGGTAAATTTCCCTTGAAAGACACTCCGTAACATAGAGGTCTGAAGGAGGAATGAAATCCCGACCTCCGTATAATCCTAAATAAACTTTGGGATAACATACTCCCTTCCGACCCAATTCTCATCACTTTGGCCCTACATTGTCCTGTGCCGCTGCCCCAACCCATACTCGAGTGAACAACTCCCAACCCTGAACCCTAAACCCCTAAACCCTAAACCCCTAAACCACTAAACCCCAAACCCTAAACCCCTTAACCCTAAACCCCCAAAACCCTAAACCCCTTAAGCCCTAAACCCTAAACCCCTAAGGTGAACAACTCGCAAGACTTCATGTCTGACGCAAATGTCACGGAGGCCTTCGCCACAGTACTCGCAACGCTGACCCTCGGTTTCGGGTGTAACGGGTTGTAGGGGCCTTATAGGGTTTAGGGTTAAGGGGTTTAGGGTTTAGGGGTTCGGGTTAAGGGGGTTAGGGTTTAGGGATTTCGGGTTTGGGGTTTCGGGTTTCGGGTTTAGGGGTTTAGGGTTTAGGCTTACCGATGAAGGCTTGAATGTTTGGGGTCATGTCTTTCGCAGCACAGCCACTACGGGAAGGCCGCTGTGTTCCGACTAGAACCATAGAATACCCGGTGTGGCCCACATCGCGGATATGACGTTGTACCTTGCTGCGAAGGATGTTATGTTCTCGGCATTCTTTCAGCAGACCTTGCTGAGTGCTAGTGTAGACCACTGGCCAACAAATCCGTGTCCTGTAAGGGAATTGTAATGATTTCCGCATGCTATGGACCCTAGGGAGCGTGGGTTTGTGTCAATCAGGGGTCGAAGCTAATGTAGGGGCCCGAGTAATTACCTATACTATTTGGAGGATCCTCATTAATAATTGTATTATAATGGGCCCCCAAACCGATTCTGAAGCCCCTATATTACGGAACCCTACTGACTATCCCTATACGACCCCTTTAAGGAACCCCTTAAAGGTAACCCTATTCTGAATATTGAGGCCCTTCTCTTGTAGAACCCGACTACAGATTCCTTTTAGATTCCTTAAGGCACCCTTTAAAGGCAACCCTGTTCTAGTTTTTAAGGCCACAGATTGCCTTCAATCCTGGGGCTGAAACAGCTAAGGGAGAGTCCTGAGCTCTGAAACGGTTTAGGGCTTAGGGGGTTTATAGTTGATGGCTTAAGGTTTAGGGGTTTAGGGTTCGGGGTTTAAGGTCTATGTAAGCGTTGTGGTTGATGATGCGGTTTAGGGTTTACTTAGCCTTAAGGGTTTATAGAGGTGTCAAGGTTTCATGATCTTCGCGGCTGAGGATCCCTATAGATCCAACACGCCTCGCCGTGTCCTTCACCGCTGCCCGACGTCTGCAGGACTCAGGGCTTAGGGTTTGGGGTTTAAACGGTTTAGGGTTGCGACGACTTCGAGTTTCATTTCCAGATCTACTAAAAATCCATCCACGAAGTGTGCTGCGCTTTTGAATGCCAATCTGCTTGAACCAGCGATCTTGCGTTCAACACGCATTTACTCTGGATAGGGCACGCACGCAAGTGCCTGTATGCGTGTGTTCATACGTTTGCAGAGTATACAGATATCTCGAACGAATGTATTGAAGTGGTGATTATGTGATAGACGGATGGATAGATGTATGGAGTGATGGATGGATGAATGGATGGACGGACGGACGGAGGGATGGAGGGATGGAGGGATTGAGGGATGGAGGGATGGGGCGATGGAGGGATGGAGGGATGCATGGACGGATGGAGGGATTGATGGATGCACGAAAGTATGTCGGTATATGTATCCATGTGTATGCACGCATGTATGCATGTAGGTGTGTATTGCATGGTGGTGTTATTCGCACCGTTTGTACAAGTAGGTGTCGACAAGCCAACTTGTAGGCATGTCCTTAACCCTGAATAACCTACCTTTTCAGGGTTCCTTATTATGGTTTCCTTATATAAGTCCTTAAAAGGTAGGTTATTCCGGGTTAAGGGTTGCAATAAAGTCAGAAAGCAGCTCTGGAGACCCCATTTATGGAACCCCTAGGAAGGCCCGAATGCAAACAAATCAACAGATCTTCTCACAGAACCCTTGTTAGTCCCCATTATATATAGAGCCCTTTACAGTACGTAGACATTTTTAATATAGGGGCCTTCTAATAATTACCTGTACTCTTTTGGGGGTTCCTTATTGCAATTCTAGTATATTGGGCCCCAAAGCCCTATTCTAATTACTAAGGCCCCTAGAATACTTGATCCTGGAGCTTTGACCTCATTAAACATCCTGAAGACCCTGAGAAGCTTCTCAGGGCTTCGGGCTGTACCCCCCGGTTTAGGGTTTAGGGTTTAGGGTTTAGGGTTTGGGGTTTAGGGTTTAGGGTTTAGGGTTTAGGGTTGAGGGTTTAGGGTTTAGGGCCTCGAACCTCCAAAGCTTCAATCCGTCTGAAAAAGGCCCCAAAGGCCCAAAACCCTAAATCCCTCGGGCCTTCAATCCCTGCATCCCTCAAGGCCCCAAACCCGTAAGCTTATAGATACCCCGAATATAGTGACCCTTATAACAGCAACCCGAAATCCTTAGGCTAACCGTTGTAGGAGGACTTGCTGGTTTCCTTTGCCTGATAGGACTATGGCCTGCTGGCAGAGTCCAGGTCGCGGCGTCTTGCGGAGCAGGTGCATGGTTGAGAGTTTTTGGTTTGAGGTTAGGGACTTAGGAGTTTTCAGGGTTTAGGGTTTTGGGGTTTGGGCTTGGGGGTTAAGTTTTGGGTGTACGAGCACCGTCGATGTTTGAATAGGCGATATGCTTTTGTCTGGTCCTGGGCATAGGGCTTTTGGGTTAGAAAAAGGTGCGTTGCCAGGGTTACGCGAAGCGTTACTACCAGGCGCACCATAAGGCCTACTCTAAGGTGTACTAATAGGGTTCTGTAAGGTGTTTAGGTGAGTCTTCAGAGCTTCGGTGAGTAAGAACAGGACAGATTGGAGATCAGAAGCACTGCTCCTTGTTTCTTGACTTTTTAAAGCTTCTTCCCTTGAAACCGCAGCAAATGCATCACAGAACCCTTGCAAAAGACCTTACAGCAGAGTTACCCTTGTTGGCGCCTAGACCTTTCACCCTGCACCCTAAACCATTGCAAACCCTAGAGAACAAAACCCTTAATCCTTAACCACCCTAAACCGGTCTAGGATTTCTATTAGGGCTACTAAAGGGGTTGGTTTTAGAGTTACTAGGTGGGTTCCTTTACGGAGGCTTTTTTTGAGGATGCCTCGGAGGGATAGCTCAACGGTTCCTTAGTTCCTCTACGGGTGCTACAAAAACTTCATGAGGCCTGCTGTAATGATTGTAATACATGGGTGGTTGTCAAAATTATGGTCCCTTTTTGGGTACCCTAAACAATAGGTGCCGTACTATGCATAATAAGGACCCCAAAAGGGACCATAATTTTGACAACTACCCACTTCATGAGGCCTGCTGTAATCATTGTAATACATGAAAAGGCCTATGAGGGTGTGATGATTCTATAGGTTTTCTCAGACCAGCTTAGACGCATGTTATTACAATAGTGTTCGGGGAACGATGAGGATGACCATAAAATGCACAGTGAGGGTTCCGTAATCGCACAAGGGAATTTTTGGGTTAGTCTTTGTGGTTCAGGGGTGTAGCTTAGGGCTTCAGGTTCAGAGTGTAAGGCTTTCGGGATTGAAACTTCTAAACCTACGAAGGTGCAGGTCAGATCCCTTATCGTAGTCCTAAAAGCAACCCTTAAAGGAACCCTAAACCCTAAAGCCGAAACCCCTTATAGTACCCTTATATTAATTAAGTTCCGTAAGAAGAGCCCTACGAAGGTGCAGGTGAGCTACCAGACCTGGATCATGGGACGTACGCAAGAAGAGGCAGACAGCGCCTGGCCTCCCTCAGATAGAAAAAAACGGTGTTGGGCGTTAGGGTTTAGGCCTTTCAGAGTCTAGGGCTTTAGCGGTTTGCATGGTTTCAAGGTTTCAGGGTATTGGGTTGGGAGTTTCACACGATTTTTCGGGGTTTTGGGATTCGGGTTTCAGACCTTTGGGTTCTGAAGCTCGGGGTTTTGGGGTTTTCAGGATTCGTGATTTCGGGCTCAGTAACGAGAAGGGTGCGAGAACGAAGAAGTGCGAACATTGAGAAGATATGTGTATGCTTACACTGACGAAACCTTGCTTTTTGCCTGCTTAGGCTTCACAATTTTCCTCCCGATTAAGCGGTACTAATAGGAGTCCGCAAAGCCTGTGAACCAAGCAAACCCTGGCTGCACATCGTACAACTCAGCAGCTACTTCACGAAATCCCATGTACAGGGCTGGAAAGGACTCCCCACATCTGAAGTTTCATACGTTTGGAAGCTGGGAGGTCGTAGGTGTGGAAGAACCCGGAACCCTAGACACCTAATCCCCGAACCAAAAACCCTCAACCCTAAACTCAAAGCCCCGAGTCACCAAACGGAAAACACTTAATCTTGCCAAACCTTGGCTGCAACCTCCTGACCGATGACAAACCTGGAAACCTTTGCTTGAGGGAGCAGGGATCAGGGTTTAGTGTTTAGATAAGGGTTCGAGCGTAACCCCCGACTGGAGGTCCTATACCCTCAAACCCCTAAACCAAAGGCACCTCAAACCCTAAACCCCCAGGCTCGAAAGCCTAAACCCATGAATCCTGCACCCTTTCGTGCCCATACTACCCTTATAGTCATACCACCCTGCAAGGAGCTTCAAATCCTGGAGGCGAAACTTCGCAACCCTATAGAAACCTTACTTTGTAATCCTGATAGATTCTCTGCGTATGGTAACCGCGTTGGCCCTATAGCATCCTAAACCCAATACAGTGATCCCTATGGATACCCTCATTTTAGTAGCCCTCCTCCCCTGAACCCTCTAAGACACTTGATTATTGATTTCCGCAGTGTAGTTTTCCCTATGATATCACTCATAGTATCCCTTCTTCACCCTATGGAGCCCCTATGGTGATTCTTGTAGATATCCCTGTTATAGAATCCCTTATTGCAGGCCTTGCAAACCCTACCAAAAACCCGTGGTTTTTGGACCCTACAGTACCCTTTATAGTAACCCTTACTTCAGACCCTATAACCTACAGCCTGAACCCCCAAATTACAGCCCCCCTTATCAAACCCTCAACCCTAAACCCTGAACCCAAGGCCTCGGGCTGAACACTATCCTTGCTCAAGATGCTATACTCTAAAGCCTAGACCCCCAAAACGCCCTGCCGAACCCGAGGTCTTGGGATGAACCCTTATAGTGACCCTTACTTTAAGATCCTATACCCTACACCCTAAAACCCCAACATAAAAGGCCCTATCAAACCCGAGGCCTTGGGCTGAACATCAGCTCGGGCATGAACTTCACCAGCCTCGCGGCCTTGGGCGACTTGCTCCTCGCGGAGCTGGGCTCAGAGAAGCTCGGAAGATCGAAGTTTTAGTAGTGGTAGTGGTGGTAGTAGTAGTATTTAGAATATCGTCACATCATACCATCCCAAGCATCCGCTGAAGAACATTAGCCACTCCTTCCCGAAACCCCAGCCCCGCCCCAACAACCGTAACCCTAAGCCCCGCAAACCCTTAATATTAAGCCTCGCGAAGCCCACATGCCTAAAGCCTTGAACTTTGATTCGGTTAAGCACTCGGGGGGTCCTAGCCCGAAGCACTTGCAGCGTAGCAGAGAGGTCGGAATGAGAGGGGTCAAGTGAGAGGTCGGAATGAGAGGGATCAAGTCTCCCCCTTAAGGTTTCGGTTTCTACGGCCGAGAGTGAAGAGTGCAGGAGTAGCACGTAACAGGAAATCTGTTCGAAGTAAAGTTGCATGGGTTTTTAGCCCGCACTCCGTTCGATTTCACCACGTTGAAGACAGACAGACACACACGCACACGCACACGCACACGCACACGCACACGCACGCGCACGCGCACGCGCACGCGCACGCGCACGCGCACGCGCGCACGCGCGCACGCACACGCACACGCACACGCGCACGCACACACGCACGATCACAATCAGTAAACTCACTCATGCGCAGCCCTAAGATGCCTAAAGTCCGACTTCCTTAATCCCTGTTCCTGTAACCCTTAGGCCTTAGGAGAGTTCTATACAACCCTATATGAAGCCCCAAGAAGCCAAGGAAGGGCCTCTACTATGCGCTGGATGTTCGGTCCCACAACGTGGACATTACTGTGGGAAGCCGTACCTCGGGATCGATAAGAGGGCTACTAAAAGGGCTACCATACGGGTTCCAATAATAATTAAGGGTTACTAGAATTGAAGAAGGTTTTCGTGAAGGGTTGCTATAAGGGTTCCTTGAAGGATTTGCTATACGGGTTCCTGTAAGGGTTTCTGTAAGGGTGCTTTTGCAATTCAGGGTTAGAGGCCTGGGATTCAGGAAAGTTTGTGTTTGGATTAGAAGTTTCCTCTAAACTCCATATTCGAGTGCCTTAACCTACCTAACGTACTTTCCGTGGAGCCCCCACAAACTTCACGACATGAGGGTCCCTGATTTCAATCTACAAAGGTAGTTTAGGGTATAGTTTGCATAAGGCTTGAGGAATAAAGTGTGAAATAGTTTGGGGGTTTCCCAAGGTCTGATGCTTTTGAGGTTGAAGCGCTCAGGTACAACGGCCACACTAACACAGGCTCCTTTAGGTGCTCTTTTAGGCTCTGCCACTGTCACGTTCCGAACGCCCTGACGACAGGGATTTAAGTGAGAGGGACTACACGTGGCCATGTCAAAACTTTGGATTAGTGGGATTATAATAGAGGTCTCTCCTGGGGCATGCATGACGCGATTATCGAATAACGGTTGGGGTACCATTGGTTTCAGAGTAGAAAGGCGAAGCTGGAGATGTGTCCCGAAGGTATTCAGGAGGTCGTCGCGAAGGCGAAGGTGGACGAGACCTGCCCCGTAGTGAACTTGCCGGCCATCTCAGGTGCGAGCGTTTCGAGTTTAATAGGGTTTTTTCAGTTTAGGGTATTAGGGTTTAGGGTCTTATGGGTGGGGCATTCGGGTTTCGGGTCTAGGTCGTTGAACCTGTGCATTGATGGGTCTCAAAGTGTGCCAATTGGACACAGAGCATTTTCTGTGTAGTATGATTATAGTAATGCTAGGACTAGGTGTATGGGATATGTCACATCACGGTATTCATAGTTTCCAGAATGATCCAATTGAGGGGCTGTAAGGGGATACAGCCGTTACCATCGTTACTATTGAATGATCGAGCCTCTGTACTCTGACCTCGACAAAGGCTGAAACCTCTGGACCGTGACCCCGGATCCCTGTATAAACCCTATAAACTGCCCAGATTCAACCCTGAGTTAAATCCGGATTCCCAAGCTGTACATCGCAGTCACTGGTGAAGTTCCACAGTGCTTAACATCCCGCACCTCCCCAGTGCCGTGCAGGTGCTGGCCCATTCGACTGCCAGGAGCTGTTGGGGTGCGAGAGGGATTCCAAGACGCCTAAATTCAGCCCTGTGCCTCAAGCCATAAAGGGTTTCGTAACGGTAATAGTGTTTCTTCTTCTCATCATTACTGCCATGCTATACTTCAGATCTGAACGGCCCGTTCTCGTAATTGGGATCGTACCGAGCATGCTAACACGTAGGCCAGGACGATGGCGAGGGGAATGCTCACCAGCAGGTGGTTCATGCTAGGGTGATGAGCTTGACTAGCTTTCAGACTCAGCGACTGTATCAAAAGCCACGTATTTCGACATGCTTCGAGGAAGTTTCCTGCTCAGGCATATGCTGTGAGCTAAATGGAGCCAAGCATCCCCAAGCCCACCCATTCCCAGACTCGGCTACGCAGCCTATAAGCCCCAAACTAGACCGCAAGTCCAAGAACACTATACACCCCGTGGATGGTCGGCACAACAAGACGTGTGTGTGTATATATATATATATATGTATATAGATACATACTCACACACACCTTGAAGCCGGGCCATATACGAAGGGCGCCAACAGCCCAAAGCACGAGACCCCAAAAGAGTCCGAAGGAGCCAAAGTTCGTCGGACAAAGCTGCAATGCGACCTGCTCTTCCCAAGAGATCCTCGGATTGCGTTTCTTTTTAGTAAGGAATATAGGGCTCCTTTAAAGGGATCTATAGGGGTTTAGGGTTCCTTTAAAGGGATCTTTACCTTGGGTTAGTAGGGAATGGGGGAATGGGATGCAATTATAGCTACGATTGCTACCATTCTTCCATTCCGCATACTAACCAAAGGTAAGTAACCCGAAGAATTGAAAAAATAGAGCATTGGGCAGGGAACTGAAGGACTCCGGGACAGGGCATGAGTTTAGGGCGTACTTGGGGAGGATTTCGGAGTTCGCCTTTGACGCCCTACTTGACTCAGCAAGTGCATTACGCAGGCGTTTCATCATTGGACACCCTAAACCTAAAACCTAAACCCGAAACTATCGCGAGCCATGCGCACGGCAAGCACCAGCTGTGAGTGGCATGGCGTAGCATCGACGGCCATAGATGCATCCCACTGCAGACATAGTACGGTTTACATGCCCAGTTCTGGCTCTGATACCAGAACATACCAGAGCATAATTTGCAGGTGATTCCATGCTACTTTGGGCTCAGCCAGGACGGTTCATTCCGAAGCTCAGACATGTATCCTGAAGTGCACTGACCTTCATGTAAAGGAACACTAATAGCACCAAAAGTTTCAGAAAGAGCCCCATTGCGCTTTTCAAAAAAGTTTCCGAAACCCATGTAAAGGAACCCAAAATTTCAACCCTGGCACTCAGGATCGTTTCGGCTTCATGCCTTTCGGATGGGACCTGGTTGCAGCCTGGCTCAGCTTGAGGTGTAGGTTTGGGGGCCTAAATAACTACCTATACCATTTTGTGGGGGTCCTTATAATATAAATATAGTATCATGGGCCCCAAAACCCTATTCTAATTACCCCTATACTGTAGAACCCTACTATAGATCCCTTTAAAGGAATCCTTTACAGGAAGCCTATTCTAACTATCTAGGCCCCTATACGAGGTTTTGGGGGCTCAGGGGTTGGGATACCACGGGGCGCGGGGGGAGGGAGAGGGCTGCAGCCGTTGCTCTGAGTAGTCTTCTTCGAAGCATGACGGTTGATAAGACAGGCTTAAAGTGAGCACAAAACAGGAGATCGTTTAGATTTATTGACATCTCTGTTCTTCTTCTTCTTCTTATGATGAGCGGTATGCTGATCATGTTTTTCTTTTATGTTGTGTGGTGTTATTTGAATCTAACCTGTTGTTTACATTCGTATCTTTGCTACTCCATGACACCTCCGTTAGTGTTTCAATTTGGTAAGCTTTGCTTCTTGGTCGTATCATGATGTTTATGCTTGTTCTCGTGACTGCTAACTTTTCTTTGTAATTCTGCTTTACAGTAAGACATCTTAGACTCTAAGCCATATTCGTATCTCCATCTTCCTTGCTTGCGGTACTTCGTTGTAGCTCCAAGTGATTTTCGCAGTCGTCTTCCTGTTGGTGTGCCGGCGATTGTTGGTGCCCCTGCTGTGTTCGTCCATTGTCGACAGATAGGGGTGACCGTGAGATTTGGGGCTGCGTGATCACAGTTGTAGGCGTCTTGCCTGCAACATTGAGTGCGATGTTCTAAACATGGTGGTTCATGCACCAGTAAATCCGACGCGTTGCGGCCCCATGCAATCTCTGTCAAGCTCCATGTCAGCCGCCGTACTTAGCAATCATTATCAACCCCTGCGAACCACGCAGAAATCCTTCAAAAGCCTGTTTGTCTATCTGTGCGTGGACGTGTGTGCAAATATACATATATGCATGTACATGTACATGTGTTGATAGGGACGAAACTCCACAAACTCCTCATGCACAAACGCAGGCCCAGCATCGCCCCTTCTGTATCGATACACCTATGTACAAGTCTAGGTATATGTATGTGCAGATGTAAATGTACAGGCATCTGCATATGTATATGTATCCACATGTATGTGCAGAGACATCTACCTATATATATATATATATATATATATACACATATATATACATACATGCATACGTACGTACATACGAACAAAGAAACATACACCATACATACATACATACATACATACATACATACATACCTACCTACATACATACATACATACATACACACACATACATACATACATACATACATACATACATGCATACATACATACATACAAAGTAGTTCGTATCTTATTTTTTGTATACATATGTGTATGTATGTATGTACATATGCATATATGTATGTAAGTGTGTATGTATGAATGCATTTACGCATGTATACATCTTTGTATGTATACATGCATGTTTACACGTAGGCATGTAGGCATGCATGAATCCAGGTGTGTGTATACATATATATATATATATATATATATATATATATATATTATATATATATATACATATGTACAGATATATACGTATACTTATATGTATATCTATATATGCATGTTGATTTAGCTTAGCTAGCTAGGTAGTTGCTTATCTCTATGTTTCATACCCCAACTTAAAGGATCATGGGACTTAATGACTAGGGTACTGATTATATAGGGTAACTATATTTATAACTGCTCATAACCAAACGTACTCATAACCATACTTACTAAGTCCCACGATCCTCCAAGAAACATTTCATGTCCTGGTCCTCCGAGATTGGCGTCAGACTGCGTGCCGCTGTCAGACGACCCAGTCCAAGCCGGCATCGACCCACTCCTCATCGTTGTGCCGGGGAACCCTGGAAGGGTTCTATCATAAATATTCTACAGATCTTCGGCTTTGAGTTTTTGTAGTTGCGAACGGACTGCGATGCCTTGTCAAGTTCCAAGGTGTCACTATAAGAGCTGTGAGCAAGACCATGTAAAGTGCAAGGGAAGGGGGCACGCTACGCGTCCCTCGTCTCTAGGAGTAGGCTTGTGGTAGTGCTACGCACACCGCAATGCCTATCCATCCTTTCAGTGTGACCGCCCATGCAACGTTTGGCTCAAGGCTCAAGAATGAGCACAAGCTCTAGAAAGCATTGCCCATAGCTAAAGTGCTATAATCTTTGTGATCCTCGAGTAGACAGAGCTATCCCGTGCACAGACGATCCACCGCCGGCCGTGAGTGTGCAAAAGGAGCGAACGTTGGATCTGCCTGCATAGGAGTGCGTGTGTGGAAGTGGAAGTAACGGTGATCCAGCTTGTAGAAGGCAACCACGCCAACAGTCAATACAGCTCTTTGTGGGGTGAGCGATACAGAGTATTACCAGGATCAAATCCCCACGCAGGTTATCAGCCGTACGCGGCTCTGCCTTTCTGCAGCAAAGACTACTTGATCTACTACGACCACAATGAACTCGGGATCAAGCCAAGATACGACAATGACTTTCGGTGCCGATGTGGCAGCGCCAGCCGTTGGTGAGTCAACAGCTGATGACACAGTGGTGCAATCCGTTGATAGCTCCACGGAAGATGACAAAGGTCAATCTTCTGCGCTTGCCATTGCAAAGGCAGTTCCCAAAGTGAAAGCAAAGAGTCTACCAAGAGCATCTACGCCTTCGCGTCCGACATCCACAGGTTCGAGGACGAGCAAGGCTCCGGAACGACGATCCGAAGCGTCTGGTTTTCAGGCACCTCGGACTACGTCCAGGGCAAAGGACAAGGGAGTGAAGACCTTGGAAAAGAAGTCGAGACCATCATCTTCGAGAAGCTCTTCAGCACGATCAAGGACTTCGGCTACTCGTGGGCGTGACAAGTCCATGACATGGAATCGGATGGTTACCAATCAACCACGCGATGCTGACGATCTGGATATGACTCTGGACACTATTCCTGCACGTGGTGATGCTTCATCGGTGACTACGCCAGCCATAGCTGATGGTCCGAATGCCTACCAGGAACTGACGATTTCGCAACAGTTCGAAGCATCGAACCTTGCACAGCAGATGTACTATCGCAGTCAGATGCAAGAGTACGAAGGAGTTGTCCAGACCCTGATGGATAAGATCAAGGAGATGCAACAAGAAGATGAAGGATCTGGGATTCGCATTGAAGAATTGGAACGACAACGTGACCATGCATGCTTAGCCATGAGGCACATCAACAATGTCAATCAGGAGATGAAGCGAGACTATGAAACAGCTTTGTTTCGCATGGATGAACAGAACTCTGCTCAACAACGTCAAGCACACGCCGTTGCCGAGGAATTGGCTCAACAGCTACATGTGTTCCGCACGGAAGCAGCCACTAACTGTGTGCAGTTGGAGGCAAGAGCGCAAGGCGATGGTGAACTTATGGCACGTGAGTATGAGCATCTGACTCATGAACTTCATGAACAAGCCAGAGAGAACTTGCTCCTCCGGTCGAACACAGCAAGTTCGGAACAAGCCTTACAAGCGATGCAGGAACGATTCCACCTGGTCAGGAATCAGGAGTTGCGGGCCGTAAACGAGATCCAAGGACTAGCTGGAAACAGCGCAGCCATCGATCAGGAACGACTTCGGCTTCGCGAACGTCTTGGTGAGGAGGAAGAATACCGCAAAATGGCTGTGAGGAGGATGCAAGATGCAGAGGACCGACTTCATCAGAATGAAGATCATGCAAGGCGCGCATTGCCCACCTTGCACGACGAGCTGAGCGAACTCAGGAAAACGCTCAAAGCACAAGAAGATCTTCAAGCGAGGACACGCAGCGAATTGGAGGCAGCACGGAACTCCAACTACCATGGCGGAGTGACACGGCCTTCGAGCATGCCCATGTCTTCGAGGACTACTGAGTCTGGCTGGGAGCACGTAGGAAAGGAAGTAGTGCCTGCATTTTCCGTAGGAGGTGAGGTGCGATCCCCTGAAATACGGTCCCCAAGTCAAATTAGTCCAGTCGCCAAAGAGAAGTTCGCATTCTCGGAATCGGACAAGGACAAGAACCTTGCAATGGATGGCATCCCATTTACCGGTGGAAACTTCTTCACTGGCCGCATCAAAGGTGAGGTAGATAGATCCTACTCAACGCCAATCGTGGCGGATGCAATGCCCGAGCACTACGTGCCAGGCATTAGCAGCCCAGCACATGCGCGTTCCACGCCCAGTGCAGCCACTTTGTTTGGCATACCAAGCGGATTTCATGGGCAAAGTGATGCGGCAGCCGTGCGTGACCGACAGCTACGTGAACTCTTGGAGGATCGCGGGATGTTGGGATCGAAGTCCACAGCATCTGCCAGCTCCTCAAGACCTGTAGGTATCGACGGCATTATCGCATCTAAGAGGGGCAACGACCCCAATGGTGCCCCTGTCGCCTACGATGCTTCCATCCATGAGGCGAGGAGACGTCAGATCGAGAAAGAGATCGCGGAACAGTACGAAGAGAAGATTGCTGATCTGCGAAGCGAAGTACTCAAGGCCCAGAAAGCCGAACAGCGTCTCAGAGCTGATCGCGATGAGTGGAGATTATTCGCTGAAACGATTCAGGAAGACAATGGAGACGATGACGGTGATGAAGCTGGCGACGAGAACGAAGAGGGAGAGCGAGATGAACCGGCCGGCACGGGGTATGACCCTCCTGATCCGCCTGATGATGACGATGATGATAAGAAGAGGAACGGCGGAGGCAAACCTGAACCGGATCCTGACCCTCATGCGCGTGATCCTGATGGAGACGCAGATCCTGAAGTCACGGAGGTGAGAATTTCCAGGAGAGAGGCCGATAAAGTGACAGTCCCTCCATGGCCTACTCTCACTCACCTGAACAATTGGCGGTCCGTATGCACGGCGAATGTCCTAGGAGCATCAGCCGACCCAAATCATGAGGACTGGATGTTATGGCTGGCACCAGCGTTCAATCCATTCCCTGATGTCGAAGCACTGAACGATTCAGGACACAAGAAGTTCAAGAGCGTAGACGTCAAATTGGGGATCGCCATGGTCGCAATGCTACGCGCTGGTGGTGACAAATCCGCTGATCTGTACCTGGAGGTGAACCGGAAGGCCAACGATTACATCAGCAGGCCCGAAGGGAAGATCATCAAAGGACGACAAATCATTGCGATGATGTATGAAAGTTTCCGAACGCATGACCGTCTCGACATGATCATCACTCTCGAGTATCTGGTGAAGCTCCAGTACCAAGGTGACAACAAACTTCATACGTTCAAGCAGACGTGGTTGGAAGTCCTTGGACGGATGAGACCAGAAGATATACCATCCAAAACAGCTCTCCGTGATTGCTTGTACAGCAAGATCAAGGACTCGCCCGCAATGAAGATGGAGTTGGGCATGCACTACGAACACTTGCCCTACAATCATGAAGACCGATCGTACGACAATCTGATGAAGATCATCGATCGTACCATCATGCGGAGACGAGAACAATCAAATCTCACTCAGACCCAAATTGGTTTGCGCCAGATGCTTGAGGGCAAGGATTTGCTCGCTGCGCCGGCCAAGGTACCTGAGAAACCAACGCCTAATGCAGCTCCATCCGCAAAGGTCAAAAGCTTCGCCTACCAAGCCGGATAAAGCAACACCTGTACTACCTCAGAGCAAAGCGAAGAGTCATGCGAAGACCAAGCCAAAGCCCAAGAAGAAGACGAGGAGTGAGTCAGCGGACAACAGAGGCGACAAGAGCAAGAAGCAAATCCGCTGCAAGTTCCATTTCACAGATGCAGGGTGTCGAAATGGTGACAAGTGCCCATTCAGTCACTCGAAGAAGACCCCAGAGCGACCCTTTACGCCGAGGACGAGAACTCCAAGTCCGTCTGGAGGAGGAGGAAATAGGATATGCTACTCTTTCAAGAACACAGGCTCGTGCTCAAGAGAGAATTGTCCTTTCAAGCATGAGGCCGCAGCTACCCCAGCTCCGGAACCAAAGGCGAAAGCCAAAGCCAAATCCGAAGCAAAGGCAGCTCCAGCGAAACCGAATGCCAAGGCCAAGGCACTCCCTGCGGCACCCGCCATTAGATTGTGCCGAAGGTGGAATCCATCAGCCCCGGCTATATGGAGGCGATCTTCAAGACAAGATGAGGAAGAGTCAGATTGTTCATCCGTTGACAGCGACGCTGACTCGGATTGTTCAACCGACGACGAATCCTCGGGACCGACTACGTCGACCCGAAAAGAGATCAAGCGCAACGTGACATTCGCTGACGACGTGAAGTTCATTTCTTCGTGTCCTAGAAGATCGAAGAAGGACAAAGAACGGAAGGTGAAGTACGTCGACATGGAAGCACTTGTCAACGACGAGGATCGCGCCGTGAATTTGGAATTCGCTAAGCACAAAGCGAGATTGAGGGCACAGATCATGAGAGACATGGTTGACGACGATGATGATCAATGCGGAGATCGAGTTTCATTCGTACGGATCCCAGGAACGTCTCGGGTGGAAGAGGTTTCCTTCTACGACGGTGAGGATTCCATCGTGGAACGTGAACTCGATGCTGCGCACAGCAAGCGGATCATCAATCAGGGCGTGTTCAAATGCATGGTTCAACCAGTCATCCTCAAGAAGAAGATCAAGTTTCTCATGGACACTGGGTGTGGCCATGACCTCATATCTCAGAAGAAGATCGAGAAGCACAGTCTCGAGACACTCGTGACTCCAGAGCCCATATCATTTCAGACAGCAAATGGAATCACCGATACCGATCTTGTGTCGAACTTCCAGACTGAGTCGTTCGAGGAACCGATCAACGCTTATGTGTTGGATGACACACCGTCGGTGCTTTCCATAGGTAAAAGATGCATGAACTTCAATTA